TTCCGTATCTTGCAGTGTTTTGCGTACTGCCGTGTACATTGCATGCATACTTGCACTGTAATGTTTTTTGACACGCACATGCATGTCGGTGGCTGCATTTGGTAGTGTAAAACATGTGTGACTTGCACTCACGACATTATTATTTTTGTGCTACATGTACATGTTGTTGTGGTACGGCATGCACTCGCTTTGGTACAAGACTATTCATCACTCAGCTTACACTTGCAATGCTTCTACACAGCTGATTGATCCTCTCCGATTTTCTATACCATTTGCTCAATTTCTGTAGTGCGCACAAGGAGTGATTTTCCGTACAAATACAGAAAATATGGAGGGCTGGTACTTGGTAGCACTGCTAGTATGGTAGTACCAGGCTAAGCTGGCTGGAAGATCAAATACTTCTTTGGTTCTTTCAGTCATTTTCACGACATATGTTTTCTTTATCATGATCCCCGGGGTGTGACATTCTTATGAATGCAGAAACTCAGTCTTTCTAACCGAGTCTCACGTGCAATGTGAATTTGTTCTTCTTTTCTTCACAATGCCATGTATCGATTCATCGCTTCTTCCCACCCGAGATCCTATGCAACAGCGATTTAAAGATTGGCTTTATCAAATAGTTAATTCAGAGAGAGAGGATCAGTTGTGGATGCTGTGACAGCATAGAGTGTAGATTGGTGTAAACATCATTGCCCAGCAGAACCGTATTCACAGGGATCTGCGTTTAGCATATGGAAGCTATTTTTTTAGAATTTTTACACGTCCAATAAGCCTGAAGAGAAGAACACCTAACTTAGACTGTCCTAACGTTATCGAACGCACTGCCAAAGTAAAAACAACATTTGAAATGCAAACTCGATTGTGCATGCATGGAGGGCATGGGGAAGAGACTGAGAGGGTGAAAGTGAAGGAAATTTGTTCCGAAATCAAGAGAATCCTAGGAACCCTTGCTGCATTCTTCAGTTCGATAACGTCAGTGGGTGAATCTCAGATGTGTTGTGTGCCCAGACATACAAGTACAGCACTAACCTGAGCATGAGAGCTGCTTGTCATCATCGTGGTCAGGAAAACGAAAGGACGAACGAGGAAGATTGCTGACCATGCATGACGAACAACTGCATATCTAGACGACAGACGGCTTGCCAGAATCAGTCTGGTGTATCTTCAGGAATCTTCTTTTCCTAATCGCATTCAGCAGTCAGCTTCGAGGTCAAGAACGCGATGATATTTTCAGAAGGAATAATTTTCAAAAATTTTAAATTTTGGAGAAGAAGCTTCCTTTCTAAAAAAAAGCGTTCCTTGCTTTCACGCAAGGAGGTGCCTTGCCGGACATGTCGTCGACAGCACAGTGTCGGCAGATCCACGTTTGTAGGCTGCAGACCCAGCCGAAGCGCCAGCACCCCAAATCAAGACTTTTTTATTTTCCGTGGCGGGAAATCGAGCTTTTCCAGGTATCTACAGCCTGTAGAAATTCAACGCTGAGAATTTCCAACTATTGTCCGGCTTTGGTCCTCTGCCACCGACCTATCCTTTGAAGGAGAATGCTGAAACCAGTTGGTTGCTCTTCAGTTGTTCTTTCTCTATCGTGTACATATTTTTGTATGTCGACACATGCCGTGTGCGACGACGTAGACACTTCTCAACACTTGAGTGACTTGAATTTGGCCATGATGACCGAATGTCATTGGACCGTGGAGTCGAGTAGAGGGCTCAGGCTCGATCGGCACAACGGGTACGTATAGCACAAGGGTAGGGCTAATGATATATCAAGTTGTTTGCTGTGCACAACCTTGGGGCGGAATTCGGCACGAAATTCTCTGCTCGCCAACTGTTGAGTATACCATGCAATACGTAGGTTTAAACTCATGTTACAGTGCTATCACGGTTGCAACCCTCTTTCAAATGGTGACATAGCCAACAACCACATAATCCATATCAAATTTTGCCCCTTGTTTTCTTTCTAAGTGTGAATAATAGAAATAATACCAGTCCTAATCATTGGAAAATGCAATCACGGTCTATTATCGACACTATTATCGACACATCGTACTGTCGCGGACATGGAAATCCAGTTGATTGACCGGGGCCGGCGCCCTCAGCGCGTACAGAACGTTGCATGCAGTGCACATGTTGATCCAATGCGACCATCAGCAGTGCATGATAAACCGTGCTACGGCTGCATGGCCGGCGCCCTGGGGCCGCTATACGTGCGACCTGATTTCCATGTCCACGACAGTAGTACCATGCAGCCTGGTAGTGCATTTGGAGCAGGAAAGTGAATGGTAGCACTGCGGTGGTGAACACATGAGCTGATGACAACCATCGTCGTCTTGTTGGTTTGTGTTGTCTCCAGTTCATTGCAGGTTGAACGAGGAATGAACGTCTACTCTTTCTTTCCAAAACTGGCTGGGCACATGCCAATGAGACGGAAGCTAGTGCCAAACCAGTCCTTGGAAGTTTTGTTGTGCTGCTGGACTTTCAATCATCATGTAAAGTATATTCCGGTTTCTGAGTCTTCGTGTGCGCCTGAAGAGCTACACTGTGTAGAGATGTTGGAAGTTTATCCTGCTCACGACACTGCACCAAGTACAAGCACTTCCTCGGCATTGCCTGAGCCCTATTCTGTGTTTACTGTGACCAGGAGAAGCAACTAGAAATTTGGAGCTTGAGCTGGAACGCTGGTGCTCTCTCTCTCTCTCTCTCTCTCTCTCTCTCTCTCTCTCTCTCTCTCTCTCTCTCTTTCCGTCACGTTCTGCCACTGTCCGAAACCGGTGCATGTGCTAGCATGTCGAAGCGCATTGTGTCTGAGTCACGTACTCACTCTCCTGCTCCTCCCTCATATGCCCAAGACAGTATGACCAATTGTGAATACAGTTCATGCCCACATGTGAACTTGTCTGATTCTCTTGTAGTAAGCTGCCACGTGTGTACTTGCACGTGTTGTGTACATGTGTGTGTGTGTGTGTGCGCGTGTGTGTGTATCTATGGGACTGCGTTCTCCTATTCTCTCTCCGGTGCCTTCGAGGCCCACTTAACCCTTGTGGCAGTGGCTCGACAGCACAGGGCAGGTGTGTGTGCGCACGTGCATGTGTATATGTTTGTGTGTGTGTGTGTGTGTGTGTGTGTGTGTGTGCGCGCGCGCGCGCGCGCGCGTGTGCATGCGCATGTGTGGGTGTGCGCGCGTGCATGCAGATGTGTGTGTGGGGGGTGTGCGCACGCTGATGCTCAGCTCTCCAGAATTATGTCCGTGTGCGTAGCCAATGTATGGTGGCAACATAGCCTTCCTTCATGTATATGTGTATGCGCATACTATTTGGGATACTTTACTGTTTTTGGTGGGATCCAGTTACATAGTTTTCTGTTCAATTATTAATGTTTATACAGCTGCTGTATTTGTAGTGCAACTTTATGTCTTTCTGCTGGTCAAATTGTCGTCTTGATGGTGTTCTAATACTGATATACATAGAAAATATTACCCTCAGAAAGTGTGCTCGTTGTGAAGTTGTCCTTCTTTGGGCTCAAACCATTGCTCGTGTATAGGTAGATACATATCAGTGGGTTCGATTGGTGGCGAGAAGTCAGCCTAAATTGTTTGGGGCGGAATTCGGCACGAAATCCACGCTGAGTACTTTTTGACGACGAGTTGCGTCGGTCTTGAAAACTCTGGCGAGAAAGCGAGGAAAATGATGTCGCTTGGAGCTTTCCGCGAAACTTAGGGCAGCTAATGCCCGCACCTTCCCAAACATTGCCTCGGAACAAGACGATACCACCAGGGAAGCTCTTGTGAGCAAGGGATAAAATAGTCTCTTTTTGGCGATATTGAGCTGAGTTTCAAATTTCCCGGGCCTGGGGTCGGATTTGGAAAATAAAAGTGCAACTTTTAGGGCTCTTTTTCGGTGCTGGCGCTTCGCCTGGACCCGGCAGACGTTTTGATCATCCCGGCCTGGTGGTGAGATTTTGGACCCGGGAGTACTAAAAAGCTGCTCGCATCCCAGGGTGCTCAGTTTCGCTCTACCCGCGCGAGTAGGGGTCCAGGTAACGGGCTCTCTTTCGCGGCCTGCGGAGCATAATATACCTCCCGCTCCGACCGTAGATCTACGCTCGCCTCGATATTTTGCCGCAAAATGGTGCTGCGAAATCTTCGATATTTTGCCGAGCCTGGCACAAGAATCTCGATATTTTGCTCCATTTTGCTCCGGAAAAACGTGTATTTTATCCAATTCCCGTACAATCCCGTACAACGTTTCATAAAACCGCAGGGTCGGTTTCTCAACACGGATTTCCACGCACGTGTCCTGAGTTCTTCCAAAATTATGTGGATCCACAGTGAATCCCAGTGATATTTCGGTGACATGATCTCGTCCTGCCTGGGCAGTCAGAGTGTATCCTGCTGAACCGAGGAAATCCAAGTATCAGGCATCGATTTTACCCAACATCTCGATATTTTGTTCCGATTTTGCCGGCAATTTCCGCTCTTTCAATTCTTCGATATTTTGCCGAAAGAATTACCGGCAGGATCTGTCTGGGCCTATATCAGGCTATCACCTGGTCACTGCGTGTCATATCCAGCTCAGGCCTCTATTGTAGTCGAGATCTATTGACTATTTTAGTACATGTACTGAGTCTGTACATGACTTTTTGAAGTTTTTGTCCAGAGTACAACCCTGGGGTTATAACTTATAAAATTATACTCTTGCTTTTGTAGTTCCCTCGCCAGGCCGTGGACAATTATTATTTTGTGCGACTAAAAATTCCACAAAGTCCGGCTGTACAGTGTATGTCCACTGCAGTATATGTAGCATGTGGTGCCAAGACTCAAGTGTACAGAACTCCTTCTCCCACTACAAGTATACAACTTACATGTATGGTAAACTTGGTAGAATTGTTCAGGTAACTAAGTTACTTTAGTGCAGTACATAATAATGATGTATGGAGGTTATAATGTGTACGTATGTGCGTGAGCGCGCGTGTGTGTGTGTGCACGCAGACACCACAGGCACAGGCACACTGTCAAGAGTCATTGATTGATTGATTTTTTTAGGATTGACCAAAGGCTGCGGGAGCCTATTGAGTGGAGAGCAAACGCCACAATCAACAAAGAGCAGAAATGAGAGAAAAATAAACTACAATCATGTACAACAAGTACATGTATCTACAGGTCTGCTCATCTCACAATATCAGTGAAGTACACGAGACTCGAACAGAGTCAATGACTTCAGAAGAAGCAAACCTCAGTGCATTGGTTTTCAGAAACCAGATGGTAGAGAGGTTGCTGGCCAACAGCAAGGAAAGAGGGGCTGTGGCACACAGCTGGCACCGGCGAGGAACCCATAGCAGTGAACTATGTTCACTGCCTGCACACACTCAGAAACTCAGCAAGGAAAGAGAGGCCCTGAGTCACAGCTTGCTCCGGCGTAGAAACTATAGCAGTGATCTGTATTCACCGCCTGCACACTCTCAGCACCCAGTAAGGTGCTGCACAAGCACAGGAGAACGGCGAGCAGACTCCACGGCCGGAACGCCACCCAGTGAAAGTCACGCGCGAGTGGCATGTGCAAAACGGGGACTTCTGATAGCCTGGGCTGGACAGGAAATGGTCTGAAGCCCCAGCCAGTAGCGGTTATCGAACAGTTCAGGTCTTCCCCATAGCGGTGGCAGGCTGAAACATACAGGTGGCGAAAGTTTCTTGTTGCACATGACACAAACGAAATCAGCCAAATAGATGTTCACTCCTTCCATAAAGATAAATACTACTTCGAGTGGCCATGGCCTGCTTGCCACGCTTATCATCTCATGAAAGAGACAGCTTAGAGAATGAAGATCTACCGTGGCACTTCCATCCAGGTCATCAGCCGTTATTAGATGCGGACTGCGGTTGATCCAGTGATGAAAGAACAGAGCGAACATCATCCCGCAGTAGCCTGCGGTTGAGCTTGCGCATCTCCGCAAGTTCTTGCTGCAGTTGCTTGACAAGCGCACTGGACTGGATGGCTTCGGTGTTGCCTGCCTCTTTCTTGCTCTTTTCGTCAGCCTGAACGACAGAAAACACCAGGAAGATACCTTGAAGTGTTGATTACAGGGATCAATATCGTAAGAGAAGCTCATAATCAGTCACTGCTACCACATGCATATGATTGTACCTCCCTGGTAGTAGCAACTCTGTGCGACTTACCCTGCAGCAAGACCACCAGTACGTCTTCCAGTAGTCACTTCTTTCTTTGCCTGTTGGCCCAAAGCATTTAGTGAGAACACATTATACAACAGATTTAGTGATAGATAATTATCAAAGAAAAAGTGGCCACAGTGCAGCAGCCTCACATCGAAGGCCATGGATACCACAAATTGTACAAGCGGCATTCAAATCTATTAAACTTCCTAATTCGTCATTCCGTTGGAATAATATGTTCGTCTCAGAAGTTCGTCAGAAGTAGTGCTTGTACAGTACATATTATACGTATGTTCATGCACATCTGTCACCTGCGCGGTTGGCCAAGCCTAATGTTTTAGATTACATCCTCTGCAGATCTACCAGTGCACAGTGCACAACAGTAGTAGACAGCTACGGATAGAAACGAACACTACATAGACTAATAACACTTCGTCGGAGCACACATTTCTGGTTTTCAACAACATTCTGAAAATGTCTACGAGTAAACCTGAAGAGAAGACACGAAAGTTTACGTGTGAAGAATTCCAGAATGTTGTTGAAGAACCTGAAGTGTGTGCTCCTACCAAGTGTTTTGCCCCTGAGGAAACTTTTTAGTTTTCACATACTAATAGACTGATAGGAATGGGTTTGCTCCCCACACTGGAGCTCACGCTATTCCGCCGACTTGACTTGACTGACTCACGACTGCCATCCAGAGCACACGAGAAGTCCATCGAACCTTCGACTCGGCGAACCTGCAAGAAAGCACCACTCCCTGCTCAGCACACAGTGTTTCGGGGAATTCGCCCCTCATCAGTTGAGCTCGAGTAGGCTAAGGAAGATTGTGCCTGAAACTGGGAGTGGTGCTTTCTTGCAGGTTTGCTGAGTCGAAGGTTCGATGGACTTCTCGTGTGCTCTGGATGGCAGTCGTGAGTCAGTCAAGTGTCTAGTCCAGTCGGCGGAATAGCGCGAGCTCCAGTGTGGGGAGCAAACCCATTCCTATCAAATCATCGCCGAAGTCACAACCACTATTTCGTAATGGACTAATGCAGAGGATTTCAAGAAGCCAAAGTCACTTTTGAATACTGGGGGTCAGAGGCATACCCAGCAATCAATTCAACATTACATCATGATTCATGTATAATTTATTTTGCACAAATCAAGTCTTGCAGCAGCAAATGTTTTCGATGGTGCGTACTAAGACAGTACAGAACGAAATGCTGTTGACAACGCTAACACATCCGCAGACAATTTTGAATGGCCGTACCTTGTAACGCCAGCTTTGGCCCGGCCTGAACAAACCAAACAAAACAACAGCAGATGCAGCACATAAAGCAAAGAGTTCATCACTGCCATATGTGGACACAGCACAGACAGTACACCGCACTACAAAGCAGTACTGCTCACACGTTCACGTGCCACCCATCTTCCAAACAAGAAAGAGCAACAATGAACAAACTAAATCTGCAGGAGATGCAAACTAGAACGACGAAGATAACAACAGACTTAAAACTCTGACTCTAGGCCCACACGGCTGGTTGGTTGATTTCATTATGTGACTAGAGATACTACGTGTAGTGGTGTGATGTGTGACGTGTAAATACTAATGGTGTGATGTATAGGCAGGGCACCATCGTTTTTGATCCGAGAGTACCCGCGACTCCCCGGGTTCCCCTCAGATGTGTACGGTATTATGACGCAAAGATCCGATTACGCTTGACCAAGACCCTATGCACAGCAGGATCAGGCGTTGCACACTCTGGGGGGTTATGTACTCCTGATATCATTTGTACTGGTGTGATGTATTACGTGTACTGGTGTGATGTATTACGTCACTTTTACGTGTACTGGTGTGGTGTATTATGTGCAGTGATGTATTATGTGCAGTGGTGTATTATGTGGTAATTATTATACACTCGGTGTGACAAGGGTAAAGACTGCATGCAAGGCAGTGATTAAACAGTCATGCACGTGGAAATAACACTGAACAGTGCTGTGCATGTAATAATTCCGTTTACTCCTGTAATAGTTAAAGGGGAAGTTAAGGCAAAAATTAAAATTTCACCAGTTGTAGTCTTCGGGGTGCTGAGTCGAATGGTCTTGGTCCGAGGAAGCTGAGACGCTCCCTTCCTACTTGAATCCCAATCGAACTCGCGCACTTCCACCGAAACTGGGTGACTGCGCCCTACGAGATGGGGATTTGTATGCAAAATGTCACTAAAAGCGCCATTTCGTTCTTATAAAAGTACGGATGACCGCGATTGGCCCATATGTTGTACTCTTTTGGACGCTGAGTCGACTGGTTTTGGTCCGAAAAGGCTGCGATGCAGCGTTCCTCCTTTATTCCCAATCGAACATGGTTGAACAAGTGGTCACGTGCTCCTGGGTGCCCAAATCACCTGGTCACCACGCCAGCAGGTGACAACTTTCACACCAAGGTTCAACTCGAGTGACAGGACTGCACCCAAAAAAGGTCAAACAGGCTAGTAAGTTGTACCCTGCAGGCACGGTGACCAGGTGACTGGCGTACGCAGGAGCACGTGACCGCTTGTTCAACCATGTTCGATTGGGAATAAAGGCGGAACGCTGCATCGCAGCCTTTTCGGACCAAAACCAGTCGACTCAGCGTCCAAAAGACTACAACATATGGGCCAATCGCGGTCATCCGTGCTTTTATAAGAACGAAATGGCGCTTCTTAGTGACATTTTGCATACAAATCCCCATCTCGTAGGGCGCAGTCACCCAGTTTCGGTGGAAGTGCGCGAGTTCGATTGGGATTCAAGTAGGAAGGGAGCGTCTCAGCTTCCTCGGACCAAGACCATTCGACTCAGCACCCCGAAGACTACAACTGGTGAAATTTTAATTTTTGCCTTAACTTCCCCTTTAATCTTCTGTGGTAATGCAAAGCTGAAATACCAGCACTGGTTCATGTCACCACCAACCTTTGACTGAGCTTGGCCATGAAGGCGGACTGGACAATTGTCGAGTGGTGCAATAGAAGAAGACGTGCCAGAAGTAGTTGCAAGTTGCCGCTCGAAGAGAGCCAGAGGAGGTAGGTAATCCGTATTCAAGCGTGCGCCGGGCTGCCTGTTCCACAGGACACCGGGTAGTGCAATGATGAAGCCAAAGCTTACTGGTCCTTCAGAAAATAAACACAACACAAATGTCACTCTTAGCTAGGAGCATGAAATGCAAGCCTCAAAGACAAACCCAAATGTAAAAGAGATGGCCTAACAAAAGCCTGAGAACGACAGTGAGCAGCAAGCAGAAGTTAGATTGCTTCAAGTAGTTCGTAGAGCTCATTCAAGTGACCCGGAGAGAGCACACTCCACGCACCACATGAGCTGTGCGAGATTTATGAGTGTCAGTTGTCATGTTGTCAAGGAGGGAGTACGAGTGTGATTTTGAGTGTGATTGGACAGGACACTGCGCTGAAATAGAATGAGTGTTGTTGTGATAACATCATTTACGAGTGTGTTGTTACAATACAGTGTTTGTTGTGCGTGTTTGTCGGATACGCCGATATAATCAGTTGCGTAGATAATACTTACGTTGTTGCTTGCATTCTCGCTCTCCACAGCAACTCCACAGCGTGCTGCGTTCTATGTATTCCTATTCTGTACACTGACTCTCTCTGACAGGGTTTGCTGTCACCCTGTCTCTGGGCGCAAGCACCCTCTGACAGACCAAACTGCTTGCTTCATCTCCACAATATTTATCTCCTTTCGATTTGAATTTCTGTTTGTTCTGCACTCTGATTTTTCCTTGTTGCACCTGCGCTTTTGTACGCGGAACTTTGCTGTCGCCATCGCGTCGCCATTATTTATATCCATGGTTACGTGGTGGTATGACTCATCGATGCATCATGCGCGCATGATCATTCTTCTTTTCTACTCGTACACTTCGATATGCATGCACGCACACTGATGTACACGTACACGTAAGCCAATGCACGCACGCGAGCACGTTTTGCTGATGACAGCGATTTGGCGATCGTTGTTGTTGTTTTGTTTTCGGGTTGATTTGAGAGTATGGTTGAAACCAATAAGTAAATACAGTCTTCTATAGTCTGTTTCAAAAAGATTAGCAATCAGGTTTTGGTCTTAAAAAGTATGAAGATAAGGGGAAATTGGACAACGAAGTACATAAAAAGGCTGGTTAGGGCACGGCAAATTGTTCTGTGAAGGTTTCGGAACAATTGGACCAGCCGTTAAGGAGTTAGAATTTCGGCCAGGTTTCCGGCCTTTTCCCATGGTTTGCAATTTGCCCTGGAAGCCAGTATCGATTTTTCTATCAAAACCCACGATTTATCTTTTCCTTTCTGGCCTTGTGGTTATGGATGCTGTCTGCTGACCATGAAGTTGTGAGTTCAAATCCCAACCTATCTTCAACTCACAAAAAAAAAAAAAAAAAAAAAAATCTTCAACTCACACTTTTTTTCATTGTTTTCGCCATGTGAACACACCCACAACACTGAAACGGTGTGAGTGAATACGGAAGTCATTGCGCTGTAGCTACGTGTTGAATACACCGGCACATCGATCGATCGATTTCTTTTTGAGAATTATTTTAGTATTTCAAGATCGCCAATTTATTTGAATTTAGAAGTCAACGCCGTCTTCTATCAGCTTCCACAGGCGTCTGCTTTTCTCAAAATGTTGTCGAAGTCATACGGATAGCTTCGCCAAGTCATGGCCTTGGGAATGAGTCTGTGTCGATGTCGTTTTCGTCACATGGTGAGAGTAAATAGCATCGCAGCTCAAAGAAACTATTTGATCACAAAACATATTGGGACCCATGCCGCTCGTCAGCCTTGGCATTAATGATTTACTACACTTTCGACATGTCCTCTCTGACTCCATAATCGATACGAGGAAGAACTCGTTTGTTGTGAACCAGACGTACACGACTGTACCGACATCGACCTGAGTGAGTTGTCATTTTTCATGCTTTCGCGCGGAATATTTCTTCGAGTTCACAGTGAGTTTTTCCAGGCAGCGCTCGAGCGCTCATACGGTAAGACGGCAAACTCCCCGGGCGATCACCAGGATTGCTAATCTTTTTGAAACTGACTGTAGTTGTCTCCACGAAAAGGCCAGGAAATCGTGCCACAACAGGGGTCTGAAGACCGCGTAGTTTTTAGTTGTGGTCGATAATTTCACATGGTCCTTCGAGCCGGATCGTGGAGCTTGAGATCGAGAGTCGATTAGTGTTTTAAAAATTGAGAAATTTGGTCAGTCATGGAGGAGAAGGAGGAGTCCAGAGAGACGAGTGAGACCACTAGCTCTGGGACAAAACAACCAGCAGTAGAAGCGTCGGCAAAGACGCAGGATCAGCTTGTTTTGCGCAAGAAGCGCAGGGTGCGTGGGGGCCATCGGGGATCGTGCACGAGATGCATGGGCGAGTTCCAGCACGTTGTGGACGAAGCTCGATATCTGAATGTGTTGGCCGACGATGTCCGTGCGTCTGTGCGTCATGCACGCAATTTGCTGGCGTGCAAGAGGGAGCTGCTGGCCGCTCTGGACGCAGAGGTCTTGGATTTAGTGTGTGACGTCAGTGATGGAGACGTTGAGGAGGAAGTCATGGAGGCGGATGACTGGACACTGAAGCTGCAGACGTTCTGCAGCACACTGGACCGTATATTGGATTTCCCAGCAGAGGAAAAAGCACGTACCCGTGATGACCGACGCGCCAGTACACTGAGCACACTGGGAGAGAGCTCAGAGAGTACTGCAGACTCGGGAAAAGCAGTCAACCCGATCACTGAGGATGCCGCGAGTGATAATACTACTACTAGTACTGAGAAGCTTGCTGCCCTTACAGAAGAGAGTGTTGTGGCGTCGTCAGCGTCCAACTCACAGTTGAGTACGCTGTCGTCAGTGTCGGCCAGTGGCAGCTCTGCCAGAGTGAAGCTGCCGAAACTAGAGCTCGGCAAGTTTGGTGGCAACGCAATGGAGTGGCAGCATTTCTTTGATGTGTTCAAGTCGCTGATCCACTCCAATAGCGGCTTGACAGACACGGATAAGTTCACATACCTACGTAGCAGTGTTTACGGAGCAGCAGCAGCAGTGATCAGTGGTTTGAGCCTCACAGAGGCGAATTACGCAGCGGCAGTCAAGTGTCTAGAGCAGCGGTACGGAGATCCGCAGCGTATAATCAGTGCGCATATGGATGCCCTGCTGAACTTGCCAGGTATCAGCAATGAGCATGATCTGTCGGGCCTCCGCAAATTGCTGGACAGTGTAGTGAACCACGTGCGGTCACTGGAGAATATGGGCCGGAAGACCGAGCATTATGGAGACATGTTCGCCCCAATTCTTCTCCAGAAACTGCCAAAGGCGGTGCGCCTGGATGTCTGCAAAGGTGTAGGCGATGCGTCCTTCTCGTTGCAAGAAGTGCTGCGGCAGTTGCGGGAAGAAATAAGAACCAGGGAACGCTGTTCCTATGTGTCCAGCGTCCAAAGTGGCACCAGAGAACCAAGCCGGGGCGCCATGGCAACAGCGGCATCACTAAACACGACAGTGCACAATATGGCGTGCATCTACTGTGGGCGGGACCACGCTACCGCGTCATGTTCCGTTGTAACCAGTGTGGCCAAGCGGAAAGATTCGTTGATCCAGCAGCGCCGCTGTTTTGTGTGTACGAGGAAAGGACATATAGCAGCGAAGTGTATGTCTAAGACACGATGTGGCAAATGTGATAGACGGCATCACACCACCATTTGCGCAGACGGGCAGCAGACATTCTCCGGAACGTGCTCCGCCATGTCGCAGGCATCGGCACCGCTACTCCAGACGGCCAAGGCAGCGGTGGCCTCACAGGAAGACCCGAACCGTCAGCTCAAAGCCCGCATCTTGCTGGATTTGGGCAGCCAGCGGTCATATGTAACAAACAGCCTGCGTCAACAGTTGGACCTGCCGACGGACCACACGGAGCAGCTGGCCATACGTGGTTTTGGCACACAGCACGGGTCGCCAAAGGAAGTCGACGTCGTGCGACTAAGCATCGCTACACTGGAGGGGAGCCCAGTGTCAGTGGCAGCAGTAGCCGTTCCCTTGATCAGCGCGCCGATCAGCCGGCAATTTCCGACCGAGGTAGCGGAGTCGCTCGCACCGTTCTCGACATTGCAACTGGCTGATGATTGCACTGGCGCGGCCAATGTGGACATCCTGATTGGTGCAGACCACTACTGGGAATTCACAGAGGGCAACGTCATCCGTGGCAGTGATACCCTGGTTGCCATAGCGACAAAGCTTGGTTGGGTTTTGTCCGGTTGTCCCAAGCCATCAGCACCAGCTTCAGCAGCAACGCACGTGTTCGCGGTCACGGCTGAGCAGCTAGAGCAGCAGCTAAAGCGGTTCTGGGACTTGGAGTCTCTCGGTATCCAGCCCTTGGATGGGAACCCAGTGCAAGCAGCGTTCGACGAGACGATCAAGTTTGCTGACGGCCGCTACACTGTGAGCCTCCCGTGGAAAGAAGTCCACGCTGTGCTGCCGGACAATTTTGGACTGAGCCACAAGCGGCTATTGTCTCTCACCAACAAGATCGAGAAGGTGCCAGACGTGTTCAGTGAGTATGCCCGTGTCATGGCAGAGCAGCTGGCAACTGGCGTCATTGAAGAGGTACCAGCAAACGAAGTCGGCGAGGTGGGTGAAGTTCATTACATTCCCCACCAAGCAGTGGTCCGCAAGGACAAGGCTACCACCAAGGTGCGGGTGGTGTACGATGCCTCAGCACACGCAGGGAAGAATCCTTCCATCAACAGCTGCCTCCACTCCGGGCCGAATTTGCTGGAGCACATCCCAGACATCCTCCTCCGCTTTCGGTGCTATCCAGTTGCCCTGACTGGTGACATTGAGAAGGCGTTTCTCATGCTCAACGTATGCGAGCACGACCGGAATGCGCTGCGGTTCCTGTGGTGGGATCGGCCGTTCTCGAGCGAGCGGCAAGTGCAGGTGTACCGGTTCGCTCGCGTGATGTTCGGGCTCACATCGAGTCCATTCCTCCTCAACGCCACACTGAAACATCATCTCGAGCAGTACCGGCAAGAGGATCCAGAATTCGTTGATGAAATCAGCCGCAGCATGTACGTCGATGACCTGGCAGCGGGCGCAGCGGATGACGAGGAAGCGGTGGAGCTGTACACGAAGCTCAAGGTCCGCATGGCTGATGGTGGGTTCAATATACGCAAATTTGCGTCAAGTTCCACAGCTGTGCAAGAGCACATCAACCGCACAGAAGGAGATACGGCTGCAGTTCACCCTAGCTCCGGGACAGCGTGCGAGGACGACTCCACGTACGCCAAGGCATCACTGAATGTACAGCCCCATGATTGTGACAAGGTTCTGGGTGTCACGTGGGACCGCCAGACTGACAGCATAACGGTGGACATCGCGTCAGTCTTCGACTCAGCAAAGGAACGGCCTACGAAGCGTACTGTCTCATCGCAAGCGGCACGGTTGTTCGATCCACTCGGCATAGTATCGCCAGTCACGGTCAAGCTCAAGATATTCTTACAGCAGCTACATGTCGCCGGTCTGGACTGGGATTCACCGCTATCAATCGAACAGGAGCGGGAGTGGGCATCCCTGATGAGTGCACTTCAGCGAGCAGCACCAGTGCGCATGCCACGATGCTATTTCAGCGGCGCTACAGCAGACGCCAAAGTATCGCTACACGGGTTCTGTGACGCTTCACAAGCCGCGTTTGCCTCCGTCGTGTACCTGAGGATCGAAGCAGCGACCGTGTCCATTCAGTTCGCCATGGCGAAGACCAGAGTAGCACCGACAGCGAAACAGACCATCCCACGGCTCGAGTTACTCGCAGCGTTGACGCTCGCCCGTCTGTTGGTCACAGTACGCCAAGCCCTGGACAAGCAGATCACGGTAGCATCGACTCACTGCTGGACCGACTCACGAGTTGCGTTGGGTTGGATCACCAACACGGAGCAGGAGTGGAAGCAATTCGTGCACAACCGGGTGTGCGAGATCAGGCGACTCACCGACGTCAGTGTGTGGGACTTCTGCCCAGGCACCCTGAACCCAGCCGACATTCCGTCACGTGGTGCTACGCCGGACGAGTTGCATACGTCGGTCTGGCTAACAGGCCCAGCATGGCTCAGAGAGAGTGAGCGGCCACCGGGTACGAGCTTCACGGAGGGAGAGCAAGTCCCTGAGGAGTGTCGGCAAGAGTTAAAGAAGTCAGCTCAGGTCACAAGTCTGGTGACTACCGACGCAACTAGCAGCAGCATCAGCGCCATTATGGACTGCACACAGTACAGCTCCTATCAGAAGTTGCGGCGAGTTACAGCGTACGTGTTGAAGTTCGTGAAGCTCGTGCAAGGCCGACGAGACGAAGCAGCCGCAGAGACGGTACTGCTAGATGAAGCGCAACGGCTATGGATTGCTGACGTGCAGCAGTCAGCACCAGACGCAACCAACCGCATCGCCAAGGCCAAGAAGCAGCTTGTCATCTTCGCAGATGAGTCAGGTCTGCTAAGGTGTGGTGGAAGATTGCAGGCAGCGGATCTGTCGGCAGGCCAGAAACACCCAGTACTGCTGATACCCGGGCACCACGTCACCGAGTTGATCGTCGCTGACTGCCACGAGCGAGTGCTGCACAATGGTGTACCAGAGACGCTGACGGAGCTACGAGCTCAGTTCTGGATATGTCGTGGTCGTCAGTACGTGCGTATGTTGCTGCACCGATGCAGACTCTGCAAGATGCTGGAGGGCAAGCCGTACGCGGGACCACCGCCACCTCCACTGAGTGAATTTCGCACGCAGGTCGGCTACGCGTTTCAGCACACAGGCGTTGATTTCGCCGGTCCGTTTCATGTGCGGACAGCGCAAGATGTGGAGAAGGCATACCTGGTACTGTATACGTGCGCAGTCACCCGAGCAGTGCATTTGGATCTCGTCAGCGATCTTAGTACAACCACCTTTCTCCGGAGCTTCCGGAGATTTGTAGCGCGGCGAGGAGTGCCGGCAGTTGTGAAGTCCGACAACGGCAAGACCTTCAAGGCAGCCGCACGTCTCTTGCGAGACCTCCATGTGGAACCGGAGACGAAGAGCTACTTGCAAGCCAAGAACATCCGTTGGACGTTCAATCTGGAGAAGGCACCTTGGTGGGGTGGCTTCTTTGAGCGACTCATCAAGAGTGTCAAGCGATGCGTCAAGAAGGTCCTGCGGTCGGCGCAGATTACAGCTGACGAGCTATTGACATTACTCGCAGATGTCGAGGCAATTCTAAACTCGCGCCCGTTGACGCACGTTTCGACGGAGGATGTACGAGAGCCGCTGACGCCATCTCACCTGCTATGTGGCCGAAGAGTTCTGTCACTACCTGACATGGTCGCCGACGATCCTGACGAAGTGCCTGTAAGCCGCAGATATGCCTATCTGCAAGAACTCCTGCGTCACTTCTGGTCTCGGTGGAAGAATGAGTACCTGCTGGAGCTCCGGAACAGCCACCGTATCGGACGTCACACCGATGTTGATACTATCGCCGTGGGTGACATTGTGGTGATTCACCAAGACGGGGTTCAACGCGGCCTGTGGAAGCTGGGAGTCGTAGACAGCTTGCGTCCAAGCGAGGATGGTCGTGTGCGAGGAGCTGTGGTGCGCACAACAACGAAGAGCGGCCGACCGACAACGCTAAACCGGCCGATTCAACGCCTCTATCCGGTTGAACAGCTTGTCGTATCACCAACCGCAGCGACACCTGAAAAGTCGACGCAGCAGATGCCTGATGCAGCGGACGACACGCCTGTCGAGGACGCAGCAGACGCCAGCCCAGTTCCGGACACCCGGCAGACACGCCCACGTCGGGCTGCAGCTCAGCGAGCGCAGCAGGAGCGACAACAGCTTATCAGTGCCAACAGGTTGTGAGTATGGCAGTGCACCAGCAGTCGCATCTTTCTATTCTAGTGTTGTTTTGTAGTTGACTATTGAATAGTCAAGGAGGGAGTGTGCGAGATTTATGAGTGTCAGTTGTCATGTTGTCAAGGAGGGAGTACGAGTGTGCGAGATTTACGAGTGTGATTTTGAGTGTGATTGGACAGGACACTGCGCTGAAATAGAATGAGTGTTGTTGTGATAACATCATTTACGAGTGTGTTGTTACAATACAGTGTTTGTTGTGCGTGTTTGTCGGATACGCCGATATAATCAGTTGCGTAGATAATACTTACGTTGTTGCTTGCATTCTCGCTCTCCACAGCAACTCCACAGCGTGCTGCGTTCTATGTATTCCTATTCTGTACACTGACTCTCTCTGACAGGGTTTGCTGTCACCCTGTCTCTGGGCGCAAGCACCCTCTGACAGACCAAACTGCTTGCTTCATCTCCACAATATTTATCTCCTTTCGATTTGAATTTCTGTTTGTTCTGCACTCTGATTTTTCCTTGTTGCACCTGCGCTTTTGTACGCGGAACTTTGCTGTCGCCATCGCGTCGCCATTATTTATATCCATGGTTACGTGGTGGTATGACTCATCGATGCATCATGCGCGCATGATCATTCTTCTTTTCTACTCGTACACTTCGATATGCATGCACGCACACTGATGTACACGTACACGTAAGCCAATGCACGCACGCGAGCACGTTTTGCTGATGACAGCGATTTGGCGATCGTTGTTGTTGTTTTGTTTTCGGGTTGATTTGAGAGTATGGTTGAAACCAATAAGTAAATACAGTCTTCTAGTTGTCTCCACGAAAAGGCCAGGAAATCGTGCCACAACAGGGGTCTGAAGACCGCGTAGTTTTTAGTTGTGGTCGATAATTTCACATGAGCACAGTTTGAATATCGCAGAGATGCGAATCAGAGACCCAAGCACAATATGCACTTACCCTTCCGCTCAAACACGAGAAGGCATGCACACGTGCTGACTTGCCACAGGCGTGCTGTACCATCATTCGAGGCAGATAGCAGGGTTGTGCCGTCAGGGGATAGCGACAAACACGTTACAGATCCCCTGTAAACACCCATACAATGTACATCCTCGCACGATCATTAAATAAATAGTGAAATAGGGCACGTCCGATTGGGAGCAATGGATGAATGATGTATCGCTGCCTCCTCGAACCAACATCATTTGATTCAGTGCACTAAAGACGATGGGTTCAGAAAGTTTCATCTTTGTCCGTGCCACTTCAAGAAAGGAAGGACGTTTGCAGTCAAATTCTCTATCAAGAAGGGAGTACTCATCCCATGGTGAACGGCGCTATTTGATTGGGAATATGGAGGATACTAGTCTGGCTGTCTGCATTATTGAGGATACTAGTAGGCGAATATGCAATAACCTGAGATTTTGCATTGAGTGACATTAGAAACACTGATCTGCCAATGCCATACCACACAAAAACAAACGTGATGATGTCATTTGCACTACCTCTACAGGACGAACGGAACATTGTAGCTTCCTCTGACCAACCCCGTTCGACTCAGCACCCAGAAGACTACAAGAAGTGTAGTCTGGATTTCAGGCCAAAGTTTCCTAAACATGAACACACACATTTCTTTATTTACAACACAAAAACACGCCGCTCAGCTACATTCAAGTAACTTACGTGTGTCCCGTGCACACCATTTTCGGTGACTGTCTTGCTTGGTCGTCCTCGCTGTTCTCACTTTGTGCCTTCTGAGGGCCACTTGTCTGAAAGAATGCAGAAACAGAAACGCAAAAGCAATGATACTTTCAATGCATTGTTAGACTCAATGTGAACAATGACAATGCTTTGCCCCACCGTTCCCTTTACAAGTGCAAGTGCATGGTTGTTGCCAGACCCTTGGGCGAACACTCTACTCCGTTCAGTTAATTTTGAACACTTAGACTAGCTACCTTGTCCACCAGCAACAATTCATTTCATCGCACTCAGTGTACCAGTGACATCCACCAACATCTACTTGCATAGCGTGCCTTACCGTGCAGTGCATGTTAACTTTGCGAATGAGGTGACCCTTTTCTTCTGCGCCGAACAGGTGCAGTTCCATAGTGTCCAGTGCCAGCGCCAGCAACGGCGACTCGAAAATCAGTGTGCACAGACGCTGTCCTGTGCTGAGTTCATATACCTGTTCAGAACACAACACAATCATAACAACAACAACAACAAGAAGAAGAAGATAGTTTAAACTTGCTTCGCATCGACTGAACAGTTACCTAAGGCTAAACCCCACTGAAGCAGAATTTTGGCCACAAAAGATTATCACTGAATACAGATGGAGTATATCACTGCTGCCATACCTGACACGTCCCATCTTTCGCTGTAGTAAATACACGAGCCTGAGCAGCTCCTATGCCACAGTAGATGTCAGTTACAGGCCGGGAATGGTCCCGCCAGGATATGCGCGGGCTGGGCACCTCGCCGCGGTTACACTGGCTAAGAACGCTGCACAGAAAGCAAGCCGCATCAACCGCACACTTCAATGCAATACATTTTAAATGGTCACGTCTACAATCACACATGGCAGAATAACTCCTGACATGTGCACTGGCTTATTTCTGAAACGTCAGATTCTCCACTACACCTACCCTTGCGATAATTTCATCTACAGTCCAATCTCTTTAGAACGAACACCAAGGGACCGATGGTATTGGTTCGTAATAGCGGAGTTCTTCTTATCTATATTTTATCCAGTGAATACAGTGATTTATCCGATAGAGTTTAATAGGAATACTAATTCTTCAGAAGTAGTGACTAACTCGGCCATTTGAAAATAATTGAACTGTCCACCTCTCCACACTGCGCTCTTGGCCCACATGCACAACACCATACTCCATAGCGAGGAAGTTCGTTCTTGGATAGATATTCCATGTCCTCCAGACAGCTGTTTTGCTCATTGAGAGCTCCACAGAGCTCCACAGAGCTATTACTATGGAGTACGGTGTTGTGAATACAGAGGTTCTGCTACACGGAACTACGTACCAAACTCCGTGTCAACTGCAGTGAAGTTTGACACGGATTTTTCGTACGTTGCACCGGTTCTGCTGTACGTAGCATGCTCGAAGCATGCACGAACACCCCGCCACATGTACTCTGTACGCTCACTTTTCACACGGAGTCCAGTCCGTGTGAAGCGCGCTTCACACGGAAAACGGTATGAAAAAATCCGTATCAAACTAAATCCCGTACCGCGGCGAAGTTTCCATACGTACTTTGGCACGTTTTACCGTGTGGCAGAACCTCACTAATATGGGCCAAGAGCGCAGTGTGGAGAGGTGGACAGTTCAATATTAGTTCTTCTATTAAAAGTTAAAGTTCGTTGAACCTCTGTGAAACCACAATATCAATGCTGTTAAATGCAGCTGTAGAGGCTCTGAGCTTCGCGATCCAGCATTCATTCAGCACAGGACAAGTACCGGTAGTGTATTGCACGCAAAGTACATTGCAAACACACGTACCTGCCAAAACCCCACACATGCACCTGCCCATCTTGGCCGCCTGAGAGGAAAAGCGAGCCATCGTCGGTGAAGCGCAGAACGCTCACTGGCTGGAAATGATGGGAAACAACTGCTAGAAGGCGCCCTGATCCAACCTACACAGACATCCATACATGTAGAACAGAGGAAATTGAGTACATGTAGAACAGACGAGATTGAGTACATGTACATGTAGAACATACTAGTAATCTAATTACTGTAGTACACACTGCATGGGAAGTATTGCCAAAAGAAAACTAAAGTAAAGTTCATACCTTGGCGTCCCTATTGTACCTGAAGATGGCTGTGAAACTGCACCGTTCGAGACATATTCAACTTCATGTACACATGATTTGATTGTTCCAGCCTCTTGTAGTCCCAAACTAATCAAACAATGGTCTAGTAGAACACGCGCCACAAACAAATACGTAAAGAGCTGCCCGTACGACAAAAACATTCCGACCATACAAAGCTCACACTCGTGCCCTGCCCCATCACCTATAGTGTCCATACTGGCATGTTGTCTGCAATAGCCAAGCTGTAGACACTCCATTTCCGCTTGCGATGAGTGATGTTGAAAAAAAACAATTCACACTCTTATCTCTACAAGGCAATGAATAAAACAATGGAAGCCGATATACATACCATGTCAGATGGACTAATAAAATAAAATGCTTTTCGGTGAAATGTCGCACTGTGAATCGCCGTTCGAGGTAGAGTCGTTCGGTGAACTCTCGTTCTGTGAACTGGTTTTCGGCAATCCGTCGTATGAACACATCAGGGCTGCCAAGCATGACTATTATTATTATTATACGCACGTCCGCGTTTACGTCAACAGTAAGTCCACGTATTCGCATGTGCCAGAAGACAGGCAGAGCATGACTAAGCAATGAATAATGGTTCAAGCTGCGTAAATCATACCTGCCACACATATATTGATGAACCGATGCCGCACAGACAATACATTCCACACGGAGTGCATGCGACTGCCAATGCCTTGCCGGGCAGAGGGATACGAATTATTGGTTGGGCGTGCTGAGGAGAAACAAGCAAAGAAGTATAGTAATGGTATCTTACCACCCGAGCTGACCTGTAGAAGTATTGCGGCAGCAATTATTTCTCCTGGCTCAGCAACATACCATATCCGCTGATGATCCTGGGTGCCCAGAACAAAACTATAGTAAAACATGCCATGACCGGATGCCCTTGGGGCAGCGGAAACTGTCCTAATATTACAGGATTCCGCTTGACCCAGGTGTTGCAGTTAGACTGGTGCAGCATGCTGGCTGTTAGAGTACAATCATTCATGCGTGATATGGATAGGCGGATGTGTTAGAGCTATGATCCATGTGTGCTTCTATTCATGCATTCCCATCAAGAAGGCCATGTGTCAGGTCTATTCAGTACTCTGGTGTCTAGACGTCTGCATTCTATTGTTGTATCACATTACATGGTCGAGTGTTGCCATAGGGTCTTTCTATACCATGTATGTGCGTGCACTGATATTAGCTATTGCTATCTTTTGTTAGGCCAGAGTTGGTTTTAGCCTAGTTGTGGAGATGTTCAGGTTTTAGTTCTTGGAGAGTTGTGACTGTTTTCAGATCATGAGTCAGTGTAAACATTGTGTCCTGGAGATCTTTGTGTGTGGATAATCCCGGTTCCGGGGAGAAACGGAATATCTGGTCCTTCGAGCCGGATCTGGAAATAGTCATCATGGAAGGTGAAGATAGGAGTACGCGCAGAAGTGCGCGGTCAACGAGAGGTGTAGCACCTCCCCGTTTGGGTTTTGAAGAAGAGCGCTCGATGCGCAGTAGTAGGAGATCAGGAGGAGGACAGTCCCGATCTTCATACGAGACTCAGCGTCGAGTTCTGGAAGCAGAAAAGAGGCTCCTGGAGAAGGAGCTTGAGCTCGTGAGGTTAGCTCAAGACGAAGCGTCGTCAAGTGGCCAAGGGGCCAAAGGATCGTCCTCTCCCAAGATGGCCTCCGAAGTCTTCGCAGAGGAGCTCATAGAAGGCCATGAAGCTGATGCAGCCGTTGACGCTGGCCAAGGAGATGAGGCTAGTATGGGTGAAGTAGAAGTTGCGCACCTGCCAGAACATGCAGTGGCTGTTTCTCACGATCCAGAGCCGCACGCAGTGCCGAGTCCCAGTGTAGCCGGAACTGTCAGTGCCCACACAAGCAGGAGTTTGCCTGTGGCGGTGAGGACTGAGTCTGAGGTCGCACGTGCGTCGACGAATACGGAGCAGGCCAATCTGTCAGGGTTGCGAGTGCAACAAGAGTTTGTGCTGAAAGAGAAGCGCTATCAGCGGGAACTGAGCGAAGCTCAATCAATAGCGGACGCCGAGCAGCGACGTGTAGCGAAATTGAACAAGGATCTTGCGAGCGCTCGTGCAGACCTGTCATCGCTGCAGGCGGAAAATAGGCGAGTCACGCAGGAAAAAGAGGTGTGCGAAGCTGAGCGGGATGTATCGGAAAGGGAACTGCGCGAGCTGCAGCCGCATCTCGAGCGCCTGGAAAGAGAACACCAGGAGGGGCGCATGTGTTTGGAAGATCTCCGCGATCAGAATGACCGCTTGCTGACGCGAGCCGAGCAGGTTTCAGCAGAGCAACACGCGCAGCGAGCTGAACTGCTCGACAAGCTCGAACGCCTTCGCGCGGAGAACGCCAGCCTGCAACAGCGGGCGGATCGAGGCGGAGGCCGAGGGTCGGATGAGCAGCGAACACAGCGAGCGGAGTTGCTAGTTCAGCTGGACCAGCTTCGCGGAGAAAATGATCGCCTGCGGAGGCGTGCGGACCACGACCAGTACACCGCACAGTGTTCTAGTGCGCAGCAACAGGAGCTACGCAGTCGGATTCAGAGCGATCAAGAGCCGGAGGAGATAGTGAAGACGCACCAAGCAGCTGGTTCCACGGTCAAAGGCCTTCAGCAGGATGGACGTGGGCAAGCAGATGAGGGTCTGCAAAGCCAGCTATCAAGGCTCACCGCGCGACAAGCCAAGATCAACACCGACTTGCCAGCGTTCTCGGGTGCAGCAGAAGAGTGGCCAGCATTCCACCACATGTTTCAGTCTACGACCAAGCAATGTGGCTTCACGGAGGCTGAAAACATTCAGAGATTGCGGGTCTGCCTAAAAGGTCCTGCAAAAGAGGCAGTAAGAATGCTCCTCATCGTGCCAGAGAACCTGCCGAAAGTTCTCTCAACGCTGGAAAGGAGGTTCGGGCGGCCAGAACTAGTAGTCACGGAGCTCGTATCGAAGGCGAAATCAGCTAAGCCGGTACGCAGTGACGATGTAGAGACCTTGGTGTCGTACAGCACCTCGGTTAAGAATGTAGTGTTATGTATGAAGCTGCTTGGTAGCTGTGGACATATGTCCAACCCTACCCTCCGACAGGAGCTAGTGAATAAGCTGCCAGTTGCACTGAAGATGCAGTGGGGCGAATACTTGGCGGAGAAAAGGATCCAGATGGATTCCCTCGACCTGGAGGTCTTCGCAGACTGGCTAGAAAATCGAGCAGAGGCTGCGCTGAATGTGGCCGGGCCGTTTGCCAAAGCGGCCCCTCGAGCAAGTAATGCAACAGCTATGCACACCACAGGTGGTCCAGCCAGCACAACTAAGCCAGTGTTGCAGTGCGCCAAGTGTGGTAAAGCGCACTCCCTCACCAGCTGTGATGTCTTCCGCCAACTGTCAGTGAAGCAGCGGTGGGACTTCGTGCTTGGAACATCGCTATGTGTGTGCTGCTTCAAGACAGGCCACTGGAAGTCCGAATGCAGAGGCAGTGGTTGCAACAAGTGCCGAGGCAGACACCACCCTGACCTCCACCAAGAGCGCGCACCTCCGGCCAACCAAGGCTCAACGAGCAGGAGCACAAAGCCACGAGAGAATGTGGTTCCGCAACACAGCACGAATACGTCGGTGGCAACCACGCAGAAGACCGCTTTTATGGTAGTCCCTGTCGTGTTATGCCATCAGGACAAGACGGTGCGGGCCACAGCCATGATGGACAGCGGTTCTTCAACAACATACCTGAAAGACAGTGTGGCAAACGACCTCGGGCTGCAGGGAACACCAACGGCATTTACGGCGTCGGTTCTGGGGGGAAAGACAGTCTCAGGAAAGCACCGTCGCGTAAAAGTGACAATGGCGTCGGAAGACGGCTCATATGAAACCCAGCTGGAAGCATGGACGCAGCCAATAGTTACAGCACCGATGGAGATGATCGAGTGGAACTCGAGGAGACACATGCACAAGCACCTCCAAGAGGTTACCTTCCCGCAGGTGACTGGGGACCAAGTCGACCTGCTGATAGGACTCAACGTGCCAGAAGCGCACAGAGTACTGGAAGAGCTGGCAGGACAGCCGGGCGAGCCAGTTGCTCGAAAACTTCCCCTCGGATGGGTATGTTTCGGTCCCGTCAAGTCGCAAGCGGCAGAGTTCACAGAGACGTCCCTGCATGCGAATGTCAGCGACAGGAGCAACGCAGTTCTCGACGACCTCGTCGCAAAGTTCTGGGAGGTAGAGAGCGTTGGTTTGGTTCCTAAGGCTACGAAAACGGTCGCGGAGGAGGAAGCACAACGTATGGTTGAAGGAAGCATGAAATTGATGGATGGCAGAGTGTCGACGGCCATACCGTGGGTCAGCACCGATAAGAAGCCAGATCTCCCACCGAATCGTGAAATGGCTGAACAGCGACTGAGAAACCTGGAGAGGACTCTGAGGAAACGACCGGAAGTCTACCAGCAGTATTCCGACGTCATCAAGTCCCATATAGCCAAGGGCTACATCCATCCGTGCCAGGAGACAGACCAACAGTGGTTGCTTCCTCATCTGGCGGTGGTACGAGCAGATAAAACTACGACGAAAGTACGAGTGGTATTCGATGCCGCTGCCCGATACCAGGGCAAGTCACTCAACGACGAGATGCACTCTGGACCGAAGTTGCAGAGAGATCTGGTACACGTGCTGATGAAGTTTTGCCTAGAGCCTATAGCGCTAGTCGGCGATATTGCAGAGATGTTTCTGCAGGTGGAAATCGCTCCAGAAGATCGCAAGTATTTGCGCTTCCTGTGGCGCGACACACCGGATGAGCCAGCCGCCATGTATGAGTTCTCTCGGTTGGTATTTGGGCTGAAGGCATCGCCATACCTGGCATGTCGGGCTCTGAAGGCAACGTCAGCAGAGCACGGCGCATCCTTCAGCAAGTTGGCTCGGGAAGCAGTTGATGAAGCGTTTTACGTTGATGACCTGCTCGACTCACTACCGACTGTGGAGTCCGCCATCAACACTCGACAGGAAGTCCAGAGTCTGCTCGGAAAGGCGTCTTTCCACGTCCGCAAATGGAGGAGCAACAGTCAAGCCGTGCTAGAGTCTATACCGGACGAGGACTTGGCCAAAGAGGCACTGCTATGCATCAGCAACGACAGTCAGCAAATACCAGCGGTGGTGAAGACTCTCGGTGTGGTGTGGGACGCCAAGACAGACACCTTCAGCTATACGCACCGTGCTCCTGAAGAACAACAGTGGACCAAGCGTCAAATGCTGTCGAAGATGGCGAGCATCTTCGACCCTAGAGGCCACATTGTGCCCTTTACCATGCGGGCGCGGCTGATGTTTCAGGAGCTTTGTGCAGCTGGGATCGGGTGGGACGACCAGATTCCGGCCGAGCTGAACGAGAAGTGGTACAGGTGGTTTGCCGAGCTGGAGCACCTCAGCAAGATCAAGATACAGAGATGTCTCAAGGAAACGGATCGCCCAGCCCATGAGGCATCACTGTCGGTACATGTGTTCACCGACGCTTCGGCCCATGCAACAGCGGCAGTGGGTTATGTCCGAGCGGAGTACCCCGATGGACATGTGCGCATCAGCATTGCGCTTGCTAGAGCCAGAGCCACACCACTGAAGAAAGTCACGATTCCGAAGCTGGAGCTCCGCGGTGTAGTACTGTGGTGTGATTGGTCACTTTCATATGTTTAGTCTTTGCATATTTAGCTACACGTATGTTTGTAGAGCCCATCGTTCATCTTTTGTTCTTTTAGGCTCTGAGGGGGTTGCCTTTTTGGTTTCTTGTTTTGTTTCACCCTCGGAACTCCTCGTGTGAGAGGGGGAGAATGTTGCAGTTAGACTGGTGCAGCATGCTGGCTGTTAGAGTACAATCATTCATGCGTGATATGGATAGGCGGATGTGTTAGAGCTATGATCCATGTGTGCTTCTATTCATGCATTCCCATCAAGAAGGCCATGTGTCAGGTCTATTCAGTACTCTGGTGTCTAGACGTCTGCATTCTATTGTTGTATCACATTACATGGTCGAGTGTTGCCATAGGGTCTTTCTATACCATGTATGTGCGTGCACTGATATTAGCTATTGCTATCTTTTGTTAGGCCAGAGTTGGTTTTAGCCTAGTTGTGGAGATGTTCAGGTTTTAGTTCTTGGAGAGTTGTGACTGTTTTCAGATCATGAGTCAGTGTAAACATTGTGTCCTGGAGATCTTTGTGTGTGGATAATCCCGGTTCCGGGGAGAAACGGAATACCAGGGATACAAGTTTGATCCTCAGCGCGTTGCGTCGGTGCATGAAAATTTGTTGGGTCAATGTAGGATCCCGCTTGTTGGTACAGGGTTCGGCAAACACAGGTCTTGACAAGTGAAATCCAGCGCCATGAACGTAACACCTCCGCAACTGCATGCACCTAGCACTGCGAACGTTGGGCTGTGCAGTGAACGTGACTCTGCTGTGTTCATGAGGCCGAGTTTCACTTGCCAGCACTGCAATATCCAACAAGAGAGTAGTGCATGTACCTGTCCACAGTGCGCCCTGCCAAACTCAGCAAAACAATTTCCTGCACTTTTTTCTCAGAATATTCCCGAATGCATATTGCCCGTGCATATTCACGCATGAATCCATCATGGGATCAAACGGCGAAAAATATATCCAATCTCTGGAACAGCAATATAGACCATACCCCCACCTTTAACCAAGTCCATACGTGCAGTACTGGTTTCTCCTTGTACGCAGCCACCACGTAGTCAGAGCCCAGTCGTGCAACACCACGACATGCAACTGTTCCTGCACTTCCACGTAATGCCTGTGAGTGACGACCACCCGTGTGCATGTCACAGAGGGACAGGGTCCCCTCCGTGTCCTCTGCAAGAAGAACGGCTGTAGGTATCATTGTGGACTTTCGTCAGTAATGAGCACAACAAATTCTGAACGCAATCAACGTAAACGAAATCAAACTCATCATGGTCATTGAAAAACATTTTCAATCTTCCGTAGGCGGTCAGCACGCACTAGCTAGACCTACCCTGGCTACATACAGGCTACCACGCGCGCACGTGCCACTTTTCTCGATGATTGTTTGAACTGCACTGTCATGCTGCCGATCTGGTTGTGGCGCCGGCAGGGAGTACAATCATGTAGTAAAAGCGTGTAAAATACTACTCCTGGTTTGTGGCCAAGGCGACTGCGTTTCTGGACAGCAAGGAACAAAACAGAAAAAAGGGCAGGTTGGTTGGGAATCAGCTCTCGTTGTCAGTGGTTGTTGCTTGATTTGCTGAGGAAGTTCTCGTTAAAAAGAGATCGGTTACTTATTGGACAATGGCGTTGCAAAACCGTGGCTTGATGGTGCGTCGCCATCCCGGCGATGATGGTCCTCTGCCCCAGAAGACTCCCCTGCTGCTGCAAATGGTACGTGCTTGCACGACATTGTTGAGGGGTCGTTTGGCATAAGAGAGACTATACTCTCTATAGTGTATACCATCACCAAGAGTACGTAAGAACGGGGATTACTAGTATTTACTCTTGCAGTCATACGTAGTACTTCGGGTGTGATCGCGTCAAGTTCTTCTCTGTACGACACTGTAACAGCTAACACAATAGTAAATTTCGTACCTAGTACAGGTTCCTGTAGACCAAGAACATTGAGCAAGCGTCCTGGGGAGGGGCGTCTGGGTTAATCTGACAGCAGAACAAGCATGTAGAGCATTGAAAGCAACAGCGCGCACTGCGAACGCGTCGAGAGTAGGTAGCGCAATTTCCAGGATGTTGGCATAGAAACCGTAACGGTCGGTCCCGTGGTTTTTTGTGACGGGAACTTCAAGAGCGATGGTCAAGTGTTGTACACGTACCCTACTTTCATGAAAAAACATGTCAGAAACTCACAAAGTGCTAAGGATAGCGGGAGCTAATGCGGGACTGCTCCGGCTGCCCCATGTTGCACTCCTGAGTACTTGTAGTTAGAGCATACTCGGCACACTGGAGAACCAGTGCAAACCAGCTGAATGTGCATGATCCGCGTGATCTTGTTCTAGTTCAGCAGCAGCTTATTAATCTTCTTATCTAATATCTATCAAGTGGTCAGCCGGGGAAGTGAACTGATCCTTTGAAATTTGAAGTTTTCCCAATCCGTTAAAAATGAATACCGGTATCTATGTAGAAAGGAAAAAGACATTATGGATACGAGTTAGAGTAACTCTCCATCACTGTAACATGATACCGTACTGGCAATATATGTTGCCGCGTAACGCGTAACGCAGGGGGGTGCGGCGTAACGCGCGACCAGGCTAATGCGACAAATTTTCGTTGAGTTCGTAACGCGCGTCCGGCGGGGTGCGGCGATCTTTTCATTGCAGTTTGCACTGCAAAAAAAGGCTGAAAACTGTGAAAGCACGTGTACCGCGTGGTGAAAAGTAGTTTTTGGAGGAAGCGCTCTTCCCCTATGTCACTTTCCTTTTGATGATCTTTTTGTGAACAGATCACTCTGATAGTTAAAATTATACAGTCTTCTATTGATATCGTTGTCGCCCTTTGCCGTCGGGTTTGTAACAGTTGGATAGCAACTGAATTTCTGTGCCTTCAATGTGGATGAAAAGAAAAAATGATGCGGCAAAAGCAAAAAAAATGATGCGGCGATAGCAAAAAAGTGATGCGGCAATAGCAAAAAAAGGACTGCGGCAATATAGAAACCTGTGTAACGGCTCCTGTGCGACTTTGCATGTAACGCCCTGCGTGCGGCAAACATGTGCCAATGTAACGCTTCATGGCCTCACTGCGGCAACATATATTGCCAGTACGGTACTTTATGCAGTCAGAAAGTGCAATAACTAGGCACAAAACTGACAGAGTACTGAGACATTCGACGTCCTGACACCTAGCTTCAACACATCTCCGTAGCGCTAACCGACAGCCTTCCAACTATGGTATCTATGTGTTTGAATTTACGGACAGCGCACATGCAAAGGTACCAACATCAAGGGGTGGCTCCTGACCAAGGATGATCCTACCCTGGGTCAACACAAGTTCTTCTTTTGATATTGGATTTCTGTGTTTTATTTCCAGGAGGACATCCCAATGCCAGCTGCTGGCCCTGGTGGTGAGTTGGTGTATTTTGTAAATGTGTGCATTGCATACATGTACAGGGGCGTCGTACACGGTACGGTCACTACGGCATTGACCGTACCACCACCACTATTTGCCCCAAGTACCCTGTGAATCAATAAAATGCACTGATTTGGGCTCCAAATTTCCAAACATTTCGGCTCAACCATCCCTCCCCCACGAGTAAATTGTACTTCAGGTGGCTGACCGTTCCACACTAAAATGCCTTCCGACGCCCCTGATGTACTACATGGGCATGTAGAGTAGAACCCGGGTTAAGGGTCCACCTACTCGTAACTCTGCGCGTACATAGCTGGACTCAGTTGTACAGGGATGTGCAAAAAGGTGTGCAAAACGACTTCTTGTGAGTAGATGGACTCCGGAAAAATAGTTTGGTGCGAAAAAAGTTACGGCTTCCTCGGAAACCGACGGGGGACCCCCTCTTGGGCCGGAAATTAAATCCCGGTATAAGGATCTCCCGCATAATGTACATGCCAAGTGCCCCCCCCCCCGGGCTCCGAAGGATCACCTGCACAATGTATGTGCCAAGTGCCCCCCCCCCCCCCTCCGGGCTCCGATCCCTAATCCGGTTTGACCCTTAACCCGGGTTCTACTCTAGAGATTGCCGGAACTTGTGTCATTAAGTAGGTGGTATCATTGGGGAGGTTCTGTCATTGGTTGTGTCAGTGAAGAGGTCGTGTCATTGAGGAGGTGTGTGTCAGCGGGGAAGTTTTAGCAACACAAAGCATGCGGCATGAACTGTGCTCCAACTCCAAGTGTTCTTGTGCCCTGGTGCCCCGCGTGTGCAGAGGCCGTGATCAAGATGGAGCGCGTCGGCATCTGCGGCTCTGATGTTCACTACTGGCAGCACGGCTACATTGGTGACTTCATCGTGGGCGAGTCGTGCCTCATGGGACATGAGTCTGCCGGTGTTGTGCATGAAGTCGGCGACGGTGTTACCAACGTTAAAGTCGGTAAGCAGCAGCAGGAAGGGTTACAGTGGCCCCTCTACAATCCGCCACCATTTGTGCTACGGAATTTCTGCTGCATTAGGGAGGGTGCTGGATTAGAAAATCTGATTTACTGCTGCAATGTGCATGAAAAGGACATTTTGGTAACTAAAAATTAGGCTGGTTGATAGAGGGTGCTGGTTTATGAAGTGCTGGATTAAAGAGGGAAGACTGAATAAGATCTAACTGAGCTCGATGATATCCTGCACGCCAGGCGGCCATATTCTTCACATGTGTGTTTTAGTTCAACAGTTACTCGCGGTGGCTTTATGAAATGTCATACGGAGAATGAGTATGGGGCAGGTGATGGCTATGTAGACAAAGTGTGTGTGTACACGTGTGTGTGTGTATGTGTGTGTGTGTGCATGTGTGTGTGTACACATGTGTGTGTACACATGTGTGTGTACACATGTGTGTGTGTGCACGTGTGTGTGTGTATATGTGTGTGTGTGTGTGCACGCATGTGTGTACTTGTGGCTGTGTTGCTCAGGTGATCGTGTTGCCATTGAGCCCGGTGTTCCATGTCGTCGTTGCTTCCACTGTAAGACTGGCCACTATAACCTGTGCCCAGACATGGCGTTCTGTGCCACCCCACCCATCCATGGCAACTGTAGCACATACTACAAGCATGCTGCCGACTTCCTCTTCAAGTAAGTCAGTGACATGTAATGTACAGTGCTCTATCCTATACTGTAAGTCCACGAATGTTCGGCGCGTATAAATTTCGGCCTCCCAGGGCTAAAACACATTTCAGCCGCATTAAAATTCCGGCCTCTGCCGCTTCTGCATGTATGCACTGTCACACTGAACCTTGAAAAACAAAATGTCGGCCGCAACAAATTTTCAGCCAAAAATGCCCAGGCCGAAAATAGCCGAAAATAAATATGCGCCGAATATTTGTTGACTTACAGTATTGTGTGTTTATGCAGTGTAGTTTGTACTGGGGTGTCGTTGAATGTCCACGTTTGCGTGCATGCGCGTGTGTGTCTGTGTGTGTGCGCACTTGTATGTGTGTACTAGTAAGTGTCTGTGTGTGATGAATAGGGTGCTCACGATACTGTATACTAGTACTACATTTGGCTGTTGCTTTCGGCCGTTGTACGGTTTGTTTGTTGGAGTCTTTACTCTTTGGTTGTGCCCTTCTTCTGGCCCGGGTCAGACTGCCAGACCATGTGACCAGTGAGCAAGCCGCACTGCTGGAACCACTCAGCGTCGGTGTGCACGCTTGCGGCCGTGCTGGTGTTGCCATGGGTAGCAATGTTCTCATCATGGGCGCCGGCCCGATTGGACTGGTGTGCTTGCTGGTGGCGAAGGCATCCGGTGCAGCCACAGTCACTATCGTCGGTGAGTGGAATCTGCATGGTGTCCCCCTACATTTCCACACCATATCTGAACTCATCTGCTCTTGGCAATGCTGAAACATTCCTAGATTTGCCAAGGAATCCTGATCAATACAACCACAACTTGTCAAAACAATTTATAAAATTATCTAAAGAAATGCCACTGCTCGTGCATTTTACTTTGATCCTGAGCCATGGCATGTTGCAGGCTCATGTATTATTGGGCATCTGCCTGCATCCCCGGATGAGTACTGTACACGACCTCTTTGGCTTGTGGTAAGACTCTGGCTGTTCTTATCCTGTTGCTGTCTTGCCTAGATCTGATTGAGCAGCGTCTTGAAATGGCCAAGAAGCTAGGCGCTGATTTCTGCATCACCAGCTCGACTAGCGAGACACCGGAGCAGCTAGCCGCTCGCATCGAGAAGACCGTCGGACACCAGGCCGATCAGACCACCGAGTGCACGGGCGCTGCACCGTGTGTTTCCACCGCTATCTATGTAAGCACTGGTGCCATGTCATGATGCCGCTGCTGGGCTTCTTTTCAAAGTTTTCATGATAAGTAATGCTCACCAACTGGAACGATTGCTGAATGAGCAGGGGAGGAAAAGCGCACGCTCATTGACTGGTGTGCCGTACAGCTGAAGCTAACTAGCCTTGCACTAAGCACATTGGGGGGTAATAGCAAGAGTACATAACCCCCCAGAGTGTGCAACGCCGATCCAGCTCTGCATAGGGTCTTGGTCGAGCGGAATCGGATCTTCTGATGTCATGCGTACACTCCACACCAGCGCAAGGCCGGTCTCGAGGCAGGGTACCATTGTTTTTGATCCAAGAGCACCCGCGACTCCCCGGGTTCCCCTCAGATGTGTACGGTATTATGACGCAAAGATCCGATTCCGCTCGACCAAGACCCTATGCAGAGCTAGATCAGGCGTTGCACACTCTGGGGGGTTATGTACTCTTGGTATAAATAGGGCAAGTAGCATTAGTGTCATTTATTGTCATCGTTAGCTGTCAGTAACTGCTATTGCCAATACCGTCCCTTGATACATTGTTTCATATGCCGTTGCTCTTGGACTTGGTCACTATGTCACCAACTCCTGTACTGCAGGGTACCCGTAGCGGCGGTACGGTTGTCCTCGTCGGTCTCGGCCGTCCCAAGGTGGAAATTCCCATTGTCAACGCTTCCGTGCGCGAGGTAGACATCCGCGGCATCTTCCGATACTGCAATGCGTAAGTTAATTAAACGCCCGCACTATGCCTATTATCTGCAGGGAGCTTTCTAACAGCACGCGCGCGGATTGGGGATCTCTGCATTCACGTTGCTATTGCTTACTGTGCTAATCTGCTGCATGGCTACCCTTTCACACTAACTATACTAGATACCGGAACATGTTCAATCTTGTGCAGTTCTGTGTGGTGATGCTTGGATGACTATATATACATGTGCGCATGTAGTGCACAATATGTACCGCATTTGTCGCAGTATAATGCGCATCCTGACTTGACCAGCTTTTGGACCATTGTAACAGTTAGGTGCATTTTACAGATCACGTTCAGAGTACATAGTGCATGCTTGGGTATTTTGAGCCTGAGTTAGTGCTTGGAGAGTGCATTGGCCGATACGTGTGCATGGCAAGTGCAGTGTCTGCAGCATTGTGTACCGTAATACGTGTACTTTATTGCATATTCCTGTCTGTGTTTCCATGTGTAGCTATCCGGTCGCTCTGCAACTGGTTGCATCAGGCAAGATCACAGCCGAACAGCTGGATTTGTTTGTCACACATCGCTACAAGCTGGCCGATGCAGCGACTGCCTTTGAGACCACTCTCAACGCTGTCCAGACGAATTCAATCAAAGTGATGATTGAGTGCTGAGCACAATTTCGGTGCAGTGTTCTTCTCTTGTCACCTATAGTTTCATGATTGTACATGTAGTCATTTTACTCAACTGCTGGCAGTGAGTATTGATTTTACACTCCTTGGTTTGTCTCTCTATCTACATGCAGGTATCTTGGAAGCCATATTTCAGTCTATACATACAGGTACACCATCTATCTAGATCTTCTCTTCTATTATTATTTTTATTTTGTCCACGCATGGATGTTGATGCAGATGACCGACGAGAAAAGCTGTAGTGCATACAACCAAGAGTAGATGAACAAGAGTGTGCAACTCCCGGATCCGCGCGGATGGGTTGGTTGGCCCACGGCGGAATTTTTTGTTGACGTAATCTTTTAGACGACCCACACGCTGCTAGTCTTTTGGAAAGTTTTGCCTCGTGCACTTGGCCGGGCTTTACATTACAAGGTCGGTGTCCAGCACGTGCTCTCACACTGCTCTGCGGCAAGAAGCGCATTTTTCTGAAAAAAGGTGACGTCAACAAAAAATTCCGCCGTGGGCCGAGGGTGGAGATTGTGCAGGAGAGATCCGGAGTTGCACACTCTTGTTTATCTACTCTTGATACAACTGATCTGCTGCTGTTGTGCATGCAGGGGAGACCTGCTCGGATCCTGCATGCTTGTGCACACTGCGTAACTAAAAAGATGTACATTAGGCGAGACCAAAATAAAATCGAGATTCCCGGGCAGGACCCATGTGAAATTGGTGCGGGCGGGCGAATTTTATTTTTTATTTTTTCCTATGTATGTACATGACTATATGTGTGCATGCCATGTTGAACTTTTTTTACAGCATTTTCCGGTAATTTTTATTCAATTTTTTTACAGAAAACAGGTACGCGGTTTACCCGTTCAATTTTTCTATAATTCGGCCAACGATGGCCCTGATCTGTACATCTGGGAGTCGTACAAGCTCGGGTTTGTGTGACTCCATGTCACAGATCTACTACTCACATGATCAGTACTGTACATGTATGAACTGTTCAAAAAAAAAAAATTGGATTTGGCTCGATTTTGGTGCGGGAGGGCCCGGGAATCTCTAATTTGTTTTGGTCTCGCCTTATGATTAAACAAAATAGCCGGCAAGAGTACAAAAAATCAGAGTGTGCAGCTCCGTATCTATGCGGCATAAACCGCAATCCCACAGCGAAGTTTATTGTTCAGGTCATGAATAAGAATCAAAGAAACCCGTCCTTCGTACCAGTCCATCACATGTGCACAGGTGGGGCACTGTTTTTTTTGCAATGCTAGTACATTTTACATTATCCAGCTTTTAAAAAAGAAGGCAACGGAAAACAGAGCCTGACATTTACTGTTTACTGAATTTCTCACGACTCAACAGTAACGGCAACAAGACACGTTAGTTCCACCACACAAGGCTAACTGGGTCACTCAAGGTTCTTCCGCAATGGAAAGCAGGTATTGGAAGGCGTAAAGGGCACAATACTCTAATTTCAGAAATTTTCGGTTCTCAATATTTTCGGTATGAGGGCAACAGGCTAGGTTAGGTGAACAGAAATTTTCGGTACAGAGAAGCAGTTCCCTATTGGATTATGTGTGTTAGTGTTTGTTCGGTGTATTGAAAATTTAGGTGTGAAAAAGACGCACCAAAAGTACCGAAAATTTGTGAAATTACAGTATGTCGTGTCACTGCACAGCAGGAATACAGAGTATGAAAAACGCATCAGAATTTCCTCATAAACGGTCTCAAAAGGAGAACGAGATGCTCTAGAAAAGAAACTGGCTCAAGGCAATGTTATAAAGAAAAGAAATCAAGAAAAACATAGGTGGTGTGCATTGGAAAAAAATGCAGGTAATTCGACCAATCAATTCAAGTTGGTGCTGAGTCCGAGGTTTAAAAAAAAAAAAAAAAAAAAAAAAAAAAGCTTGTTAAGGAACTTGCGGCCACATAGGTCAAGTTGGCCTGCAACCTCGACAGACTCGTCAGGATAGGTTAATTTCGCCACAACTAAAGGAAATCAGTGTGAAGTCATATCAGATCAGAATGTCAACAGATCATAATTGTGTCTTGTGTGTTTGGCAAACAGAGGGAATGCCTAAACTGGATAGATAGCCACGGTGTACATGTAGCCGTGGGTGTGTTTCATGAAAGTGGCTGGACTTTGTGAAACATATTTTCAGGCTAAGCAAAGTGGACAAGAGACAGTAGCAGTGGACAGCAAAGCAAGCTAAGAACAAGAGCACAGCAAGACAAGGCAGCACTCGTAGACCCTATGCAAGAACGTGATGGGGTGGATATGCGCAGCGCGGGCAAAGATAAAAGCGATTCATACAACAGCAAACACGAACAAGCAGCGCACCTATAATACTCGACATTGCGCGCACACACACACACACATACACACACACACGCGCACACACACACACCACCACCACCACCACCGCCACCACCAAGTGCAAAAGAAATAAATAAAAAATTTCAAATAAATATGCTGTACAAATGTACAACGAAATAAACCGCAAATTCAAGTACTTGAAGTTTATAAAACAGAGTGGAGATGATGGAGACTGTAGCTGGCAGGGAAAATTCACTTATCCTGATAGAAAATGATTCAGAAACTGAATGAACTTTTTCTCCCTGCTCACACGTTCCTTGGCAGTTTCATCCTCTTCAGAAGGTCTAAAGATAACGTTGGCAAAAGCTGACACTGCAAGAATCGCAACATTAAAAAAAAAGGGGGAGAAGCAACAGTTTAGTACTGTTGTAATACCCAGGGTATGAAACTGTGATCATCTTTTTATAGACCAATTGCGCTACATGCTACCTTCATTACATCATATTGCTACCTCCTCCAACCTAAATCTTCCAGAAGGTGTCGTGCTGGGGGTACCAAGTCGAATGATACACTACATACAGGTCTAGGAGCACTGTAATAATATTATCGTAACCAGCCATTTTGCACTTTTAAAAATCTCAGCAAAGTCATCACCGGAATTGGGAACACAGTGTGTGCGAGTTTCAGTGGAAAATCTGATGAACGATTCATGCATTACAACCTCCTCAGACCATTCTACCCAGTGCCCTGAACTCTACAAGACCATTCTACCCAGTGCCCCCCTGAACTCTACAAGACCATTCTACCCAGTGCCCTGAACTCTACAAGACCATTCTACCCAGTGCCCCCCTGAACTCTACAGACCCGCAGGCTTTATTTCGGGGGGGGGGGGGCTTTAACCAAGTTCAGGCGTGTGCTCGCGCGCGCTCTCTCTCTCTACTCCCGCTGCCATAATCTTCCTCAACTGAATGACGTGTATCGGTCCACAGATCCGTCCAAGTGACACACACACACGCACACACACACGCACACACACACGCACACACACACACACACACACACACACACACACACACACACAAGCAGACACACACACATACGCACACTCGTACTTGCTCACTGCCAAAACTGGTCACGGGTGTCTCCCTGGGAGAGGGGAGAGAGACTCAAAAGGAGTCTTGGAAATATGACTCAATTGGCTATTGAACGGCCCAACGACCCACACCCCTGAAATTACCAAACTCTGGGTGGACACGCACACACATGTACACACGCATACACAATGGCACACACACAAACTATATTAAATATTTAGCTAACTACTCACAGACACTGGCTCGGTTGCACTGGTTTTGGGCTGCATTGGCGAACAATAGCGACAGCAGCATCATCAGCTTGGTAAAGGCCATCAGGTGAATAACCGGCATGGAATCGACCAACTGTCGGACAGAGGACAGAAGAACCAGAAGAGGACGCAACATTCGTACTCCACATATAATACAGTCAACGACCATAATTATTATGATTACTTTATTACAACACACGCACGCACACACACACGTGCACATGCACACACACACACGCACACACGTGCACACACACAGTTTTATCACCCCCGAGAGATCCATCTGGGATCGGGTAGCTGACTTTGGTTGAGGAGGCAACGGCGACCAGACCATATAATCCTCGGAGAAGTTACCTGATGATTGCGTGAGCATGAAACTCAGAATAGTGACACACTAGCCTTGCCCTTGTTGTTCTGTGTAATCCTTGGAGATATACTGTAAATCGCCCAATATTCGCGTCACTAATTTTTCGCGATTTCTTAGAACCAGCGAGTTTGCGATGGCAAAAGTTCGCGAAGCACTGGGGCCATTTACATACACCCACTGTTGAATTTAGATTTCACGATGGTTAATATCCGCGTTACGCTCTTCTCGCGAAAATAGCGAACATTAATCCGTCGCGAATATTAGGCAGTATACAGTAGTTGACAGTATGCTATGTGAGTGCTTACCGTCCTACATGCCTCTTTATCACAGATGATGGTGCAGCAGGCAGTGTGATAGCGATATGGTATGAGCGGCTCGGGCAATGCCTCCAGGAAGACCAGCAGAGCCTCGCCGACACTGCGCACACCCACGTCTCCTGCAGAGCACAGCACCATACACACAAGATGCGAATGTTATGTACGGTCTACTGTAACAAGAGTTGAATCTCTATAAATGTGGCACACAGTTATACATTTTAACGAGAAAAAGATCCATCCTTAACTCAAGAAATGCTGCTAGTGTGCTATTCCTTATCTCTTCTGTCCTTGAGAAACAGAAGACGGGTGTGTGATGGAAGGGTCGTTAAACTTTGTGCCCGCTTAGTGGGAAAAATTGCAACTCGTTAAACTTTGGACTCGTCACACTTTCAACTCTTACAGCACAATCATGTAGCAGTAACATTATAAAAAGAAGAAGTTTTACACACAGCAACCTGTAGTTAAAATTAGTATTGCTTCTAGACCAGCATGACACTGTCCTAAAAAAAACAATAACTCACGTAGGTCAAGATTGCCGTTATCAAGTTGATTCCTGATCTCCACCAGTTCACTCTGTCGACCACCATCAATGAATAAAGCAGGCTATAGAAGCAACACACAGACACAACCAAGTGCACACACACACACATACACGCACACGCACACACACACAGACTCGCACACGTGAGCTGTGCCAGGAGAGCGGTGGTATGAGCTTAGCTATGCCGCGAGGGCGGCGGCGTGAGCTATGCCAGGAGTCTTCCTGTGTTTCAAAAGAGTCCGAAGAGTTTCGTACACTCACCGTTTCTAAGCCTCGCTCGCCCAGGGCGTCAAACAGAGCCCAAAGCGGCCGGGGTGGATGGTCAATGTCTGCTGTATCACTCTCAACGACCTGAAGAGACAAACATACACATGAGAGCCCAGTACCAAAAACAGTACACAGTATTCCTGAAACTGTTGTAGCTACGCGTACACATGCACTTCCAAATGTTAAGACAAGCCCAAATGGTACTAGTAGCTAATGTTAATGTTAGCGTTGGACAAACTATGGACAACAGTCAACAGGTAAACATTCGGTCCTCTTGTAAATGTTGGACATTCTTTCTGTCTGCCCTTGATCATCTCCTTCGTGTCAATCATTTCACCTTGGAAATATACAGTACCGTCGGTCGCCGAAGAACTGGGGGTCAGCCTCCCAGCCTAGACCGTTCTGATCACAGTCTATGGGCAGTTGAGTCACCGTGTATACATCGCAGGGTTCTAGCTAAAGGGGGGTAGGGGGGCGCAGCGCCCCCCCCCCCCCCTACTCTGTTTGCGCGCCCCCCCTGTGAAAAAGTGCCGCCCCCCTACTCATTTTCCGATTTTTGTGTTTTTTCACGCCATTCAACGAAAATACAGTCGATAGTCACTACTAGAGGGTTCATAAAGGCACATTTGTGAGGGGTGAAGTCGGGGGTTCACCCCGTATGTTACATTTTGCATGGCAAGACAATTTTGGACAATGGAAAAAATTGGTCATGGGGTAACTTTTTCCCATGCCCGCCCCCTACTATTTTGACCTGGCTAGAACACTGCATTGGTATGCTGCGCTTGATGAAATTCTAGCCTGGTCGTTCTTCGGCGCCCGGCAGTACTGTAGTGCCTCGGCTATAGAGTACAGGCTTTGCATGTCCATGTACGTTAGACTGGAGTTTCACTGCATACGGTTTTACAAGCGTACTCGCCGAATTATGTAATACAGAATTGACTCAGATGGGAGAGCCAATGATTAATTACAGCTTTACTTGTAGTTCCTTGGTCCTTTTTCTTTTCTATAAACTTATAGAACTATCCAATAATTTGTAGAGTAATATTGGGAGAACTTCAAAATTCAAAGGATCAGTCTGGAAAGTGAGCTGCCTGAAAAGAGAACAAATGCCAACCCCACCAGGACTCGAACCCGGGACCTTGCTTGTCATGAGCAACGCTCTATCCATCTAAGCTATGGGACCAGGCCGAACCTAGAAGGCGCTGGTGGGGTTGGCATTCTTTCTCTTTCCAGGCAGTTCACTTCCCTGATTGATACTCACAGAATTATGTAGTAATGTACTTACAGAATTGTGTAACGAGACCAAGACCGTGTCTGAGTCCAAGCTAAAGCCGGAGGCACGGCACCGCGTTGCACCCAGTGTACCCTCACTACTCGTGCGAGTCATGATTGCCAGTTCACCTAGGTTGCGGCCGAACAAAGTCTGCTGGAAGTTCACAGAGATGTTGAGAAAGAAGTCGCGACTGCCGTCCAGATGGAAGATGAGGATGGCGTCCTTCTGCGGCTGCACATTGAACCAGGACAGCTGGTTGGCTGCAACCGAGACTGTGAACGACAGCGTCATGGACTTCTCTGAAGGTTACGACAACGGAAATGGCAACAACAAGAAAAGGGGAAATGATAAGAACAATCACCAATACAATGGCATTGTTAGCACACACATCATGTTCCGGCCAGCATGCTAAAGGGGGGGGGCTGTCTTTGCAGGTAGAGCAAGACCAAAAGGAGGCAGGGTGCGGATCACCACAACCCTGAGGACACCTACCTGCCATATGCAGCAGGAGGTAGAGTTTTGAAGGGAGGTGAACACTGGGTATGTTGATTGCACAACAGCAGCACTAATATTGGTGGTTTAGCGTGTGCGCTAAGCCCTGTTAACGAACGTGGAACATCTACCACCAAGAGTACATAAACCAGAGTGTGCAACTGTGCATATCAGATCTGAAACAGCGCAGTTCATGCACTACGTCACCCTGATGAGGTCAGCCAAGCCGCGACTTGCGTACAGCTCGAATTTTCATGTTTCATAGCCCGGAAATCAGCCAAGTTTGCTTGATTTTAGACGTCCTGTTTCAGGATTTCGGTGTTTTGTGTGACTGTGTACGCTGCGTACATCCACCGACAAGTAAAGTCACCAGGCTATCCGTCTCAAAAAACCGAAATCAGGACAAACTCAGTGAACTGCACCACCGCGACTGGTTACGCAACTTTTCACCATACCTGTGGCTTACCATGCCGTCAGAAATGACGTAGTGCACGAATTACGCTCCCACAGGAACCATCCCGAGTTGCACACTCTGGTTTATGTACTCTTGCTACCACTCATACTTAGTCTGATGATCATGCATCTGATTATGATGTCATTGCTATACATGCGCATGCGCAGCGCGCGCCACTCTCCCACGCGTGCATTCCAAACCTTGCTTTAGAGAGAGAGAAGGAGAAAAGAGAGACTCCTTTGTCACTTTTGCTTTCCGACGACTTGACTGTTCACTGGTTTGTCCGTCAGTTGTCAATTTCCCCTTCCCTCCCAACCCCATTCGACTGGGGATCACTATCTCTCCGTCACTGTCACCATAATTTCCTCAATAACAGTGTCAGTACAACTCTTGTCAATATACTTATATCGGGTGAGGGCAGTCTATCTCCGCAGCTGGCTCATTTCAATCACTACCGGTCGCAGCTCCTGCCCACGGCAGGCCGACCGTCTCTCGTTCACACTCTGTGTGCTCCAGGTCACAGCTCCTGCGCAGAGCAGGCCGACCTGTCTGTCTCTCTCTCTCTCACACACACTATGTGTGCACCGGGTCACAGCTCCTGCGCAGAGCAGGCCGACCTGTCTTTCTCATGCACGCCAGCTGCTCCGCCCAATATCCCTGATATGCCAACCAGAAAACAATGTGTTCTGAGCCGGGTGCATGCCTGTATGTGGAGAGTGCGTTAAATGATAGCTGCTGGTTAGGAATACATGCACAGCGCAGACAGTGAAGGTAGTCACAGTATATGCGCATTACGCACATATACATACGCATTACGCACATAGACATACGTGCATGCATAAACACATGTGCACAGATGCACAGACGTGCACACATGCACACATGCGCACACACACACACATACACACACTGCAGGGGCGTCGGAGGGTATTTTAGTGTGTACGGTCAGCCATCTGAAGTACAATTTACTCGTGGGGGAGTGGTGGCTAAGCCGAAAATGTTGGAATTTTAGATCCCAGATCAGTGTATTTTATTGGTTCACGCGGTACCTGGGGCAAAAAGTGGTACGGTCAAGACCGTAGTGACTGTACCGTGTCCGACGCCACTGCACTGGAACACGCACACAACTGCCATCCATACCTGGCTGCAGAATAGCAAACGACGGCTTGATGGTGAGCCATGGCGGTATCGTTGCTGCCGACTCTAACTTGTTGACAAAGCTGAAGCGACATGGAACCTAGCAAAGAAAAAAGAAAACACAAAACAGCAAATCTGATTCTCTTTGGTCAGCAGAGAAAAGGATGATGCAACGACACAGGCTTCAAGTATATCATGTGCTAGTAGCCAAGGACGGGCCAATCAGCACCTGGTTCAGCGACCGGATATTTCAAAGATCAGCGGATATCCAAAGCGGAGAATGAGCAACTACTTGGTATCACGCATCACCTGCCGGAAAAAATAAGATTGACAGTAAGATGTTGGAGATGAGTAAGGAAGCAGAAACGAGCTTCTCAACAGCAACAATCGATGGCCATTGCTTTAGACAGGCTGGCTTCACCTGCAGTATCGTCAACTTCTGGTCCTTTAAATTGGTGATCGTCGTTCACAAAGAGATTGACAACATACTCAGAACCTGTTCTGCAGCTGATCTACTGGCAATTGAAAACCCGCAGGGATGCCAGCTACTGCTACCCACCTTTTCGAGTTGTGGATGCCATATTCTCCACCTCCATCTCAACCGCCATCACCTCTCACGTGATAGACGACATCCTGACGTCTTCCACAGGACCTGAGGTGACGCCTCTCGAGCTGCAACTGCCGCTGCCATAATCGCTAACCTTTATGCACATCGTATAGACGGACGAAATCCCGTAGAATCCTGTAGACTCAATTGGGTGTTGAATGCACAGGGACCCTATTGTGTTTACTGCTACTTCCACTAGAAAAGTGCCCTGGAGGTTTTTCATGCAGCAATTTTTTCGGAAGATCTACTTAGTTATTAGCTCTGTCCAAAGGGATGACGTTGGAAAAGGGACTGTCTTCCATTGAGTATTGGGCTAAGGGACTGACTGTCTTCCATTGAGTATTGGGCTAATTTAGTCAAATGCGCTTGTAATTTATAGCACACAATGAACACCAAGCCGGGCATGTGCTCACCTATGGGATCCATCAAATCTTACCACAAACTAGAACCGGCGCAAACGTTTCCCGGTTTGCAGTACCATTTCCCAAAACACAATGACATCCCCCATCTCCACAAAAAAAAGCATCCAGAATGCCCCCCCCCCCTCGTTCGTCAATCTTAGCCAACTTACAGTTCCAGTATTCGTCACTTTTATATACTGAACTTCAGATTCGAAGAATTTCACGTCCTTGAATTCCAGCTGTACGCATTAGGACAGCAGAAATACAACGCAACATTGCCATCTACGAGTGTAATTAGCTACACTTGAAGTACATGACTTAAAGATCGGCAAGAGCATCATCAGCAACACGAGCAGCACAATGTGGCATCCGTACCATGCACAGTCAGCAACAGACACTACTCAAGCTGCGGCCAGTACTGATTCGGTCGCTGCGGTCCCAGTGCGGACTCATCGGCGCAGTCTAGAGACATGAGATCAATGCCACGCAGCAACGGACACCGTGTAGTACACGCAGGCGCAGTTCTGCACTAGAGACAGACCCCACTTAGCCTCACACGGTTCTCTTAGCAGCAGGGTGTTAGTATAAGTGAGGGGATTGGTTAAGCGAAAATGTGTCACCGTGTACTCAGAGCACCTGCTGTGCACCTCCTCCAACTAATTTTATTTCCCATCGGCTGGTCAGGAAACTGGCCAAGACCGGACCAGATAAGCAAGGTATTACTATTTGTGAAATACAAGTTCTACTCACCTCGACGGCGCTAAGCTGCACGTTGGGCATCCTGTTGTTTGCCATGCGATCCATATCGAACAGCTCCTCGGCAAACACCTCCTTCTCTAGAGCCGGGTCGCTTACCTTCACCTGTAGTCAGCAGCAACAGTCACAGCATCGGTGGGTACCACAACTGCTTTACAAAACTCTGGATACAATGTCATGTACCCGGTCTCCTCGATTAGAAGCCAAGGCATCTATTTTTTTCAACGCCAATTTTGAGGAGGCGTTTGTTCAAGAGGGGCCTTGATTCGTTCTATGCCAGTAAGCAACTCGGCTTCGGGCTACTATGCCAGTATTCCAATAAAATACCTAAAATTAGGGGTGAAACGAATATTCTAAATCAGAACGAATCGAATATCTTTCTAAACGAATCGCATATCGAATGTTCTATACCAAAAAAATGCTAAAGAATTTGGCTAGTCCCCTGTTGTTGTAGACCAAGTAGACAGTGGAGTCATGTTCACTACTCTTGTGAGTCATACTCCCCTTTCTCAACATAATTATACCACATGTACATGTCACTCCATCCGTTCTAACTACAGTGGAGATTGGATATAACGACACGGGAGAAAGCAAAATGTCGCTATATTCGATCTGTACCCGTCACTAAACCCGATCTTCACATTTAGTATGCAATATGTACATGTATATCAAAATGACAGAAATGTATTGTAGATATACATATACATGATTGTACATGTGGATAACAGATGTGTATGATTGTACAGTCATGTGTCTTGCATGCATTGTTCAAGGTAAAGTCATCCCGCACCGCTGCACTGCGGCTACAACAACGTGCAATGTAAAGCACACATGAGTGACCCGGAGGTCCGGGCACGTAGCACAGCCATACATGCCAGTCTGCCTGATACAAGAGGAAAGTCGTTATATCCGATGTACATGTACTTTCACTGTTTTCAGGTCTTCGGGCACCAAAAAAGTGTCAGTAAATTCGATCTGTCGTTATTTTCGAGGTCGTTATACCCGATCTATAATGTACAGAAAGGACTTGCTAAACGACTTGGGCTCGATTTGTCGTTATACCGAAGGTCGTTATATCCAATCTCCACTGTACTACAATAGATCGATACTTGAGCAGAGTGTGCACTTGGCACAATGCCCGGACAATCGTAGACCGACGCATTCATTAGCGAACTTAAAACGAATATTCCAAAGGGCAAAATATTCCTTCCATCGCGTATCCAAACGAATACAATCATGTATACGGTATTCGAATATTCAAATATTCCTTGCAACCCTACCTAAAATTTTCCTGCTCAAATCAACTCGGCTTCGGGTTACCAGTAGTTCACACACACACACACACACACACACACACACACTGCGTCAACCTAAATGCATGCACGAGATGTTTCGCATGCACTGCCTGGTCACCCTGTGCTTTGCGAGCAGTAGTCCTGAGTGAGAGTGTGGTCTACCACTACAAACCCTAGGTTCAGCAATGCTGCTGCCCACACAGGATAACATGATGCACAACACACACCTAAACTGCTCGTTACACAAGTTGGCAGAATATTCGAACGTGGAAGCTGCTATCAAATATAATTTAATTTGTTCTGTTACATCACTAACAGAATGTAAAGTACAGTGTTTTCACCGACTTCAGAACACCAAGTTACACAACACCAAACCAGCTTACCGGCACACGTAACAACGCACTGACGGGCTTGTGGTCACTAGTCTTTAGCTCCATGTGGCTCCGATATTTTGCTACCTCGACACCCTCGCCACGGAATAACACTCGATCACACCAAGCAGGCATACGCCATTTCTCACTGCAAAGCACAGGCAAGACGAACAGAGAGACAACGGCGTGGATAAGGAGCGTAGCTCTGCGTGTGTGTGTGTGGCAAAAAAATGAAAAAGACCAAAAAGTAGGCACTAAGTATTCACTGGCCAGAAAAAGCCACTTCATAGCTGTGTGGTGTAGACCAGGCTGAATAGTGGCGGTCAATTCTTCAGCCTTGCAAGCTGTTGAATGGTGCAATCCCAGGAAAAGCTGCTATGGCTTCTGCTGTAGCATCGCTATCATCGCCTCCGGCGATGGGCGTCCAATGGTCCAATGGTGTGTGTGTGTGTGTGTGTGTGTGTGTGTGTGTGTGTGTGTGTGTGTGTGTGCAGCTGGTGGTAGTTTTAACTATAATATACCTACCTCGAGTCAAATTGGTCGGTGCCTGGATCGTACTTGTAGCTGGGCGGAAAGACAATGGGGCCTTCTTGGAAGCCCTGAAACGTCCGCCCACACAGCTGTTCTCTCGCAAGCTGTAAACATACATGCAGACAGAAAGACCCAAGTATGGCAACATGCACGTCGAGCCAACTGCTACTGCAATAGGCCATCACAACAGCAAATATATCACCAGAACATAGTGGGAGCTCGTCTAAGCTAAAGGTGGCAAAGGTTTGCAATATGAACACCAGTGGGCACAAATGAAGGCACCACCATCATCTAATAGAACAGTACCTGGTCCATGTCAAGTAGCTGAGAGAAGTCAGAAACAGCAATCGAGCGCACTGCAGAGTCATCGACACGCGAGCTGGAAATGAGCCGGTAATTCATATCGCCCACCCACAGTATCACACTGCGTGACATTGCAACAACAGGACAAGGGAAACACACACACACACACACACACACACACACGCATGCACGCACACACACGCACACACACACACACACATCAGCTACCTGGTAGGTGAGATGTGAGACCTGACTGGTGATACAAGCTGAATGAACAAGACTGTCACCTGCGATAGCGAGATGATGGTGAAAAAAAAGAAGCTAAAAAGACTAGTACAGTGCTGCTCAATGAAATCCAATCGCGTGAGTCAAGTTCGTGTCCTGCACCCGTTCACCATCCCAGTGTCTGCAGGTCTAGGGCTGCACAGCGCCCGACGTGGCATTGACTCGCTGGATCGGATTTCATCAAGCAGTATTGTATTGGTGTGAGTATGTGAGCCTAAGACCATCCGACTTCCACTGCCCAATAATAAACACGCAACAATGTAAGAGACGCAAAGGCCCTAAAACAACACCCCAGGTTTTTTTTTTAAGACGCACACATATTCAGCAAAAATCATTGTTGAAGAAGTACACATACTCATTATCTGCGATGCCTGTGCCGTCGTCGAAAGTCGTACGTGATAAGATTTCGTGGTAGTCCTGTACACAAAAACACAGCAGAGAGTGTACAAGATAAGTACCTCTAGGCACAACCTTCACGTAGGTTTACTTTGAGGGAACAGCACACTAAGAATCCATATTTTGACAGGAAATGTGTGGACATTGAAATGGCAGCACCCACGCCTGTGTGTGGTACACAGAAGTCGCCTTGTGGCTAGCCTGATCAGATGTACTTCAAGTACCATCTTAGGCTTTCCCATAGGGTTGTGGTGCACTGCCCGGTAATACCATCAAATAGCACTCACAAAGACTCACATAGACTCTCATTGCTCTTCCCTCTACATTGAACAAAACAAAGCTCACTCTCCGTGGCAGCACTCAGAGAACCAGGGTAAGACATAGCAACTGCAAGTGGGGGCAAAAGAAATCCCCCACCCTCGCCCCCAGCATACGGGGTGGCGCCACATACTGGACCTAGAACTACAGCAGTGCAGATTTTGCCTTGTGTGTCGTCCCCTATACTGCATATGTGCATGTGTGTTCGGGGGGGTTCAGCCACCCACATCTACAAACCTTCCGGAGACTCCCAGGGCACGTATCTGCACAGCTCAAAGCTCATCCCTGTGCAATGATCCGCACCTCCTCATGTACATGTCTGAACACCCTAGAGATATGATCAAGAGTATATAACCGGCCAAGAGTGTGCAACTCTGCAAGGGGGTTGTTATGGGGGGGGGGGGGGGGCAATGGCAAAAACACGTGGCGTGGTAAAAACACCCCTGAAAGAAAGCCACTGAACTTACACGAGGTATCAACATGATAATTATGCCGACTGCGGGCATGCATATAATAATTGCGTATGCTGTAGTCATAGCCCAAATTTGCTAGCAATTCTTTGAGCAAAATATCGGGTGCGCAAGTTGCCGGCAAGTTTTGAGCAAAATATCGAGTTTTGGTGGGCTTTTGAGAAAATCCAAGGCTTCTCAGGGACTTTCTCAACACAATCAGTCACCAAAGTTGAAAACAAGCACAAAAGGTGGACAAAACAGACTCATGGCCACATTTTTTGTAGAAAGTTGAGCAGCAGCAGGAGCTCAATCAAAAACGCTTCGTCATCAGCGACACTTATCGTTGATTTTTCCTTGAAACTCATTTTATCTCGAGCAAAACCAAAGCAAAATATCGACGGAGAAAGGAAATGCCAAGCAGAATCTCGAAAAGTTTGTGGCAAAATTATGCGGCAAAATATCGATGTGGGCAGAGCAAATTTGGGCCATGACTAGTATGCTGGCCTTCGTTGCATGCAGTACAGAAGGTACACTTGGAACATGTGGCGTGAGCTTTCAACGTCGGAGACCCCATATACAGAGTTGCACACAGATGCAGATGCCACATACAGGTACATATAAAGTGGAACCTCCCAATTATGGACACCCAGGGTATAACCATAGCTATCCTGTATATGGGCATGACCAGATTGCAGCATGTGCAATGACTTGATTAGGAACAGTACAAATGTGTCCAAATATGGAGGTGCACATTGCTGAGAGGTACATGTACATGTATGAGAAATGTGAGGTGGCACTTTACCTCATTTCTACGCTCAACTTCCTCTTGATGTGCAGCCAGATGTGAACACACAAAGCAGAGTGGAGTCATGCTGAATGTTGCACGTATTGACACACCGCCCTTGTTGCCCTGCACAGGCACACACACACACACGTGCACGCACACACACGCACGCACACACACACACAAGCACACACAAGCACACACACACGCACACACAGACAGTCAGTCAGAACACACGCTAAACTCCAGCCAAGGAAAACCACGCTCAAGTGACAGTCCACAACGTGCACGCCCCTAGGCAGCCATTTCTCAGCATGGCGGACCAAACCAGCAGCAATGGAATTGAATGAGCAGGAGTACCTGGTCATTATTCATACGTACACGTAAGTACAAGTATGTGATAACTTGATGCTATACTAATAATTCACACAAGAGAGAGAGAGAGAGAGAGAGAGAGAGAGAGAGAGAGAGAGAGAGAGAGAGAGAGAGAGAGAGAGAGAGAGAGAGAGAGAGAGATTGAGAGAGAGAGAGAGAGAGAGAGAGAGAGAGAGAGAGATTGAGAGAGAGAGAGAGAGAGAGAGAGAGAGAGAGAGAGAGAGAGAGAGAGAGAGAGAGAGAGAGAGAGAGAGATTGAGAGAGAGAGATTGAGAGAGAGAGAGAGAGAAAGAGATTGAGAGAGAGAGAGATTGAGAGAGAGAGATTGGGAGAGAGAGAGAGAGGAGAGAGAGAGATTGAGAGAGAAAGAGAGATTGAGAGAGAGAGAGAGAGATTGAGAGAGATTGAGAGAGAGAGAGATTGAGAGAGATTGAGAGAGATTGAGAGAGATTGAGAGAGATTGAGAGAGAGAGAGAGAGAGAGAGAGAGAGAGAGAGAGAGAGAGAGAGAGAGAGAGAGAGATTGAGAGAGATTCAGAGAGAGAGAGAGAGAGAGAGAGAGAGAGAGAGATTGAGAGAGATTGAGAGAGATTGAGAGAGATTGAGAGAGAGAGAGAGAGAGAGAGAGAGAGAGAGAGAGAGAGAGCGAGAGAGAGAGAGAGAGAGAGAGAGAGAGAGAGAGAGAGAGAGAGAGAGAGAGAGAGAGAGAGAGAGGAGAGAGAGAGAGAGAGATGAGAGAGAGAGAGAGAGAGAGAGAGAGAGAGAGAGAGAGAGAGAGAGAGAGAGAGAGAGAGAGAGAGAGAGAATTAGAGGAGATAGAGAGAGAGAGAGAAGAGAGAGAGATTGAGAGAGAGAGATTGAGAGATGGAGAAGAGAGAGTGAGAGAGAGAGAGAGAAGAGAGAGAGAGAGAGAGAGAGAGAGAGAGAGAGAGAGAGGAGAGAGAGAGAGAGAGAGGGAGAGAGAGAGAGAGAGAAGCTGTGTTGCAACTCCGAGCTTCACGTTGTCACGATCATCAGGCAACCATACTAATAACTCATCACAAGAGTGCACTCTAGTGAGCTGAAAACACAACGGCACTTGCAACCACCACGACTGTGTTACCGTACTACGGTGGTGACCGGGAAATCCGCTCTCGTGAAGAAAACAAGCCCGGCCGGGGCGTTGCACGCCTACTACTCCCAACACACCACGGTGCTGTGCAGTTCATGCGGCGACGCAGTTGGGATCAGTTGCTACCACCACCACTGTGCGTACTTGTTTGCTAACACTTTACATGCTCCGTGCGAAATTATCATTACTTCACAATGCGTGGATGTCAACCTATCAATGTACTTGGCATACTAGTGTGAGGCTATCCATGTACCTGGCATACTAGTGGGCCAAGCGGCGGTGATTATTTATAACATAATGCAGCCAAAGCCATGGCGGCCTGGATTCGCAGTCCTCCGCAGTAGAGGTTGAGTGTGCGAGACCTACCATCTTTCTCATCAAGCCCGTGCCCACGGTTTGCGCGTCGACGTTGTGAATGAGCTCGCGCATGTCCTGACGGACGAACACGACCAGCATCATGCCCACGAGGCGCACGGTCTTCACCTGCACAGGAAACAGAATACATGTACATTGAGCATGACTGGAGCGACTCAGAGAACAGAATACATGTACCTTGAGCATGACTGCAGCACCTCAGAGAACAGAATACATGTACACTGTACCTTGAGCATGACTGGAGCACCTCAGAGAACAGAATACATACACCTTGAGCAGGAATGGAGCGACTCAGAGATCTCACATGTGAAACTACACAACTACTTCAAACGTTTACTTCCATGTTTGGAACTGGATAAACGGTTGGAAAGGATTCATGGGTGGCATTCAAACCAAACACAACATTAACTGGGACACTAGCACGCCGAGCATGCACTGTATGTGAAGGGACTGTTGGTCACCTAACTCCAAGTTACACTTGAAACCGGACGGGTCCCTGACACCGAAATAATATTTCTCTTCAGCACGAAAACAACTACAATGTACGAGTACATTTACTACTGGTGCATATCACTAACTTCAGCATATGATGGTCCCAGGGTAGTCTCGATGGCACTTATCCACTCCTTCTCACGGTTTGTCTCGTTCAGAACCAGAACTTCTGCGCGCAGGTCGAGCTCCTGAAATCTGCAACAGTTGACATAGGAAACACTGAGATTTGTTTGCGCAGAAGATCGACGGTGTGTGTGTGTGTGTGTGTGTGTGTGTGTGTGTGTGTGTGTGTGTGTGTGTGTGTGTGTGTGTGTGCATGTGCATGCGTGTGTATGGTATATGCAGCCATGCATGCACAGTACACGTACTGTACTATCAAGAATCTGTAAAAAGAAGAAGTGTGGAACTGCCTGCACTAGCCATATCCAATGCTGCGGCGGCGGCAGAGTTCCACGTCACATGATAGTTATATGATTGAATAGGGTACGCTGAACAATAGTGCCGTGCAAGCGTCCCCCGGAGAGTTGGATGAAGAGTACCCCCCCCCCCCCAGAGTGTGCAACTCCGGCATGCTGTGCTGTCCTGAGGCATGTTCGATTGGTAAGGATCGGGATCGGGATCCTGATCTCAGATCCGTCGGATCCTTCAGAGTCAACTGAACACTTTATTTTGGACCTTGACTGTTGTCATGTTGACGAAGTAATAGAATGGCGCTCACAAGTCACCCAAAAGGGTGAAAGTCGTACTCATCGCACACATCGTCGTAAAAAAGTCAACAAACTCTATCTCAATCCATGTGTGCGTACCACAATGTGTACAAAAATGATTTTTACCCATCATATACTGTAAAAGCAGAAATTTTCGGTGGTGTTTTATTTTCGGTAACTTCGGTGCCAACAATTTTTACCGAAAATAAAACGCACCGAAAATTTCGGTGCAACCGATACTGTATACATGTACACTTACCTGGAGAAGGGGTTTTACCGAAAATTTCCCTCGACCGAACCGCCGATTTTGGAGAATACCGAAAATATTACACCACGGAAATTTCTGCTTTTACAGTATGCACAAAGGTCACATTTGGATCCGTTGGATCCGGCCAACCCTGCTCCCCGGGGTGGGTTGATCGGATTCAAATCCGAAGGATCCGGATCCGGATTCGACCAATCGAAAGGGTGCGAATCCAGTGGATCCGGGGGATCCTGATCCTACCAATCAAATATGCCCCTAGTCCTGACAGAGTTTCAAGTTGATGTCATTGATATGACGAGTCGAAATCCTGACGAGGCAGCACTAATATGAACTTGCACACTCTGACCTGATGGGGTATGTGCTCTTGGCTGTACCCAAAGCAGGATTGCATACAACCTTAGCTATCATCAACAGTACATAACCCCCAAGAGTGTGCAACTGCCAGCACAGCCACTATACAGTCCTGCGACGGCAGAAGTTCACATCATGTGACATAGTTCAAAGAGTTACGCTGGCAAACAGTGCAAAGTGCAGGCGCGTACGCAGGGTTGGTGGGAAGGGGGTTACATGGGGTCCGTTGTAGTAAATAGCTACGTCAAGTCAACCAACTCTTGTGCGCGCGTCGCGTGTTTCAGCGCATGCGTAGTGCATGAAGACGTCAAGTAGTCAATCTGCGACTTGACGACTCGTTGACAGCACGGCGCGACGCCCACGCGGAGCGCAAAAAAGACGAAAACGAAAAAATCATTCAGGCTGCTGACTGAAAGGGGGGTTCATCCGCCCCCCCCCCCCCCCCCCCCCCCCTGGCTACGCGCCTGAAATGCCCACAAGAGAGTTGAACCAAGAGTACATACCCCCCCCCCCCAGGGGCGTAGGAGGGGCTTTGGAAGTGGTACGACCAAAGGTCGGTGCGGCCGAAGGCCGTGTTGGAGGGGGGTCCGGGGGAGCTGCCCCGAGAAAATTTTGTAAAAAGGACACAAAATCCTGCGTTCTGGGAACTTCTGGCACACTTCTGGCGTAGTGTGCAGTCGAGTCGAGTACAGACTCAGTACTCAGTACGACTGCAGATGCATAACAGATCTACGAGTACGAGTCTAGAAAAAAGGTCAAAGTCTGATGCGCATATACATGTATGCATCGATGGATCCTGATTTTTTTTATTACGGTTTTGCACGTTCCGGACGGACCACACTTTTCGAAAAGTGGTACGGCCATGGTCGTACCAGTCGTAGCGGGTGCTACGCCCCTGCCCCCAGAGTGTGCAACTCCACTTTGGGTGCTGTCCCGACAGAATTTCAAGTTGACGTCATTTTGATGATGCAATGCGCACTGTACACGGATTATCAGACGAATCCGGAACCTGTGGTTGACCGAAGCCGATCGATCCTGTACAAATTATTGCAAAGAAAAACGTGTGATGCGTTGACACCCGTACACATGTTGTAAATCACTGGTGCAAGGAGTATTGCGTCATAAATAATGACGTCAACTTGAAATTCTGTCGGGACAGCAGGGTATGTACATATATGTGGGAGTTGCATACTCTGGGGGGTTATGTACTCTTGGTTGAACCCAAAGCAGGGTTGCGTACAACCCTGCATCTATCATGCACAGGGTGCAAATAATGTGTACGGGTTCGGCATGTGATGTGAAGTTCTGCTGTTGCAGACCCCATAGCTGGAGTTGCACACTCTTGGCCAGTCTTGGGGGTTATGTACTCTTGCTATCATTCACAGGGCGCAGACTGTGTGTACGAGTTTGTCATGTACAATCACGAGTATATGACTACAAATGTGTGCAACTGCCGTATGGGCGCCATCCGGACAGAATTTCAAGTTGACGTCATTTTTATGGTGCGATGTGCGTTTTGCACGTATAGTAGTGTAAGACGCATCCTGGAACTGCTGTGGGCAAATCCTCTTTTGATCCTGGTGCAAGAAAACACGTGTGGTGCATTGATACCCAGCACAAACGTCGCAAATCACTCGTGCGAGGAGCATTGCATCGTAAAAAATGGCGTAAACTTAGAACTCTGCCGGGAGTGTACTGTACGCAGGAATTACACTCTCTTGGGGATGATGTACTCTTGGTACAATGTAACGTGAAATTCTGCCCTTGCAGACCCCATAGACCAGCGTAGACTGGAGTTGAACACCCTTGGGGGTTATGTACTCTCGGTATTTATAATACTACCACTGCTTACCCAATGACAAATACATCCGGAAGTGGATCATCAACGAGCAAGAAGTCTCTGAGTGACGCTGGAGGTGCCTTGCCATTCACATTCCATGTTCCACAGAACACCCTGCATACACCACCATGCCGCAGCAGCAGGAGCAGCAGCAGCAGTAGCAGCGTGAGCAGAGACAAACAGGCAGAAAACCCTCACTCAGAGTTACTACTAGCGGAATCAAATACATGCACAAGCAGTCCATTATCAACTTGCCAGGCAGGACCAAGGAGGTGCATACTGCATAGTACAGTACTGCTCACCGAAATCCAGGCGCCGCACTCAAGTTTGCGCCTTGCACCATTTCGAAGCCCAGTGTTCGCAGGTCTTGGGCTGCGCAACGCCCGGCGCCTACTTAAGTGACGCGACTGGATTTCATTGAGCAGCACTGTACTGATGAGACCAAACAAAGGTCCAAACAGCTAGCTGCATGGAGACTGAGCAGCGCTGATGGATACGCGCGTGCACAGACGGTAGAACAACGTGTCTTTGCAACTCGAGTTTTGCGCTAGGCGATCCTCAGACAAAATTCACGTGTACACATACATACAGAATGTCACCAAGCGATTGACAAGCAAGAAACCTGATATGACCGAGTTCTGCACTTCTGCACTCAACAGACCATCAACGTACTCACACCTGTAGATGTGTACCAGTACTCATATCCCCGTACATGCAGCTGTATCCCCGTACATGCAGCTGTATCCACGTACATGCAGCTGTATCCCCGTACATGCAGCTGTATCCACGAATACATGCTAGGCTGCCAGTATCCACATGCCCGTCAGCCGGATATAAAGATCGCAGAGGCGTGTCCTACACGCACAGGTGGCGTTTGCAGCCGGCATGACCTGGAAGTAAACACGTGACTCCAATGACACACGTGGCCACAGTTACTAGAACTGTGTTACCTGTCTGCAGCCTGGGCATGACAAAGCTGGGTCCACGTGTGCTGCGCATTCTTGCATACAGCTCTGAGTGAAGAAGTGCTTAGTGCACTAGAGGCGTGGCACCAGGATTTCAGGTGATCCAGCCAAGGGAAATACTTTACCGGAAATGAACATTATTGACAAAAAAAAACCCTGTTTTGCACGAATTAGGTTTGTCGACTTTTTCAAAACCATGACCGGACTGGGTGCTATGGCTTTGCACATGCTGTGCTTTGTGTAATATGAGCAGCATGAGCAATGCTCTATGCTACACTGGTACGTTGTCTGATGACTGCACAGTGATTGCGCAATGATTGCATAATGATAGCACAATGTGCGTGAAACTCGGAGTAAGGACGCTATAAGGCTTGCTTGCCCCATAGTGTTATCGTGTGCCAAGGTGTGATGCCTTGGCATTTGAGCACTTTGAGCACACTTTGAGCACACTGGGTGCATCCCATGCTGCATTGGTATGACACACATTGCACTGGGTGCATTCCTTGCTGCACTGCTGTGACATGCTAGTATGTATTACACTGGCTCTACATGGCACTGTGCAGCAACAGCACCACCAACATATGCCCTGTGCAAGGAGTGCACTATTTCTTAGAACCACGCGGTGCCTACAGCATGGCGTTGCGACGTACAGTCTACTCTCGTGTTTCGACGATAACGGCACGGTACAAGGCCTACTCTCGTGCACTGGAGGCAAGCCGTGCACGACGCTGTAGCCGGGATGCCGTACACTTGTGTATTCTGCACAGTGCATACATTATCCGCAAGCTACACACGCGCGCACGCGACAAGTCATGCAGTTTTGTCGCCTGGACCGAGTGCGGGATTTCTCCAGAGAAGACTGTGCATTTTGTCAACTAACTTCGAACAAAACTGAGGAAGGATACCGGCTGTGTTGTCACATACATACATAAATACATACAAACATGTACATACACACGGACATACAGACAGACACGCACACACGCACAAGCCACGCACGCACACACAGCCAGGCGGAGACACAGGTTTCATACCACGACGTAACTGCGTACCTCAGATGCTGCGTTTTCGTGTAGTCGGCTTCCCTTTCAGCCATCCTGCACCGAAGCAGTTGTCTGCTTTCATCCTCTAACTGGCTGAAATTTCTATGCGGTTTCGGTGTGGAGCTGTGTTCTTCTATAGAAGGCTTTTTGCTCCGTTGAGCACTGCGGCCATTGAGTTTTCCAGCCAGCCGCATACGTTTCAGCATGTTGGACTTGGGAGGAGATACGTGTCGACGATGGGCTTTCAGGTCTGGCAGTGACACGGATGTGGGAACTTCATCCATGTTTCCCACGGCCTGTGACGCCGCTGGTGTCACTGCAGAGGCCACTTTCAACAAGCTCAGATTCGAATGTTTTCTCTAAAAACTGCTAATCAGGTATCTTGAGACTTTGACCGTACAAATCTACACAATCTACAGACAACGCGACCAACACTATGCGTGTCCGGTGCTCTTGCTACGACGCAGAAACAGACTTGTGGCCACAAAGTTCGCACCGAACGTGCGGTCAAGGTCGAGCATGCGACTTCTTCCTTCGTTTACTACTTGATGGCCTTCATCCGATCCGTTTCGTTCCAGAACAGTTTGATCTCGGCCCTTCACAACTCACAAGCTACATGTACCCTCCAACTGCCAAGATTACAGGCAAGAAATACCTAAACCAGGGAGTAGTACTACTCCCTGACCTAAACTAAAGCCATTTCGAGCGATATCGCGATACGCATGATGTCAAGTATATAGGACACCTAGTACCTGTACCTAAAACACTTTTGAAAAAGAAAAAAGGAAACTTCAACTGGCAACAGTTGACACATTATGGTCCCGGAAAGTGGAGAAAAATAGAAAATTTACAACCACGTACATGACTACATGTAACATAATTGCAGATGACCTCGTACAATACCATGAATACGGTACGTAGATCTACCATTGTAGTTTGTTTTTTTAAAGAGTTGGCACCTATGAATTCAGGGGATGATGGCCCACGCCTGGTAAAAAGAAAAGAAAGAAAAAAGAATGTCTGGCACCTATGATTCGTATGAATTCAGGGGATGGCCCACGCCTGGTAAAAAGAAAAAGAAAAAAAGAAATCATATTAGGCCAAACTAAAGAAGGTGTGTGGTTCGACTCACCCGACCGACCGTACAATTTCAGCCCGACCGTAACTTTTTTTCGGCGGGCTGTCGTGTGACTGACGTACGTGGACTGAACACGTCCACGTCTACGTGCTGTGCGGCGTGAGTCTGCGGACGCAGGCGGCTCCTTTTGGACTTGACTTGTAGTTGTACTGCAGTGCAGTGCAGTGAGTGGTACGACTGCTGCCTTGTGCTGGTAGTAGAGTCTACTCGATACGCGTATACAGTGTATTTACATGTACTAAAAAATATATTTAAAAAAACAAAAATCCGCCCGCCCGCCCGTAAAAAAAATGTCCATGTTAGTCGAACCACACACCTTCTTTAGTTTGGCCTTAACAAAGAAAACTAAAGAAAAAGAATGTTTGGCACCTATGAATTCAGGGGATGGCCCACGCCTGGTAAAAAGGAAAAAGAAAAAAAGAAATCATAACAAAGAAAACTAACTAATAGCGAAAACAATACAGCCATATAACAAGAGGTGAGGGTTAACCCAGACGACACTCAGCATTCACTAGAGCTGAGGGGCACTCCAGCTGCTGATCCAAAGGTGCTCGCCTGGATCGATGACCTCTTAAGCTTGCAATCGCCGATCTGATGAGGGCAAACCCTAGGCGGCAACGAAGGTGAGCCATCACCATGGAGAACGGTTCCTTCCGCTTCTCGGCCAGCATTGATGCAATGCGCTTGAGGAAAGCAGAGGCAGCCTTGCCTTGACCACCGGAGGCACAAAACACCAAGGGGACGAACGATGCCTTCTCTACTTCCCTAACACGCTCTTCATAGTGTCGCCGTTTCTCCTTCTCGTGCTTAGTGAACGTGCTGTTGAGGGAGGGAGCGGTGTTCGATCGGACAAAAGGGTTAAATACCCGGACATCAAAGAATGTCCTCTCGAAACGGCCGCCCCACACCCCGCTGGCAGCAACATCTATATATCAGGGAGTCGTAAAATACCGGTATTTTACGACTCCCTGGCCGTGATCTACAAGCGGGCGCCATCCTCGATGCATTGTAGTTTGTGCTACTCCCTAGATCCCTGGCGCCCTGCTTTGATTGAAGCTGGTGAAACAATCAAGAATTCGAGCCGCGGCCAGGCCACGCTACCGGTCCCGCGTTACTAGGCGACTCGTACGATCGTAGTCGAGTCTTGTTTCCTTTTTTCTTTTTCAAAAGTGTTTTAGGTACAGGTACCTGTACCTAAAACACTTTTGAAAAAGAAAAAAGGAAACAAGACTCGACTACGATCGTACGAGTCGCCTAGTAACGCGGGACCGGTAGCGTGGCCTGGCCGCGGCTCGAATTCTTGATTGTTTCACCAGCTTCAATCAAAGCAGGGCGCCAGGGATCTAGGGAGTAGCACAAACTACAATGCATCGAGGATGGCGCCCGCTTGTAGATCACGGCCAGGGAGTCGTAAAATACCGGTATTTTACGACTCCCTGATATATAGATGTTGCTGCCAGCGGGGTGTGGGGCGGCCGTTTCGAGAGGACATTCTTTGATGTCCGGGTATTTAACCCTTTTGTCCGATCGAACACCGCTCCCTCCCTCAACAGCACGTTCACTAAGCACGAGAAGGAGAAACGGCGACACTATGAAGAGCGTGTTAGGGAAGTAGAGAAGGCATCGTTCGTCCCCTTGGTGTTTTGTGCCTCCGGTGGTCAAGGCAAGGCTGCCTCTGCTTTCCTCAAGCGCATTGCATCAATGCTGGCCGAGAAGCGGAAGGAACCGTTCTCCATGGTGATGGCTCACCTTCGTTGCCGCCTAGGGTTTGCCCTCATCAGATCGGCGATTGCAAGCTTAAGAGGTCATCGATCCAGGCGAGCACCTTTGGATCAGCAGCTGGAGTGCCCCTCAGCTCTAGTGAATGCTGAGTGTCGTCTGGGTTAACCCTCACCTCTTGTTATATGGCTGTATTGTTTTCGCTATTAGTTAGTTTTCTTTGTTATGATTTCTTTTTTTCTTTTTCCTTTTTACCAGGCGTGGGCCATCCCCTGAATTCATAGGTGCCAAACATTCTTTTTCTTTAGTTTTCTTTGTTAATATGATTTCTTTTTTTCTTTTTCTTTTTACCAGGCGTGGGCCATCCCCTGAATTCATACGAATCATAGGTGCCAGACATTCTTTTTTCTTTCTTTTCTTTTTACCAGGCGTGGGCCATCATCCCCTGAATTCATAGGTGCCAACTCTTTAAAAAAACAAACTACAATGGTAGATCTACGTACCGTATTCATGGTATTGTACGAGGTCATCTGCAATTATGTTACATGTAGTCATGTACGTGGTTGTAAATTTTCTATTTTTCTCCACTTTCCGGGACCATAATGTGTCAACTGTTGCCAGTTGAAGTTTGGTCTTCTGTGGTACCCTCACCAAAAATCTGGCCTGGTCGGCCGTCTCTAAAGGTACAAAATGTCATCCTGCAGCAAGGGTGTTTTTGAGGCCATGAAAGTAGGTGTACTATTATGTAACTGAAAATGATTGGGAACTCTCGCTATTGTAACATTGAGTAAAAATAACTGTCTACACCCGGGAATGTCACTCACAGACCTGTAAAAACAAATTGGCAAGGTACAGGCACCAGTTTTCCGAGTGTTGCAACGGCAAACGGCATTTGAATCGACCACATTTCGGCTACATAGGTACTATGGAAATTCAGAAATTGTGCTATTTTATTCAAAATTCGTCTCTGTTGTTGTTGTTGTTGTTGTTGTAGAAGTTTATTTAACGTCGCACCACAAACAGGCGATTTCGCCTCCTTTGATACATGTGGACGACAGAAGGAATGAGAGAGAGGGGGGGGGGGGGACAGAAGTATGGAGAGAGGAAGGGTAGAAATAAATAAGCAATCAACCTCAGGGCTACACCAAAGCAAAAACGGAATGGGAACATACTATATACAAAATAGCTTCATACATATATTGCAAAACACGTTTACTATTCTTCAGTCCGCTATACCACAGAAACACACTAGCCGAAAAGCATTTAAACGGAGCCATGATGCGCTTTTAGCAGGGCACAGAACTGAAGGTGGCTGGGCTCGGAACGGAGATCAGGCGGGAGCTGGTTCCACAGGACTGCGCCGATGAACTGCATGGTCGCTCGACCCGCAGGACCGGGCCAAAATGGTACTCGAACGAGGTGATGTGCTGCTCCCCGAGTGCGGTCACCAGTAACTCTCACGAAGAAGCTGGTGAAGAGGGAGCTAGCTCGGGAGAACAGACAACGACGGACAAAGATGAGGAGCTTAATGTTAAACATGTCCTCCAGGGTGGTGAGGCGGAGCTGTTCAAAGATCGGGCTCGTGCGCGACCACGGTGGCAGACCGAAGAAGCCGCGGATAGCGCACTTCGTTAGACGTGTGAGGGGCTCCATGTTGCCAATTTGAAGTGACGGATAAAAGGCGTTGGAAGCGTACGACAACCTACCCTGGATCATCGACCTGTAAAACAGGATCTTTGTCTCTCAGCTGCAATCGCCCTCAGTCCCAGGAAGCTCGTCAGTGTAATATTATCGTCGTGAGACGTTCTATTGAAACAGGGGTGGCCAGGTGGCCAAGGTGACCAGCAACGAAAATTGAGAACAATGGGAGTGATTGGCCATCCTTGCCCCTCGACTATAGTCGCTGTTGAATACTGCTGATAAACGAATGGATATATCGAATACAAAAGACATTTCCCAACCACATATCACCACCATGACTCGGGTTTGGAACTTCGAGGCTTACCACTGTGACTTTGTAACATTGCTCTATCGATTTTAGGGGCATACACATGACGACTGACCTGGGGGACATCAATATTGACATAATTAATTTTACTATTTTCATCCGATTCCTTCAACATGCCTTGCCGACCTTCCATGACGCCAATATTTTGTCAGCTGAAGCCTCGGTGGGATAGCTTCAGACCGCCAAAAAAGAAACGTCAGGTTGGCCTGGAGAGACCCCAGCAATGCATAATTTACTCAATTTGTTACATAATGAAAAATGTTACCGCAGATCACCTCGTACTACTCCCTGCTTCAAAGCCTTCAAAAGGCTTCATATCAGGTCGACCGGTCGCCCGCACAGCTGCTATTTCCTATCAACAGTTTCGGGTTCTGGGTGCATGCTCGCACCCCGATCCTGATAATAGCAAGAGTAGATAAACTGTTTATCTACTCTTGATAATAGTCACGGATATCCCGGATATCAAGATCATCAAGAGGATTATGCTCCCACTGTCCCAGCGCTTATTTACTTTTGATAATCTACAAGATCCTAATCATACACACTACTCTCATCTACAAACACTCTGTAGTGATTTCGACCTCCGAAATGTTGTCACCTCGCCAACCAGATATCCAAGCGGAACAACGATAGATCTAGTATTAGTACCCAACTCCACTTTCACCACACCACCTGCAGTACTCAGCGGGACTGATATTGTCTTCAGTAGTTCGACTGTAATTGCGTGTGATATTTCAGACCATAATCTGGTTCATGTTCATTTCACCGTCCATTCTGATGCTCAGCCACACCAGACGAGTAGACAAATACAGATACGTAAGCCACCAGTTCGGTCTCTGAATATCATAGATTTCCAAGAAACAGCCACTGAGAAAATGTTCAACCTGTCCCACCACGCTAGTGCCTCATCGCCAGAGTCTCTAAACACACGCATTGTACATTGGCAGACTGCAGTTCAGGGTGCACTAGACGAGCATTGCCCTGTTAAACGTGTGAATATCAAGAAAGCATACGCTCCAGCCCCATGGATGGATGATGAACTCCGCCTTCTATTGTTTAAGCGCAAACGGGCGCACCGTGCAATGCTCAGACACCCAGACCAGTCAGATCTCGTACAACAGTTTAGAGCACTTCGCAGGCAATGCAAATACCTAACTAGAAAGAAACGGTCGACATACTTCCAAGAACAACTTGTCTGCCACAGAGGCCACCCAAGAGAACAGTGGGGTATTATAAACAATCTACTTGGCAGAGCTAAAGCAAATCAGGAACCTGCTGCTAATGTCTCCGACATCACAAAGACATTTGCGAAAGTCGTGAACGATCCCTCGATTTCTGATAGTGCACCTTGCATGCCCCACGGCCCTCTACCTGAATACTCATTAGCTCAGTTTTCATCAGTCAGTGTTCCGGAAGTGCAATACTACATCCAACGCATGAAAAGCCGTAAAGCCACCGGACCAGACAATGTTCCAGTTGCTGCTTACAAGTTAATCAACGATGAGATCGCTCCCTCACTATCCAAGTTGTTATCTGAATCTCTGACGTCTGGTGAATTCCCAGCTCCGTACAAGTCAGCCCATGTTCGCCCCATCCACAAGCGCGGTGATAGGTCGGTCTCCTCCAACTACAGACCAATATCACTGCTCCCCCATATGTCAAAGTTACTTGAGCACATAGTGCATGATCAACTCATACGCTACATCCAGAATGCACCACCCGCACTGCAACATCTCCCTGCAGAGCAATTCGCCTACCGCAGAGGCCACTCCTGCGAAGACTTGCTGACTTGTGTTACCAACGATTGGATGCTTGCCTTGGACAAGGGTGACTACGTAGTGGCTGCCTTCCTTGATATGTCAAAGGCCTTTGACACTGTCAACCACAACATGTTACTTCAAGAACTACTTGAGATTGGTATTGGCGGAGTCGCTCTGCAATGGTTTCACAGCTACCTTACAAACAGACAACAGTGCGTGGTCACTAAGACTCAACAAGGGCAACCATACACAAGCAACAGAGGCGTTCCACAAGGCTCTGTTTTAGGGCCGTTTCTATTTAACTTGTCCGTGAGGAAACTCCCCGCTGTGCCCAAACACTGCAAAGCCCGTCAATACGCAGATGATGTGTCTTTATACAGGGCGGGGAAGAATGTCCAGAACTTATGCAAAGACCTCACAGAGGACATCATCAAAGTAAAGGAATTCTTGGCAACGAGAGGTCTTATGTTGAACTCCTCGAAAACCCAGCTTGTTGTGTTCAGGCCAAAGTCGAAACCTCTTGACCCCGATGTCAACGTTCAGATTGAAGATGTCACCATCACCCCTAGTGCACACGTGAAATACCTCGGTATAGTTCTTGACGAACATCTCTCCTTTGGAGTTCACATTGCACAATTAGAACGTAAAATAGGCTGTAAGTTAGGAATGTTTAGAAAGGTCCGAGACCATTTAACGATCGATGCTAAGAGGGCTTTCTACATCTGTTCCATTCAGTCCATACTTGAGTATGGGTCTAATTTAGGCCTTGACGGATTATGCTAATATTTTCGTGAAATTATGCTTTTCGCATTGCTGAAAAAATGGCCGAATTATGCTATTTTTATGCTAAAAGTTATCATATTATGCCGCATCATGCTCACATATGCTGCTATATGAGTGCTAATGTATAATTATGATGGTTCTGCGCAAAATAACAGGGGAATTTTTTGTAGAGGACGTTGTACTGTAGTAGCAAAAGATCAACGGGGTCAACGCACCGTCCGACCTACATGTACATGTATATATGTAGCTACGACCGTCACTGATTGTAGTGGACTGGACATGTTATCAAGGGAGTCGTAAACCTACGACTTCCTGGCGCATCTACTTGTACTTGTACTTGTAAAACATGTACAACTGTATGGAATTTGATGCGAACAGTCGGATTATTCCAATTTATGCGATTCGTATGCAATTTGCCTCGAATTATGCGCTTATTCGATTTTGGTAGGAATTATGCGAAAAATTATGCTAGCATAATCCGTCAAGGCCTAGTCTAATTCCTTTGCTCACTGCCTTTCTGCCTCCCTCCATGACCGTGTTGTCCGACTTAGTAATAGAGCGCTGCGTATTGTATTTTGCATGCCCCGCCTATCTGATGTCTCCCTTGTTCTTGCCCGCTACCATATCATTCCCTTGTCTGTCAGGTACCAATTCAAGCTGTACGTTCTAACGTACCGTGCGCTTCATGATCTGGCTAGTGTCTTTGTTGCTAACTGTTTCTGTCTCCGCTCTAATTCTACCTGCACTAGTTCTCGCACCCGCTCTCAAGTGTCCTCTTCCCTTGCTCTTCCGACAGCCAAACGTCGCTATGGTTTATTTTCTGTCACTTTCCTTGGCTCTGACCGCTGGAATGCCCTCCCAGCGGAGGTCCGCTCAAGTTCTTCCTTGCATACCTTCCGTAATTCTGTTCTTCATTTTTTAGGGTACCCTGTCAAAAGGCCTTAGGCCTGTGGGGATTGCCCTATCAAAAATTTAATAAGGCCAAAACAAAAAATAGGCTTGTTTCCGGTCGGCAACCCCTCAAAAAGGAGACTCGGTCGGCCGGAATGAAACTTTTTTTGAATACTTTTTTTGGTTCCTCAATCGTTGTGGTATTGATGGACAAGAGCACCTACATACACATGTACATTGTACATAATATCATGGCAAGGATCAATGTCAAAGTAACAGTTGACTGACTCACTGTTCTTGTACAGCATGTGGTGTATTCCTGTTTTCGTACATCCTGAGAAATCAAGCAAACAGTTCGAGTCCTTTCAGCTCCGTTATTCTAGCTCGTATCGACCCCATAGGTTTTCGAGCCGACAGCTGAAAATCTCTGCTACCTTGTAGGTGTTTCGATTGTGGAATTCGGTTGAGATTTGACTGAGTTATGACTCGTTGAGTGCACTTGCACACATGGCATTGCCACCGTTTGTATACATTTGGGACCAAAAAAAGTTTCAGAATTATTATTTGGGAAAAAGTGGCCCGGTCGGGCGACCGGAAACAAGGTCATTATTTGTTTTGGCCTAATAATAATAATAATAATAATCACCTAAATCAAAGTGCATGTAACCATGATAACCATGATAACCCCACTGGGGGTATCATCATGGAGTACTAAAAACCTTTCTCGCGCCACTCCCTAGACCGGGCCCTGGCGATCATGGTTTCGATATCAGACTTTCTTTACTCACGGAACGCGAGCACCAGCATTTGCAGAAAGCGTGAAGGAGGAAAGCCTTTTCCGCGTTTCCGGTCATTGTACATGACACTATAGAGAGTATAGTGTACTTTTGCTATCACCCAGGCCAGGGGAGCTCCGGAGTCAGACGTCAAGTGTGTCATAGCTGAGCATCTATACTGTATTGTGCACAGTAATGTAGGTCTACTACATGTACCGGTACTAGCAAGAGTACATAAACGGTTTATGTACTCTTGGTACTAGTAGTAGTAGGAGTACATACGGATGATGACTGTAGTCTAGATCTACATGTAGGAATACGGGTGGCTGGAACGGTCAGAAACGATGTAGGGTGTACGTGTAGGTTCCCCATGGCCCAAGATACACAACACCCCCCCCCCCCGGATTGGGGGTTATGTACTCTTGGTTTCGTTGGCAAGGCAATTCAGGTCAGGCCTGTTGTACGAGTGAAGGGTAGGGCTGATTTACGCACGCTTGCGCATATACAGTCAACTTCGCTTATAACGACACTCGGCGGGGCATCAAAAAGGTGTCCTTATTCGCGAAGTGTCGTTATACCCGAAGTCTCATTATATGTATTACAGTGGGATGGGACTTTGCTCTGGGCATGGAAGTTCTGTCGATATTCGCGAATTGTCGTTATATCCGCAGTCGTTATTAGCGAAGTTGACGGTATACGCTCATAATATGGTATCGCTGGACCAGGTCAAATTTGGGGCCAGCATATCAAGGACGGCTGTGAATTGAGAGACGAACCTCAGCCAGCTGTAAATCCCCATAATATGCGGCGATAATGCCCCCCCCCCCCCCCCCCCGACACTCGCTACTTCTGAATCTAGGAACCAGGGAGTCAAAGAATACCGGCATTTTACGACTCCCTGCTATGAACATAGTCCAATAGCAAAAATTATTAAGATTCAGATTTCTGCTATCTGTTCACACGGCAGTAGACGACACACTTCAATACTCCACTGGAAGACCACAATGGGAAATATCACGACAAATCAACATGGCTGAAATGACAACAGCTACACAGCAGTATACTGTACAAGTACTATAGACTATAGTGTGTTAACCTCACAGGAAAAAAAAATTAACTCCGCAATCCTGACCAAGTTGGCAAAGCGCATGCCATTGCGGTACAAACAAAGAGTACAGGTTGCACAATTGCAGGGGAAAAAAAGAAAGAAAAAAGATCAAAGGTCAAAGAGCTCACAGCATTTTGCTGAAATGGGGAGGGGTGTGGGAGGTCATCAAGCGGTCAACACTAAACATATACCTTGCCATGAAGCAGCTTTGCAGTGCCTGCCCAGCAAGCAACCACTAGCACGTGCACAGTACACTCACCGAAAACAACAAAGGGGCAATACAAACAACAACATTGGGACCGTCAAACTCGACTTCTCTACTACTAGTAGCGGCAGTGGTGCTGAAGACTCATTGAAGCATACCGACTGCTACCTGCACCATTCATGTGAAACAACGGTGATTTGAACGACATCATCACATGCTCTGTATTGAGTGTCACACCAGCGATGGTGATGTCACTCGATACACTCAATACACCCGAAATAAGGATGAAATGATGTAATGAAATACCCTCTCTACGTGGATGTCAGAATAGTCCGAGAAAAAACCATGCCATGGTGTCCAACAACCATGAAAGAGATGGATGGCTTAGCATGAATTCATTAAAAAAAGGGGTAAGAGTTCGAGAGAACTCTGCTTGTGACGACGACAGCCAATCGATGCCATGGGCATTCACAGCACTATGTTAGTGTAGACAGCCGGGGTGGCCCACTCTATCGGCGGTCTGCATTCGTGGAGGCCCAGCACTAGCATCTAGCCAGGAAGCTCACCTCGAGTCGGTACCAAAGAAACGATCACCAAAGTTGCCTGCACATCGGAGATGGGGACAAGACAGAGAGGACGGTTTGTTAAAATCAGGCCGGGTGCAAGTCATGTAGAGGAGATGGCTTCAAATAGAAAATAGGTTGCAAACCGGAGCGGTCTCAATATTCACTTTCTCTCTTGGTATTTTGATTAGAAAACATATGTCACAGTGAGACTACGGTGTGTTTTACTCAGAGCCAAAATTTCATTCCTCTGCGGTGACCAGAAGCGCCATACAAAGCAGGTGAGTTTTTGATGTGTTGCTTCGCACTGCGACTTGAGTTTTACGTCTTTCAAAACATCAACTTCTTGTCGCAGGTAAACAGCGGCTTGCCACTCGCCAATAAAGCACCTTATACCAATGAAAACTAATGGAAGCACACACAAGGCTTATTATTACTCTGTACTGGCTGTCGTGGAGCGATAGCAATTACCTAATTTCAGAACTCAGAGTGAATTTGACATGCACTCTAAAACCTTTCCAGTTTGGAGTCACCTCTGATTTGAAGCGAAAAATTGGGCAACTTGGAGGCAATGGGCCAACACAAAGGAGTGGCTCAGTTCGATTGACTCTGGCCTCAGAGCAAACTTCAACATGCCAGTTTCCTTCCACAAACATATCTCGAGTGAACAGTCCACACTGATGATCGGTTTGAGTCTATACAAATTTGGCTGTCAAACCGTACCGGCATCGAACCGTCCCCTCTACATGCTGCATGCGCACATCATCATGTCACGCATGCATGCTTCCAGTTTTACCACTTCCGGTGCGCGCACACGTACTGGATTGCAGTGTAGAGCATGCATGCACATGCGCACATACAAATCAATGGGAGCGCAAGTGGCGTCAAGTGACTACACGTGGTTTTCGTTGCAGCATACTGTTCTTTGTTACTAGTATTCGAAGAGAAGATTTGTCGAGATGTCGGAACGTCCAGACAAACGTTTGCGAGCAGCAGCCGGCAGTACTTCACGTCTTACTGCAAAGGAGTTACATGTATGATGTGTGCGTTGCTGTGTCAGCTTCATTTAATTCTGGTGAGAAGCGTCGTTGGCTTGATGCCTGCTTCAAGCCTGATTCCAATTTCGTATTTCCACCTCATTCCGAGTATGGCTTCCAGCGGAGCTTGAGTGGAGCTGGCTGAGCCAGTATCCTTGGCTGAGATATTCCAAGAAGGAAAACGGGGGGGGGGGGGGGGGGGGGGGGTCTGCTTGTCATGTGTGCTGTTTGGAGAAGGCAAGGACAGGCGCAGTCAGCTGGTGACAACAGCCATGACAAACATGAGCCAGACCACTTCTGCACCGCCAAGGCACGCTGCACTGGACAAACACAGTTTAGCCGTGTCAGACCAGGCAAACTTTCCGTCCACTTTTACTGGTCACAATGCGGACATCCGTCAGCAGCTGGTATCTGTCGACCAGCAACGCAAGAAAGAGAAACGGGCAGAATCTGTATGACTGTCATTGTGCAAACAATTTTGTTTCGTGGCAGACACAATATTGCACTCCGAGGACATCGTGAACCAGGTACACGCTCATCCGATCCACTCGTTGACCAAACTGTCAACAGGGGAAACTTCCTGGCGCTACTCCATCTCCTAGCAGCCAACGGCTGCAGTGCGTTATCCAATCATTTCAGTGGAGCACATCGTACATCTTACCTGTAATGTGGTATGTGTACAAGCACTCAGCATACACACTCCATATGACATTCTATGTTTCTGTAGATCTCTACGCTATGCGGCACACAGGCAGTACACACGGTATGTACACGGCAGATTGGGCAAGCACGTTCGTTGTCGTCTTCCAGCCTGCGTTGTGAATACCATCAGGCAAAGATACCCGGGCCAAGTCCTGCACCACCTCAGCCTTCTCAGGACACCAGCAATCCAGAACGAGGTTATCGACTGCATTGGTGAGTGCATTCATACCCAGCTTGTGTCTGAAGTATTATCAGCGGGAATTTATTCCATGCTGGCTGATAAAGGAGCTGATATTTCCAACGTTGAGCAGCTGCCCGTTGTGATACGCTATGTTGATGCCAAAAGCGCTCCAACTGAAGAATTCTTCGGATTTCTGAAGTGCCCGCAGACAACGGGAGAGGCTATTGCCAAGAATATACTGGACTTTGTAACAAACATTGGCTCGCAGCCACCCAAGACCAGAGAGCAGGGGTATGATGGTGCTGCCAATATGTCTGGCCGTGTCAGAGGAGCAGCTGCCATCATTAAGCAGACGTGTCTGAAGGCCCACTGTGTTCACTGCAGAGCACACATCTTGAACCTGTGCGTGATCAGTGCCTGCAACGTTACTGGCATTGCTCATATGTGGGTTGTCCTGAAGGAAGTGTGCTTCTTCTTTGACAACAGTCCCAAGCGCTCTCACCGCCTGGCAGAAGTGATTTCTAGTACTGTTCCTGACAGCAACAAGGAGAAACTTGTCAGTCTCTGCAAGGCGAGGTGGATTGCTCGGATAGACGCCTTGACCACGTTTCATGACCTCTTTGCTGCAGTTGTGAAAACTCTGCAGTTAATCAGCGATACTGACGGCGGTATAGAATAGTCTGCGTAAAACCAGTCGAAGGCAACACCCCTCTTCAATGCAGTCAGCAGTTTCGACTTCTTGTTTGCTTTCACAGCTGCACGGAAGAGCCTCGCACACCTGAGGACTTAAACCGTCAGCCTGCAAAAGAGTTCTGGCACCGACCTCTGTACAGCATTTGGCCACGTTTCGACAGTTGTGACCACTTGGCGCGAGCTACGAGGTACTGATACGGATGATGGGTTGACGAAGACACATCGCAAGTGGTTCGCCGCAGCCAAGGAGACTGCGTCTACTGTTGGTGCTGAGCCACAGCTGCCACGATCTAACAGGAGAGGCCTGGCTGCGTCGGAGAACGTCGAGCAATATTACTGACGGACCGTTGATACTGCTCATTTGCCACCTGAAGGACCGCTTCGTAACCACTGAGGAGTATGTCAGCTCAAGCCTCAGCCTGGTCCCTTCAGTAATCGTCAAGTCTGATGCCACAGTCATCACTATGGTGGAGCAACATGGCCTTGATCTCCCTGATGGCCACGAGAAACAATATGTCCTGGAAGCTGAAGTTCAGCAGTGGCGGCTGAAGTGGCAGAAGGCTGATATTTGCCCAGAAACTCCCCATGCAACTCTCCAAGATGCCAGCATTCTTTCCGGAATGTTTTTGAATGTTGTGGCAGCCCTGAGGATCTTCTGCACCCTGCCCATCACAACCTGTGAGCGTGAGCGTTCTGTCAGTGCGCTGCGGCGCCTGAAGACTTTTCTGCGCTCCACAACTGGACAGGATCGGCTGTCCTCACTGACACTGATGCACGTCCACTATTCCCGCAGTGTCAGCATCGACCAGGTGCTAGATCTGGTTGCCTCACGCAATCCAAGAAGAATGGCCTTGATTGATATCCTTGCTGCTCAGGACACCGCGGCATAATTCCACACGTGCGGCGCCGCCAGCAATTATTAATTATTATTTCATCCGCAAGATTTGCAACGGAACCGCGCATGACACTTCCTGATGTTCTCACTCTTGTCACTTATTGTTCACACTGTTCACACTGTTGTGTATTACATTCTGTTTTCTCACTAGCACCGATGGTTTCAACTTCTCTCTTTAATTCTCGGTTTCGCATAGCTTGTAGCGGCATACCTATGTATCTATGTTGTGTGCGACCCTGACTGCTCGCTTTTACATTTCTTTGTTGTTAGTTTACACCTGGACAGTGCATTGGTTCTGGTTAGACTGTGTCCTTTATTACTGATGCTTTCCGCTTTATGTCTTTGTTTCACCTGTGTTCCAGTGTGAAAAGGTGAAAGTACTTTGGAAAACTCACCTAAAGATTGCCGCTCTTTCTTAGTTTGTTGATTAATCAGAGCCTCAATAATTCTTAGGTAACATAGGTTGGTTTGCACCAAGCTGCTGCACAGTGCATGCAAACACTTGTACTGGAAGTAAGACAATCAGTGCAAGATTAACCGGAACACCATAACTTTGACTTTCATGCACATTTGTGATGTCATGAATTTACCACTTGTGGTGCACTATTTCATGTCTCATGACCTTCCAAAGCAGCCCGAAAACTGCCACGCTACGCTCGAGGCCCGTACAGAAATAACAACTCACCAATGCCAGGGATGATGTGGAACTTTTCGTTGACGATCTTGTCGACGGCCGTTGTAACAACTTGGACTTTGGGGAAAGCGTACGCTACGTTATGCACACCTATTGGCATGGGCAAACAACAGTCAACAAGTGACATACATTCAGTCTCACAATCCAGTCCAGGGCATAGCTTAGAGGATTTCATTTAGCTCGGACAAATGTCCTTCCGTTTTGAAATCTGTCCGGACATGCCCGGACATCTCCCCTTTCGCTTTCCAGAAGACATTCTACAAGACTATCTGCATTCCTGGTCAGTGAAAGAGTGACAAATAAAAGATGACATCTTCCTCTCAAGAACGAACAACTGCACTAGCAGTCCAACCCATCGATTCCAGTGCAAAGTCGACACCAACGGTCGAAAGTGTGAATTGACTGTACTTAAGTAGCAACAACGCATTGCTACAGGCGGATCAAGTACATATAGTGAAGTCTACGCCTGAGACTACGGTGTACGTGTTAGTTGTACGATATGCAAGTCACATTTGGCACGAAGCTCCGAAGAAAGCCCAACTCCGCATAAAAAGGTCGAAAGGTCGCTGCTCTTTTTTACTTTTTCGACCGGACACTATGTCCGGTGAAATTGAAAACGTCCAGCCAGTGGCCGAAAAGGGCCGGAAAATGTCCGATGTCCGACCGTTAATCTATGCCCTGCAGTCTATGTGTTCCAGTACCAGCAACATGCCTAGTTCTCACACACAATGGCAAATTAATCATGCTTGGAAATAGAGGAAGCTTACGTCAGGTTGATTTTTGAAGAGGGGCGACAGGAAAAGTTTGTCAATAGTGCAAGAGTCCATGAACCCCTGATGCAATAAAACCTGTCAAGGTGACCACTCGGATAAGGTGACCACTTGGATAAGGCGACCACTCGGATAAGGTGACCACCTTCCCCATAGGACCAGTACAACCAGGGATAAATGATGATATTTCTAGTCACATGACCCTGGATAAGGAGACCATCTGCACACAGTGGCCACATTTCGAAGATCTCCTGAGTGGTCGCCTTATACTTGTACAGGTTTCACTGTGGTTGTATCAATCTGCATCGCTGTACACATATGGAGTACAGTATGACAACGGAGCTGGCCAGCTGGCATTCTATACAACTGCATAAAGAACTAGCACATTGGACTACTGGTATCCAGTGTCTGCCAGCATGCATGCAATGTGTCCTGCATGGGGACAGCAAGAATATCGAGAAGTCCAACCATTCAGTGTACAGTGGCGCTTTCGATTTCGAAGAGAGCGGCCAAAAACTTGAAGGGGTAGCAAGGCCATGCAATGTCGCTTTAGCTATAATCCCGTTAGCAACCATTTTGTCGAGAACTACCGTTCATGAATATTTCTTATGCATACAAATTTACTGAGTGTTCACGTCTTACTTGATTTCTGTAGTTTCAGTCTGCAACTTCGTCGCCTTTCTCCCAGTCTAAGGGGCCGTTTACATGAGAAAAATAAGCCTGGGTGTATTCACCTCGGGCTTATTTTTCAACTGTTTACATGACGGTTGTACGGGGCAGAGTCCAGGTGGGTGACTGCGAGTTCTGAGCGCATTTTATTAATTTTTTCAAATCGCACAAGAATGCAGCGGAAGTTTTTAAAGTATGGTGAAATTTGGATCAACAAGTGCTTGCTCACGCTTCTACTGCCTTTCCGATTGTCACTTATTTTTTCGAAAAGGCGAAGCCGTCACTGAACGAAAAATCAGAAGAAAAAGTGCCAAGAAAAGAAACAAAAGAGACACACTGCCTACGGCGAAATCATCTCAGGTTCACAAGGCAAAAACGAAAAAATACGGAAAAATCGCTTGTAAGCCCAGGGCTTATTTTCTTGACCGTTTACATGAGAAGATAAGCCCAAAGGTTTGGATAAGCTCGGGGGGTCAGGGGTAGGGCTAGTTCAGCTCAGGGCGAGCTGAATAAGCCCGCCACGCCATGTAAACGCGCGCTCTAGAATGACTGATCGAGGCGGGCTTATCGTACGCCCAGGGTTAAATAAGCCCGGGCATATTTCTATCATATAAACGGCCCCTAACTCAGTACAGTCTTTCCATTATCTGACAGTGCTGCTCTCACCTCTAGTTAAGTGCAAGCACCCTCCGCCAGATGCACAAACTACATTTCTAAAGACTCTTCAATTTATTTCTTCTTCGCGTTCACTGTCGTTCTGCAGTGTATTCATTTATTTCCCTTTCTTTCTACCTTGTGCTAGACGTGCTCCATGTAACCGCCATCTTGGTTTCTATGGCATCACAGTGCACCTGACCACGCAATCGCTGCGCGGCTCAGGCCCAAATAGGTCTGTGTGCGCAGCGTCGCGATTTATTCGGCCTCGTCAAGTGCGCTGCACAGTGCGCTTGCTTCGAGCACCGCTGTTTTCGGAGCGTACACATAATGCGTCTCTCTTCTCTCTCCGGTGTTTTTGGGTCACCTTGTATTGGTTGTTCTGCTTTATAACTTGACTTGGCCTTGGTGAATCGACAATGGTGTTTAGTGTTCTGGTAATGTAAGCGTGTGCATATTGGACAATGATTGCAAGGTCTTCCGAAATCAATACGACTTTGACACATCTCACCTTGCTCAGCTGCAATGAGCGAGGCAAACACCAGATTCTCCTGCTGCACGCCATGATCCTGAGCACCAGTATAAAAGTCATTTGCACAGAGCAAACAAACAACAACAGCAGCAGCAACAACAACAACAACAACAACAACAACAACAACAACAACAACAACAGCAGCAGCAGCAGCAGCAGCAGCAGCAGCGAGTTGGACAGAAGTGACATGTTCATCACTAGTACACTATTTGCACAAACATACATGTGCACCTACACTTGCACAGACCCCCCCCCCCCCCACACACACACACTATGTGCACACACGACTAGCACGGAGCTGTACCGTACTCAAGAGTACAACAGTAATACAGAACTCCTGCACAGAAGAACGAAGGGCAAAACGAGTGTATTATAGTAACAAACCAAAGTCGCAGAACGAGCACAAGTAAAGCAGCTCAGCTCTTACCAGAAGAACCCGGATTGCCATGAGAGCTGCACACAGACACACGAAACAGAATGCAAAGTGAAGATTTCAAATGCTGAACTAGCAAATGCTGCACAGGGCATAGCATTCTGTCTTTGATCTTCCAGAAGAAGAAAAAGTGTGAAGGGCAACGTTCAATAAATGACAAGCTGGCCACTAGCGCCAACGCGGTTTGTACTGTGAGTGATTGCATTAATGCTGCTATTCACAACTACACAGCTGACGGCATTGTGATACTCAATGGCACGCAGGCCAAACCTGGTGAGTAGAAAGCAAGACCTAACAGAAGACAACATGTCTATGGTCACGCCACACAGCACAGCACTACACTACACACTGACCAGCTGCTCCAGTTGCTAACGTCGCATCCATCAGCACAACAAACGAATCGGCCACGTCGTCAGGTAGCCGGTAGTAGTGAAGCTGGAAACAGACAGACAGACAGACACACAGCACAAAGCAGAGCAAGATGGTGAGACAGCCAGGTGCCACGGCATTGACAGAAAAAGAACAGACACTATTTCGTGTTAGGATGGATTGCCTCACTGGATCTACAGAGAGAATGCCTGAAACACGTAGTACAGTGCTGCTCAATGAAATCTGATCGCTTGAGTCAAGTCTGCACCGGGGGCTGCGCAGCCCTAGACCTGCAAACACTGGGCTGCAAAATGGTGCAAGGCGCACACTTGAGTGACACGACCGGATTCCATTGAGCAGCACGATCACATGGGGCAGTATAGATCTTTCAGGGCAAGACGATCCGGGTGCACCTTTGCACGGCCCACACAACCAGCAGGATCAGAACATGGCATGTTATGACCAAGCATGCACTGAGAAGGAATCGTCGAAAGTTCTATTAGATGTCGCTCAAATGTATAATTTTAAAACATGCCGCTCATTTTTGAAGTATTGGAGTAGGGCTGGTTGATAATAATATTCCAAAAGTCATAGAACAAAATGGACTTTGAAACGGACAATGGAATACACGGTGAGAAATGCGTCATGGCCATCTATCGGTGTTTGTTCGGCTAGATAGTGAGAAGAGAAGGTACCTGACTGAACAGTGAGATTGTCGGGGATACACAACATTGTCAACACTCTACCGCTAACAAAGATTACCTCTGGTTCCCCTGACTCCTCACTGGTCTGGATGAGTATCTTGCCCAGTTCAACGTTCCGACACACGGATTGCAATGCAGGCTCCATTGTCTCCCCGGCACGCAGGATAGATACACCGCACACCTGAAAAAAAGCCAGCAGTCAAACAAAGCCAGCAGTCAGATGTACACACAACAACACAACATGCTGCACACAAGTAGACTGCCTCCCATCAAGAAGAGGTTTGTGCTGAGAAGTAGAAACCTTGAAAAGAAAGCGTCTTCTTTCTCAATAAAGCACAATACAACAATGCAATTATTTACATCCATTATGTGTTCACTCAGTGCGAATATCATAAGCAATTGTACCTGTGCTTTAATGTGACGCACAGTTGCTTATTAGAAGAAAGGAATTGAATACTCAAGTCCTGCTGTACTGTACTGTGCTGTGCTGTGCTGTGCTGTGCTGTGCTGTGCTGTGCTGTACCGTACTGTACCGTACTGGATGGTTTCATGATTACCACAGAGAGCACAATCAGCCAGGCTAGCCGTGGACTATGCCGCGTATATCCTGCACGAATGCAGTGACGTTGTTCAACAAAATTCAGCTGGTGAAATGATTGCCCAGCCCAGTAGCTATGATGTCAGACTTCCGTAATTCCAAAACACACTCCCAACTAGTGCAATGATTATGCAGTGCACACCCCTGACTACATAGGTTGAATGATGGCTAGCTCAAAGCTTACCTTGCCGTTGAACTCCTTTCCCGGATAGCTTGCACCTTCGCCAAGCTGCATATCTTTATCCTGCACCAAAGCAAGCCAAGGTTCACAAGCAGAAACATGTACTGACGACGATGCTGAGAAAAGAGGCCACTCCGTACATCGGTATCGGTAACACTGTTGGTCATGTTGCTACTTCGCATGAACTGAGTACTGAACAACTTGGGAATAGTGTCGTAAACAATCATCAGTCACAACGAGACAAGTTTTAGTTCAAGGAGGAAGTCTCACTGCATCTCTATGCATGGCATTAACAGACTTTGACTATCGCGCATACATGAACTTGTACACCATAAAACACAGGTGTTCCACATCAGAAGCCACAGCGTACCAATCGCTACTACAGTACTGCGGTATTCTATTCTTTTCGCTCTCCTACGGCATGGATTGCTTCAGTGGGATGGCATAGATGTAGCTTGGATGCTATAAGGTGTGAGTGCGCAGAACATACTCGAAACCCGGAGAACTGGTGTATTCAGAATGTGCAGGTCGGACAAAAAAATATCGCCTTGGCTCCCAAATCATGAGACAAATATGATGATCAGCCAATCAGATTGGTAGCGTACGCTTCTCGTTGGCTGAATATTTGAAATAAACGAGAAGCATTGTTCTTTTGAATGACTAACATCTGCGATGCGTGTTTTTTGTGTTTTTTTCTATTTCTTTATCATGGTAATGACACAGAAGGCCGCGCAGGCGTTAAAAAGCGCTTGCGCAGTTTGAATCAGTCTCTTTTTTCATTTTTGTCTTGCATTGCAAGGGTACTGCTGAAGTTTATTTTTGCAAAAAAATTCTTTCAAGGTTTTCATCATGGCACCAGGTCCATGCCGAGGTCGAGGTCAAAGTCAGCAAGTGTGGAGATCCCCTCGCAGGACGAGGTGGAATTGAGGATGCGCTTGCTGGAACGCCAGGTCCTTCGGCTAGAAGGGAGGAGACACCGCCGGTCGGCCTCACCCTCTTTCTCGTCGTCCTCGTCTTCGTCATCATCATCATCATCATCATCATCATCATCATCCGACTCCTCATCGTCACCAGCGCGCGTCCTGGGGAGGAGGAGGACATCGGTCAAGTCCTCGGCGAGAAAACACGCAAAGTCAGTGCCGGATAAGCAACTGAAACGTACCAGCTACCAGCAGCAGTATGAGTGTATCACCATGGTCGCCGATCGCCTGCAACAGTATGAGTGTATCACCATGGTCGCTGATCGCCTGGAGCAGGCGAAAACTTATGTTAAATCCGGGAAAACCAAGGTGCTGGGGAGTATCGGAAAAGCGCAGGCCAATCTAGAGGACAGGTTGGAGTGGCTGGTGATTGCAGACCGCCACGGGCACGACACCGCCACGAGATATGCTGAGGGTGACGGCCTGACGGAGCTGCTGGTCAACGCTGGCAAAAGAAAACGCCTCCGAACGGCGATAGAAGCATTACAGACGAGCGTGAAGGCCTCTGTGATTGTGAAGGACAAGCAGGCGCACTTTCGGACCGCCAGCGCTCCAAGATCAGCTGGCGCTTGGAGTGCTGGCCAGCAATCTAGCCAGGTCGCAGCAGCTGCAGTGCCACTGTATGCATGCGGGCGTTGGTTCAAAACCTTCATCGGCTAGCAGGCTAAGATGAGAACAGGACCAGCCAAGCGCGATCTAGCCACTACAGCACATGCATACAACAAGAGACTAATACACATGCACGTACCGTGAACGGGAGGAACGTCAGCACCTTCTCCAGCAGCAAGCGCATCAACCTCTTCGAGTAGAAGATGAATTCGTCACGCCTCGTGGCTTGATTCCTAATTTGCGAAAAGCAAGGCAACACGGCCAATATTCAAAAAGTTCATCTTCTGCCAATCAAGCGCCTAAGCCAAGCACACACATGTACTCTTGCTACTGTAAGACATGTATATATATAATGAGGAAGTAAATCTAACGCTTTAACGGATGACATTTCTTCGTTATAATAAGATCCGTTGAAGCCATACTGCTTCATATATGTTGTGTGTGGATATGCCGGAATACTGCAAGGTCGTTAAACATATCTTCTCGTTAACCTATGAATTTTGGACAATCGTTAAATTTGCGACTCGTTATAATAACATGTCTTACAGTATTACCTGATAATGGTATGTAGTCCACGCACTTGATTAGTGCTCTCCAAGACGCACACGGAGTCAGGCAGCTTCTCGCCACACTGCGTCGAACGCAACTTCGACCTGTACCAGCACACGCACATGCACGCACGCACACACACCACACACACACACACACACGCGCGCGCGCGCGCGCACACAGGCACATACACACACACACACACACACACACACACACACAGGTGACAGCACACTGACATATTAGCGTTTGGAAACAGGCGCTAGCATGAGATACAAACACATCTGAGAATACAGAGATTCCTTAAAAACCGAAGAAGAAGAAAAAGGTTCATACAACTGTTGTTGTGAGTGCACAATTGATCTTATTTATTGCTATCATACAATTGTTTCAATAGCACAGATCTCATCAATGTTGTGAGAGTACTGAGTAGCTAGAACCTGTGCATAGCACTCTTTTACACAGTCATAACAGTACAGTACTGTCGGTCGCCGAAGAACTGGGGGGTCAGCCTCCTAGCCTAGACTGTTCCTATTTTCATGTATTACAGTCTATGCATGGTTGAGTCACCCCGTATACATTGGGATGCTGTGCTTGGTAAAATTCTAGCCTGATCGTTCTTCGGCGCTACCCGACAGGACTGTAGTGACTACTTGATATGAAGTAGAGAAAAAACCCACGACAGGTGCAACCACCACGAATACTATAATAGCGAGACAACGTGCTCTTGTAAAATGTGAGTACTGATCACAGCCGTACATTGACACTGCCACTCACCGAAGTTTGAAGCCACGCTGGATACGGCAGGTCAGGCAAAACAGAGAAAGAAAGAAAGAAAGAAAGAAAGAAAGACACGAGACAGACAGACAGACAGACAGAAGCAACAGAACAGAATAGTCACACAGTCAGATACTGTAAGACATGTATATATAACAAGGAAGTAAATCTAACGCTTTAACGGATGACATTTCTTCGTTATAATAAGATCCGTTGAAGCCATACTGCTTCATATATGTTGTGTGTGGATATGCCGGAATACTGCAAGGTCGTTAAACATATCTTCTCGTTAACCTATGAATTTTGGACAATCGTTAAATTTGCGACTCGTTATAATAACATGTCTTACAGTACAATACAATTGATCACAGCGCACATAACTTAAGGAATAACCAGTCATGCCCCCCCCCCCCCCCATATAGAGCTATTGCCCATCTACAACATGGCCATACGGGGCAGCCATGTTGGCTACAACTGCAGTTGATCCCCGCAGCACCAATAGGTCACATGACAAAGATGTGAAACCACTCTGGAGTCTGGACACAATGCACATAGCCATAGTCACGATCACCCAGACACATACACATTCACCAGAGGTGGCAGTGGAGCTTGGGCAAGGGAAAGCCTGCAGCTGTACATGTACATACATAGCTACCAGTACTCACAACATTTAGCTGTTTACGAACATGTCGCACGATCAGATCGAGAGCAACAAGATTCTCAGCACCTGTCACAACACAACATATGACAAAGCAACACATGTTGAAAAGCAGTGGGCATCGCAAAATCAATCAATCAGGCAAAAAAATGAACACAGAACAAAAGCAATCCTGGAGGAACTGACCTCGTGGCACGACAATGTCTGCATAGGCCATGCTGGGTGCGATGTGCTGCTCAAACGCCTGGGCAGAAGTAAACAGCAAAAGCAAATACAAAAAAAAGACAGCAATGTATTATATCCTTTACCAATTTTGACAGACCACATCATAAAAGCGGAGGTGTGCAGGTGAACTAAGAAGTCGAGGCTACAACACAGTACGCATGCAGCACTTACGGGCTTCACAAAGCTATTGTACTGTTTCAGGACACCCTGAAGCTCTCGGCCTCGCTCCTTGATGTCTCTGCGCAGCCTATACAACATACAGGCACACATACATGTACACGTACGTGCAGACAATCTGAGCACTGAGCAGCAAAAGCCTCTGTTGTAAAAACACATGCCTCATAGTTGCCAATTCCTTTCAAAGAGAAAAAAAAGATAGATCAATGATGGTCACTGCTCCGAGCACTCAAGCATTCCTCATACTTGTACACTTAGAAGATGACAGGACTCAGTAAAGACCAGCACGACACCCACGCCCGCACACAAGTGGGAACGCAAGAACAATGAGAAACCGCTCAGCCAGCCACTACGCGCAGGCCTAGCTGCATGAACGCCACAGGCCGCACAAGCACAACTACTAACCTCCGCGCCAACCGAATGTCGGAGTCGGTGTCAACGAACACTTTCAAGTCCATCAGCTGGACAGAGGAGGAAGAGAAGTACAAGTCCAAACATGCCCATCACATTAGAAACAGCAGGGCAAGGATCAGCGCCTTCAGAATCACAGCTGTAAACAACCTTGAATGAAGTACGAATTCGAGTTCCGAGGTCTTTTCCCTTCGGTACTGACCCTAATATTTCTGTAAATGAGAACAACGGAGGGAATCGGACAGTATCCGCCTGAAAAGTAGTGGTGAAACGAATATACCGAATATTCGAATGTTCGTTCGGTTTGTCACATTCGAACGAATATTTCTCATGGCGAATATTCGCTAACCGGGTATGCAGAGTTTTTTTTTACCGGGCGACTTCAAACTTCCGTAACTTCGCGAATACTTGACCGAACCGCTTCATCGAAAGTTCCATCGGCATTAGAAAACTCTCAGCTGTCGTCTCGAAGCAACCCGGACGCGATCCGAGGTCCTAGAATGGAGTTATGGCGGTCGAACGAAAAATCACGTCTTGAGCTGTTTTTTGAGCGTGTAAAATGCACTTCAGCTGGGGATTTTGTGAAAATTGACCTAGAAATGGTGGAGAAATATGTGCCTTCGTTTGTCATGCCTAATAATAGTGACAATATCCAATAAAATGACTGAGAGGAGGGCGTGTGATGTCATCCGTGTTAATGAAAGAATATTCGTTCGTTCGTTCGTTAAGCTAAAGAATATTCGGCTACTGGGTTTTGATATTCGTTTCACCACTACTGAAAAGAATAAAGTAAATTAGAACTTGCTTGCTCGTTGGTACTATCACATACATGTACATGTATACACATGTGCGTACGTGCGCATACATCTATCATATATCATGTACCATGTATACGCCCATACACACACACACACACACACACACACACACACACACACACACACACACACACACACACACACACACACACACACACACATACACACACACACACATACACACACACACGCACGCACGCACGCGCGCACGCACCCACACACGCGTGAGCGCACACCCAAGCACACACGCATGCACGAGCGCACACACACATACATACCTAAACACCCAAACACATGAATGTACTTGTATCCAATGCACATGGACATACCTCAACAAGATCTGCTCTGGCAAATGCCATGATGCCTTCAAAGATGATAACATTGGCACCATACATGGTTTTCTGCAATGACAAAAAAAGATTATTGTACACGTGGCATTATTGAACCCAATCTTTGGACAGCTAGCAATTTCGATCCCGTAACGTCTCATCAACAGGGACTATATCTCTCTCTCTCTCTCTCTCTCTCTCTCTCTCTCTCTCTCTCTCTCTCTCTCTCTCTCTCTCTCTCTCTCTCTCTCTCTCTCTCTCTCTCTCTCTCTCTCATTAGATTATGTCAATACTTGGACCATGTGGTTAAAGTGAAGGGGATTTCATTGAGCAGCAGCATACCATACACTGCATACAGTCCTACAAGAGCACTCAGCCGTCGTGTTCTAGAGCTGGGGCGTCTAAGCAAATCCTGTCTGCAGGTTGTACGGCGAGTTCTTCGTACAAGCATCACCCACTTCGCAATCCATCCATACCGATTCAGGGATGAATTTATCCTGTATCGCATCGCAGTTTGCTATGCAAAATCGATCTACTGCTACTCAAAAGTCACCGTGACTCGCAGAAAACTGCGATACATACAGACTATCCATGCTTAGCCTGCGCTATGAAGTAACATGCATACAGTGCAATGTAGGTGGTGCAAGATACTCTCAATCTGTGCGCATATATATGCTTCAGTCGGTTTTTTTGCAAATGGGCTTTCAGGCAGCACTCTCAAGAAGGACAATCTGGTAAACACCCAACCTTCAAAGAAAAAATGCTAATCAAGATCAAAGACTGCTAGACAATTGTGATTTTGTATAGCAGAAACTACTATGCAAAAATATGACAGTAAATTCATCCCTGCGATTTTACCTTACAGTGTAGAAGTCAGCTCCAGACAAGAGCAGTGAGCTGGTTCGCGACCCTACTAAACAGTACACTCTGGCTCTTACACTGTATGACCTTAGCTGCACTTGACCATACGGTTGCCATTTTACTGGCTGTAAGTCAAGGTGGGGCGCTCTTGCAAGACGGGTACTCACGTGAGATGGTCACTCTCGTGGTACTCACAGTACATTCAGACACTAACAGATTGATGAAAGACATACATCTACTCAATTGTGTATAGGCGTGTAATAAACGGTATAGAAACTGTGGTACAGCACAGACACACTTACACTGATTTTCTCCCTGCCGTGTGTGGTGAAGTTATAGATAGGGACCTGCAGAGCAGAGCCAGTGGTCAAACACGCAAAGGCATTAACCCCAAAACACTGGCAGCAGTGGTTAACACACAAAGTATTAACCCTTTACTATCCGTGCGCACTTGAATCGACATCTAGAGATCGATGGACATGCATACACTAAAACATTCGTAACTTGATCGATTCTTGCCGGAATTTAAAAAACTAAGTATCGAGGAAGAAGCCGAGCTCAGCTTTCCATTGCATCAATCAGTGAAGAGCTGCGATGTCGCATTCCAAAGGTATTACGCTCTACATTTCAGCCATGGCAAAAGTCGAATTTCTTTCCGAGTGACTGACCTTGAGCGGGAAATTCCCCCTCTCCTGACATGCTGAGCCACTTTGGCATGCTTGAGCACGTGGGCAGCATGAAAAGAAACTCAAGAAAAAAATGTGGCATGTTTACGGTGAAGGAGCGAGAAATGGCTGGCGAGGAGAGAATTTCCTCGTACATCCAGTGATGGGGTGTATTTGAAGCTCCCTGGCGCTGGATATGTGATCTCGGTAGTGTCCTGTTTGAGCTGAATGTACGCAGCTCGTGGAGAGCTTTCCAGAATGTCCAAGATTGTGAAAATTGGTTGATTAGAACCGAAGATATTCTCAGAATAAGCAACACAGTCAGAACAATCAGAAGAAGCTATTTCTCTCCACCAGAAGGAAATGCTGCGGTGTGCAAAGACTCCAAGTGTCGTCTTCCTGGAACCACAGAAGGTGTTACTCAGCTTTGTATGCTTAATGACGTTTCCTCTAAAGGAGACAGCTTTTTCAAGCATGCGTTCGTGCATATTTTGCTGGCTTTTGGGGGCGTCATGCAAATGGAAACATGCCGAAATGAAAATTCCAACATGAATTTTCCCAGCGCGCATCAGTACTGACGTACATCCCAGTCACATTGACTGCAGGGGTCCACAAATTAGTACTCAAAAGTGTCGCATGCCCCAAAATGCGACTCGAACTGCAGTTTTCTGTGAAAGCCTGAACACACGTTTGGGCACGCATGATCCGCAAGAGTACCGCGTACACGCGCCAGTTATGAAGACGGCTAGACGGATTTAGTCCCAGAAGTGCAACACTTTTGCCGTACTGGAATTGCCAGTGCTAGCCTGATAGAGAAGGTTGGCATCCTTTCAGCCGTGTTGTTCAGCGAGCGATCTGCAAATCCCGTGCAAATCCCATGTGTTAATTCAACCTGGCAACGGAACTTGAGCCCACTAGCAGTGGCAAGACCAATAGTGGAAGTAAAAGCAGTACAGCCACGAGTACTGGAGTGCGTGGCAGCAGAGTCCGCAGAAGCAGCAACAGCAACTGGAGAAGACAAGACAGATCTTGCGTTCCAATCAGGAAACCTAACAGTTGGTTGTGGAAGGTGATGTTCCATTTAAGCTGCCATTTAGCCACTGGAGTTTCCCCGGATGTTGTTCCGCCGACCGCTCTGCGGTCGCTTTATAATTCATCATTCCAAGGAAGAAGCAGCCAGACTGCATTTGACTTTCAGTGCAGCATGACTGAATCTGGAGGTGGGTTGCAGTCATGTGTCTCTCAGCTGGACACGAACTGGTGCTCAGTTAGAATGCGGCTCTGATGCACCATTGATCCTTGCTGATGTGGCGTGGGAAATGAAGAACACAATTGTTGGCTTCATGGAGGTTCTCAGCAAGCAAGGATACCAGCAGTTACTATTCCCCACTTGTGCTTGCATGGCCAGGCCTTCTACTGCAGAGTCCGAGCATCCAGTAAGCTCTGGGAACACCGTTCTCAGTGGTCGGCGAGTCATTTACCTGCACTTCGAGATTACGCCAGGATCGTCTGAAGGAGTGCAGTAGTCCAGCAGAGGTTCTGGTACGCTCATCGTGGGTATTGCTCACCGGCTTGTGCAAGGAGGATTTCTTGACGACGTAGGAGTCGGACAGGAACTCAGCTATGACCTTAAAGGCTACGTGCGCTACACGCAAAGAGAGGGTCGTTGTTCCGAGGTCCTTCTGGCCCTGGCTCCGTAGGGACGTGCCATTTATCCCAGCTCAGGTGAGTCGTGAAGATTTCTTGCACTGTCTCGTAAGGTTCCAGCTTACATTTTACATGTCAAGCTGGTAGAATAGAATAGATACCGTATTATCTCCATTATAAGCCCAGCGCTTTTCAACCAGTCCGGACCCTGGGCTTATATTGGAGACTGGGCTTCTACTAGAGACTAGGCTTATAATTTTTCAACCACCTGGCACATGTACATTGCCTATTATTTTTCATTATATCAGTAGCAGAAAGTTTCCCAGCAGGTACCGGGATTGCAGTTTTGTGCTTCCTGGTACACTGAGTCTGTACTTAAGACCTCGGGGATCACAGACTTTTACCACAGCATGTGTTTATGTGATATTAAACATGCATGAACATGATTCATACGGTTCTCCATTATAAGCCCTGCGCTTATATTGAAGACTGCGCTTGTATATCGTCGAAGCCCTCTTGGAGTGCGCTTATAATAGACACTGGGCTTCTACACGAGACTTCGCTTGTAATAGAGATAATACGGTACTTTAGTTGTGATATCTACACCATCATGAATAACCTCAGGTACACATTATTTGGCTGCTGTTAAACGGCCTTCAGCAATATCAATGAGTACACGCACACTCACACACGCACACAAGTGCACATGCATACCTGTACATTCTTGCCCTCCTTCAGTTTCTTCAACGTCTCGACCAGTAGATCGATATCAAATGAATCTGCAAGCAAGGTCCCCGAAACAAGGGCAATGCTCCCATAAGTAGCCAATCAAACCTAGAATATTCAAAAGTCACATACAAGATGAGGACAAAGGACAATCCCCCTACCCCTGTACTACTTCAAATTAAATATACACAATGCAATGTGCTTGGAAATGGACCTATCCACAGTCGCATAATCGCACAATGTGCAACTACTTACGCCCAGGGACATTTGCTTTACTGTCAAATAGCTACCAAAGCCAGCTCAAGTAGCAATGGAAATGTACATGCCACTCACCAGGATGATCAAAATTGTAAGAATTGTTGGCCGCTTGCACCAGTTCTTCCTCATTTAGAACCTGTACATGTGCACAGGCAGAAATACATGTACAGTCACACCAAGCACAGTAAGGAGGAGCACACATCACGATATTGTAGATAGGTGTCACCCTGTTGTACATAGCAATACACAGAACCATACACACACACACACACACACACACACACACACACACACACACACACACTCACGCACGCTCGCACGCACACCATGCCGCAGCCCATGACCGCCTCAACTCAGGCTGCAAATGATGCGACCCGACACATCAGAACACAAAACATTTGCTGTGGCGGAATCTCAACGGCATTCGCAATCATGCACTGCACTGTGTACTGGGCCTGTGCTTTCGCCCATACCATGGGCGCTCACATGGAGGTGGGCGAGAAAACAGAAAAATAATGTTGACATGCAGGACCTGGGTAGCGGGTGTTATACTGGGTGGGTGATAAAGTGTGATAGTACGGGCCTTTGCGGTAGTACCTTGTAGAAGCAGTCCATGGAGAGAAGGGTGACCCAGGGTACCTGGAGAGCCTCAATGATTCGGTTGGCAACCGTTGTTTTTCCCGAGGCAGAGCCGCCACACAGGCCTGGGCAAAATCACAAGTTATAGGTGCAGCGGCAGAAACAGGATGAACACAATATTCCAATGAAGCATGCTTTAAAATAACTTCAAATAAGAGTTACGTTCACGAATTGTGCACTGTGCTGGGGACAGGGCCAACAACCCAGAGTCAACACCAGTCTCATTGTGTCCTCTCGGAGAGTGGAACTGTGATATGAAGTGCACTGCAATCAGTAAACCAGTATAAGACACGTGCTCACATACTTTGCGTAGAAGCACGTGCAAATACACGGAATACTTTTTTTAAATTTAAAGTACTAGTAATTTCGTGAGTCCAGCCCGAGTTCCGGTAGGGAACCTCACCGTGATAGTACGTGTAGTGGCTTACCAATGATGAACGCGTTGCCTGCATGACCATGGCTGTCGTACCACGGAGGACGTCCTGGTCAACAGAACAGAGAAAGTATGCCAGTGCACTAGTCACACGTACAGGAGTTGAAGTAAAAGATGCCGAGACAGACACTACACTCTCTACAGTCAGTTCAATCAGTATATTATGCTATGCATGAACCTCAGCAGCACCACTGTAGACTCTAGCACCATGGCATCGACACATGACTACACCTTCAATGAAAGCAAGTACAGACATGAGATGTCACACATGACTGCACCTACGTTACACGAGTATGAATGCACAGGTATGAGATGTCACACGTGACTATACTACATCATTTTCGAGCCTGGCTTTGGAAAATTCACTTTCATTGCTATCAGGTTCTGCCTCATTTTCTCTGTGCTGCGCTGACGAGTCCACAAAGGACGAAACAGTTCTGTCCGCAGATTGAGTAATTTTATTCATTACAATTTGATGCCAATTGACTGAGTTCTTCCTTCTATGTGAATAGAATGGCTGAGAACAATGCAACGTCGACCCGGGAGTTGCCTAGAAAGGCCAACCAGCAGCATGAGTTGATGCTGGCCATGCAATCGGGAGCTGCTGCAAGCGGCAGCTGTTGTTTTTCCCTGTCACACACTGCAATGTAAGACGGATCCTTTCTCCACGTCGACTTGCTTCTATCATTCCTAGTTTCGCCTTAGGAACACGCCTCAACACAAAGGCAAGTGAAAATTCCACAGTCAAGCACAGCACATACCACGCGTGTAGACTATACGATTGCGATGGGTCTTCTTTGGCGAGTCCGGGCGCACCGCGAGCAAGTTTTCATCGCTGCTGCCACTGTACGGGAAAGGTTGTCACACAAAAGAGTATACAAACCAGTGTAATTGGGTCAATCACAGGCAAAGAAGCGAGAACTATGAAGTAGCAAGTGCAGTAGTACGATTCTATCGTGATCTGTATGCTACGAAATAGTGGTAACGACCTCAGCGATAATAGTGATGTCAAGTGTCGAGTAATGTCGGCGTGAAAAGCGCGATCTCCAGCGTGGGGAGCAGCCTACTTCCTTGCGATACATTAAAAAATGAGACAGTGTTACTCAATGAAATCCGATCGCGTGAGCGTGACTTGCGCCCTCCGCCAGTTCACATCCCAGTGCTCGAGGGTCTACAGTTGTAGGGCTACACGGCGCCCGGCGCGGCATTGACTCACTTGATCGGATTTCATTCCGCAGCACTGTACAAGACTTTGTATTCCTGTTCCACTTACGCCATCAGTTGGGCCACAGCCAGCTAAAATACCGGTATGTGAAAAGATTTCAACTTTTATTTTATACCAGAAAATTGTCACTTTGCTCGCCAGCTACTTGAACTAGTACGCCAAACAAGTGTGAGAATAAAGTTCGATAAGATGCTGATCGCCACAGGTTGATGAATGAAGCACAGCATGAACGCGCTCGACAGAAACAGTTTTTCATCCCTTCATGTCTCAAAAATTTAATCCCCAAAGACATGTTTTAGCTGAACGCGGCTCAGCTACATATTTTCGGGGTGTGTTAGCCACACCGGAGTCTAAGCCGCACCCCCCCCCCCCCCCCCCCCGCCTTTTCGGGTCCAAAATTCATATTTTGTTGGCATTCGGTCTATAAGCCGCATGTCAGCCGCACATCAGACTGAATTTCTGCCGTGCTTCTCACCTTTATGATCATTGGTAACGTCTTGTAGTCCCACGCCCATTAAAATTTAATTAGTTCGCCAAAAAATCAAAGGTTGTCTCACTCAGAACTGACAACATGTAGAGGCTTCTCACTAGTACAATGATTGATGGATTGCAGTACATGAAAAATAGTCGCATGACAGTTGACACCATACAAGCATCATATGGTTGAAGTGCTGTAGCGCTCGTCGATTCACATCCAGCATTCGGAGTTTAAGCCGCAGAGGCGGTTTTTGAGTTTTTTTAATACTTTTCAAAGTGCGGCTTACACCCTGGAAAAATGGTAATTGGTGAAGTCGAAAATAAACAACGCCAGTAGAGATGTACATGTGGTGTGGTGAGGTGTAGGGTACATGTACATGTAGCAAAATTCACTTTACTCTTTTTTTTCACTCTCCGATGATGCCCCCTCCCCCCCCCCCCCCCACACACACACTTGGGCGAAAATTTGGCTTCAGATGAGTTTTGGATTGTAGGGGCACTGTAAACAAGAACAGTAAGTAAGCACTACTACTTGACTCACAAACTTCACCCTTTGTGAGCACAATTGTACTTCTACCCAAGCAAAGATGAGATTAGGCAGACAAAAGAAGCCACGCGAAAATGGTGCAACACGACTAGAAAAAGAAGTAGAAGAAAGAAAATAAAGTCGGTACAGCCAGTCACCAGTTACCTGTCAATATCATCAACAGAGAGCATATCAGTACCAGCGTTACTCATTGTGCTGCTCCGACGTGAACAGACAGCGCCCAAATCGAAAACAGACCCCGCCAAGTTCAACTTCTCATCGAATGGAGACTAGCCAATAGGTATGCAGAAAGTCAGTGCCCAAATCACTATGCAGCTGGCTTTCAAGCAACTACAAACTGTTGAAAATCCTGACCAAGGGACAAACAATATGTACCATGCCAGCTCAATGAATGATGACGAAATAAGTACGGAGCTGGTTGTTTACATAGTCATTACGATTTTATCATTCATTATCCAACCTCCACTGACTGAGTTGACTCGGACAGGTGTGATTGCAGCAAGGGCTGCAGGATAAGTGCAAGACTTAGGTCTTCACCACTTGCACTGGGCTTCCACAATATCACCCAAGTCTTCTACTTCGACGTCTTTGCATTTTTTGATACTGTTGTCTTTGCATGCATAAAAAAAGAGGAAAAGACATTCACGATTCGAACTCAAACAAAAACACGTGCTGGACCATGAATGCCCGCTCGATCGAGCTCAGATCATGAGCTCATACATCAGCATGGGATCGGGAGTCGGGACGCCGCCATTCAATAACCTTGGCAACGAATTGTATTACATAATCGACAATGCAATTTTCTATTGCACTACGTCATGAGAAAGCAAGTAGATCGCATGCTTGATGTTGGTGTGCGTGCGTCCTCCACCTCGCGGCTCCATGCATCAGTTTTTTTCAAGCTTTTGGCATTGTATTTGTAGGAGTTGAGTTGCGTTTGTGCTTGGTGCACCTTCATTCATCTTGGATTTCAGCAGGGTGTTCGGTGGAGAGAATTACCCTGCAAAGATGTCGCACTATAATTTTAAGAAGATCACTGTAGTTCCTACGGCGAAGGACTTCATTGATGTTGTTTTGTCTAAGACGCAGAGGAAGACCCCAACAGTTGTGCACAGGCAATACCGAATTGGTCGTATTCGTACTTTTTATACAAGGAAGATCAAGTTTACCCAGCAGAACTGCCATGACAAACTGAGTAACATCCTCTTGGAATTTCCGAAGCTGGATGATGTCCATCCTTTCTACGCTGACCTGATGAATGTTCTCTATGACCGCGATCACTATAAGCTTGCGCTGGGACAGATCAATACTGCGCTACATCTCATTGACAATGTGTCCAAGGACTACGTGAGGCTGATGAAGTTTTCAGACTCTTTGTATAGGTGTAAGCAGCTGAAGCGTGCAGCTCTGGGAAGAATGTGTACGATCATGAAGAGACAGAACCAGAGTCTTCAGTACTTGGAGCAGGTAAAAAGCTCTTCTTTTTTTTGGTTTTTTAACCTCTGGAAAATTGTACGTGTTAAAATTTTTGCAGTGAGGTGTGTGCCATACTTTTGTGTGTGTGTGTGTGTGTGTGTGTGTGTGTGTGTGTGTGTGTGTGTGTGTGTGTGCGCGCGCGCGCGTCTGTGTGTGTGTGTCTTGCATGTGCTTGTGTCCGCATATGTGTGCGAATTGCTCATCTACCATATATCCGCTGTGGACAAAAGTCAGTATGACCGTGCTGTTGGCATTTCAATGTAAAAACGAAGCACTTTTTGGGGTAGCCGATAATTGATCAGCTTGGCCATAGCCAAAGTTTGCATTGCTTCTAGTGCTAGTTCTCACAACATTCTTTCACTTTTACATACCGTAGTTGTATTAGTGCCCACTTCCCATTTTGACCAAAGTTCAGCCCATTCAATATACATGTATGTTTGGTACACGCGCTTCAGGTTTGAGCCTCTAAAGTGCGCACTTCACTCCGGCAAATATGCAACTGCTCAAGTGCGCAGCTGACCATTAAGGTGTGGAAAGTCAGCATGTGTATGTTGCAATGCCCTTGACCTCTATGGCTCACGTTCCAATCCTTCATTGAACTATTGAGTACATGCCGTGGGTATCGTGCCTTGCGTTGTGTTTTGGCTCTATACACCAGTATGAATTATTTATTTTGCTCGCCATGCCTTTACTCTTCCCTGCCTTATTTCCCAGGTCCGTCAGCACTTGTCCCGTCTTCCTACCATCGATCCGAACACACGCACCTTGCTCCTCTGTGGCTTCCCCAATGTTGGCAAGTCCAGCTTCATGAACAAGATGACACGCGCCGATGTTGAAGTCCAGCCGTATGCCTTCACAACCAAGTCACTCTTCGTTGGTCACATGGATTATCGCTACCTTCGCTGGCAGGTCAGTGTCTCCGTTGTGTTTTGACGGATGTTACTGTGCATGAACGTACAGTATCTGGAAATGGAGGCTTGGTCTAGCTATGGCTGAGGAGGCCTGTTGCTGGTAAATGCATACTTGATGCAAATCACTGCAAGGTCTGACCGTTTGCTTGTCCAACTGTGGCTAGTAGTCACCTCGATGCTTGGTTACACGGAGCCTGAAAGCTACTTTGTTCATGCATTTCACGTGACACAATCGCGCATGTCCTCTTTCTAGAATTGTAGATGTCTTTCACTCACAAGAGTACCTCAGCACTGGTAGAAAGCTCGATAGTGAACTCCATCACATGATGCAGTTGGTAGAAGCATGCAAACTGGTGAACGGGTCACTGGCCTGCTCCTTTGAGTGGGTCACTGTTGGCCTTTCAGTGCGTAGACTGTAATCGGAAACTTCACGCTGTTTATTCTATAGCTATAGCTAACGGCAGTAGCTGACTATAGCTTACTTCTACATCACTATCAGTATTGTGCATTTATTATCGGTGGTGGTCTTTGTTGTGTGTTTCCCCGTGTATTAGGTTGTGGATACTCCTGGTATCCTGGACCATGCCCTCGAGGAGCGTAACACGATTGAGATGCAGGCTATCACTGCTTTGGCCCACTTGCGCGCAGCAGTGTTGTTCCTCCTGGACGGTTCTGAGCAGTGTGGGCATAGCATGGAAGAGCAGCTCTCACTGTTTGCATCCCTCCGCCCTCTGTTTGCCAACAAACCCATTCTTCTGCTCTTGAACAAGATTGATGTGCGTCGGCCCGACGAGTTGTCCGCAGAACACCAGGCTAAGCTCAAGGAGCTTGTTGACTCTGGTATTCCTGTCATGCCTATCTCAACTATGACAGAAGAGGGACTTGCCACTTGCAAGACAGATGCTTGTGATCGCCTGCTGGCGTACCGTGTCGACACAAAGCTGCGCGGCAAGAAGGGAACTTCCATCACATCCCGACTGCATCTCGCACAGCCAGCTCCTCGTGACCAGAAGCAGAGGCCACCGTGCATTCCAGCTGCCGTTGCTGCTAAGCGTGAGGCCATGACCACTGGCGATAAGTCACGCACACTGCGTGATGAGGAGGTGGACGCTGGTGAGGAATGGGTACTGGACCTGCGACGTGAGTACAACCTGAAGAATGAAGAAGAGCGCTATGATGTCATGCCCGAGATCATTGATGGCAAGAACATTGCTGACTTCATCGATGAGGACATTGCCAGGCGTCTTGATGAGTTGGAGGAAGAAGAAGGCCTTAGAGAAGAGGCGGGTGAATATGAAGAGGAACAGGACCCGAATGAGGCATTGACACTGCAAACCAGACGGCAAGTAGCTGCTATTCGCCACCAGAGACAGCTCATTCGACGAAACCGAATCGACAAACACACTCGCAATCATCCAGTTGCTCCACGTAAGCTGCGTATTCGGCAAGAAGCGGCTGAGGCAGCAGCTGACGACAACTATGAGTACGATGATGACGATATGGACATGGATACCAGTGACATTCTGGATGAAGAAGGATTCGGTCGCAAGCGCAAGCGTGGCCGCTCCGAAACCCCTCGACCGACTAAGCGTGGCCGAGACTCGTCCAAGTCACGTGTGCGCAGTGCTTCCCGCAGCTCATCGCGAGTACCACGCGATGTCTCCGGCCTCTCCCGAACTGCTGACAAGACGGTGGCGAACAAGAAGGCCAAGCTTGTGCAGCGTAAGTTCATTCGGCACGGCAAGGCTGGTGAAGCAGATCGGCACATCGCCACCAAGATGCCCAAGCATCTCTTCAGCGGCAAGCGCGGCATGGGTAAAACTGACAGAAGATAGCCTGTGCATATCTCCATCATATACTCTGTACATATACTCTGTACATAAAACACATAGGTTCTCTCATGTAAAACAACCTCCATATATTTTTTTTTTTCAAGGAAATACTGTACTACATGTATACAGTGGGTGGTAGCATGTGTTAGACATTATACATGCACATGTACATCTACATGTAGGTCATGGTGGTGATCAGAAAAGGTGAGAATGTGCGGGTGGGAATATCGCATAGTTAGTTGGTGCTGGGGGATGGAGGCGTGCGGGGGAAGTGCTGAGGATTTTTTCCCAAGGTGCACATGCACAGCTAGCTGCTTCAAAACAAACAAAAAAACCTCATATTCTCCTCTTCCGATTCTGTACATACTTGTATCTATTATTTCATGCAACTTTTTTTAACGTCTAGTCTCTCAACTCAATCATAATAATTATTATTATGGTTCCGACATGTACCGGGGTACTGTCCACCGGTACTAATGAATGAGCAGTAATGCCCCAAAACCGGGTATAATCATCACAGCCATGGTAAAACGTTTGCGCGAAACGGGGAACCATTGCCCAGGCTGACAAGCAGGTCTCCGCAGAACCATTGAGCAGGGTGTTTGGCCATGGCATGGTGGGATGAAGATGTTGCCTGTTGCGAAGCTGCTTGTACTTGTGTTCGTTTGTTTCGCCGTGTGTGCACAGCTGTATACAGTACTCGTATAGCCAATGGTAACTGTAACGTGGATATACAAACCAGGGAGTCATAAAATACCCTTGCGCGATCTACACTTTACTTACACGTGTACATATGATGCACATGTGGACTAAACAAAAAATTTCACGGAGAAGGTGGTGAGCCCGAACGTGTGCAGTTTTATTTTTATTATTTGCCATGGCGACCGGCGGCCCCGCATTCTTACCAGGCGTGGGCCATCCCCTGAAAAAAATAGACAAAAAAAGCAGGACATTTGTTCAAGTACGTAGACTATGTATATGCATGACCCCAGCTTCTGGTTTTCAGGTCAGAAAAGAACTAAACGGGAAAAAGAAAGAGAAGAAAAAAAAGTATAACTGGAGAACCGGGGTATCGATCCCCGTACCTCTCGCATGCTAAGCGAGCGCTCTACCATGTGAGCTAGTCCCCCTGGCTGGAATATCAAGCGCGTAAAGCTCTTTATGAAGGCGTGTGTGCAGTGCCGCATGCATGCGTGTAACGCGATGATCGGTGATGACATGACTCGACAGACTGATTGTCATGACAGCGCTGCACAACACCGTCACACTATCATGACATACAGACAGTAATCATCCTGTTGTGTCAGGCAAGAAGAAAATATGCCACGACATAGGGCGCACACTGGTAGTAGCACCGGTTCATGCAGTCTTCATTCAGACTTCAACTCGGACAGACAAATAAGTACTACAACTACAGTATTAAACATGGTTGCATGTACATAACCAATAACCAATGATAACCAATGGTTATCTACTGTTGATGGCAATGGTTATGTACTCTTGATGGCATCCAGCTTTTTGGTGTTGCCATGCGGTTTTCACACTTCTTCTTCTTTTTTTCACAGTAGAGAATCTTGGTTGTTTTGTTTACTACAATGTATTTCGACTTCACCTCATACATAGCACACAAGTGTTCCTCCGATAAATAGAGGGAGATAATGAACCAACCGTGGGACCGGTGTCAGGCTTTTCTGAGATGCCGTGACTGCAGTCACAGTGATATCTTATGTTTACATGCTCAGCCATGTGGTGCAAGTGTGACTGCAGTGCCGCATCTCAGAAAATCTGACGTGTATTTCAAGAGGAACGCTCATGCACATCACCGGAATGTCAAAATACCAAATGAGTGTTAGAACCAAAACACAATAGCACGAGCATTTACAGCTGTGGATAAAATAAGGCGCAGAGCAAAAACGCAGGCAACGATAAACAGCAGTAGGAACTCAATGTACAAGTGATAGCAAGTGACCGATACGTCTGCAAGAGTCGTGGATATTAAAATCCGACATTTCGGATCAAGGGGGCGCGCGTGCACGGCCTGTTGCCAGCAGAAGCAGCCAAGCATCAAACTGGTCAGATTGCAACGTCCGCAGCCAGAGTAACTAGTCTACTGAACACATGCGTATACCGGTATTAGTATGATAAATACTACACAGAACATGACAAATCAAAACTGTATGTGCATGGCAGCAGATGGTTACAACATCCTGTATACACTGTACACGTGGCACTGAAGCAGATAGCAAACGGGAACTTGATAAAACAGACACACATAGTACAAAAGAAATGATCTTGGTTTAAAAAAAACACGTTTTCGATGGTGCGAAAAATAGAATCGCAGCGGTTAAGAGCATACAATCGGTCTAACATAACAACAAGGATGGTGATAATCTAAAAAATAAAATGAAAAATAAAAAACAAACAGACAACGACGACAACAGTATGAGAATAAAGATTTGTAACAACGAAAACAATAACAGCAGCAGCAACACCAACAACAGCAACAGCAGCAAAGGGTGGGCTTAGCCAGAGCAGATGGCAAGGACCTGCCAGCCACTACCTATCAGACCAGGATGATCGAGAGGGAGAGAGCTACGCGCTATCGTACAGGAGGTCATAGTGACCCGGGCGATACAGGAGCTTGATGACCGGTGCACCGGCATCCTCCTGGAAATCATGCCAGTTCACCTCACCACCCTCACCACGGTCCATGTACACGACGCGCACAGGCACTTTCAGTGAAGAAGTGAGTGCAGTGATATGTAAATGATCGCTCTCCAGGTACATGGGCTCAACCTCCTGAATACAACAACAACGACATACAATCCAACAAGTTAAGGACCCAAGACGCGTCAAAGCGGATTTCATACACCTGTGCATAGTGCATATACCAGTAGGCTTGCGGTGTTCCTCGCAATTACAGCACTCTGACTTTCAAGCTAGCTTAAAATGTTTTGTTCTTCTTTGAACTTCATTGCGATCGGTTCGGCCAGTGACTCTGAGCTCTGCTGAGCAGACCTGACAAGGTAGAAACCGCTAGCGGTCCAGACATTGAGCTGTGCACAGTACTATACAGAATTACTACAAAACACAAGGTACGTTTGCAGGAGATAAGGGGTTGTGAAAAGTTTTTGGTTGGAGTTGGTGTTGTTTTCTTTCTTTTTCGGGAACATACCGGTAGAATGCCCATTTTCGAGGTTGAATTCATCTCACATGGAGTTTTTGAATCTCAAAGGTCCGTATCTGTTTCTGAATGGGATGTGGTGCACACAGGAAGTCTGGTGCTGCAAGTACATGCACTACGTACTGCAGTGCATGCTGCTGTCCCCCCCCCCCCCCATGCCTCGTCTACACGTCTACCAAGCCACTGGGCTGCAATTGACGGGTACAACTTCACATGCCATCCCAATTTGCGCTGGGAGTGATCACCGACAGCCCTCCCTCCGTTCTAAAAGTAAATGGTGTTCGTGATCTGCAGCTCTTACCTTCTTGCAGTACTCTGTCATATTGGAAAATCCCTGGACAAAGTTGATGAAGAAATCGTTGTTAGCCTGCAGCTCAGCTGATGCCAGTATTCTCAAGGTCACGACAATGTAATCCGAATAAGAATCATTGTTGATATACTGGCAAGGGAGGACAGGCATAGCACAATACAACACACCACAGCACAAGTTAAGATGAAGCTGCTAGCGTGTGTGCAGTAGCAACAAGTGGCATTCTTGCTTCCCCGCTCCATTCAGTAGTGCAATACACAGAATTGTTATCACATGTACAGGCAACCTTGCGATTAACAACCTTCGATATACTTCGAAGTAACAACAACAACTCATGAACAATGACCACTATCCTCAGACGTTTGATTGCACACTTAAAAAAATATACTTCGCTCACGTCCGGTCAAGGGTCACTATTCGCAAGGTTGAGTGTACAATGTACTGACGAAACAGACCCGTCCAAACAATGAAACACAGGCACCGTAAACCAGCGCTCTTATCTTGGTCACCTAAATCTCGGTGCAGGTGGTGTGTGGTTGACAATCCGATGACTTTATCGCAGGGCTGACTCCACCATTGTCTGCTGGTGATCATGTATAGTTTTGCCGCCCGCATCGCCATCAGAAGCGATTCCCAGGATACGAAGAAGGTTGGGCTGCTCCACGCTTCATTAGACCGTCCACTGTTCTCATTCACCGTGGAACCGCTGAGAAAGTTGTGAATGTCGACCGTCTGAAACCGGTGGCTAGTCATTCGGCCAGCACCCCAGCTAATGTTCCGCATGCTGACAGTGTTGTAGACTGTGATGAGCCTGCTGCAGACATTCCTCAGCCTGGCCAGCTAGATGCACCCGTTGCAACCCGTGACCTTCGTGATAGAGGTCAGATTTGTCTGCCTGCTCGGTATCGGTCTTGACCACTGTGGAATATGTTATTCAGATTGTGCAAGGATACGCATATGTTCACTGTTGTCTTTGGCGTTCTTGGTAGTTCTCTCTGAAATCAGGTCTCTACATTATAAGAACGTACACTGAAAATATGGCCAGGCTGGAATTGCTATTTGAATTGTCCATAAACTCCAGCTTTTTGGTACGGTCATACCCCCCAAGACACCCGTATCCGAGCAAGGATCGCATTACCCAAATTATGGCAAATATCACATCTTCTTGTGGTCCCCACTATCCTACTTTCGGAATCGTGTTAACAGCAATATAACTTTGAAGTGCATTTACCTCTATCAGTTCCCTCTCAGACATTCCACCCTCTATCGTCTCTAGAAGAGAAACGAACGTGTCAAAGAAATCCTCCGTAGTCATCTCTGGAAAGCCAAGGGCGAATGCTTGTTGCTTCCTCTCCTCGACTAAAACCTTCACACTAGAGTAAAGAATGAAATGAACGAAATATGAACAAGTACAAGAGAATAACGCATATTTAGGATTTCAACAAGAAGCGCAAGCTCAAGCATTTGGAGCAGTCATCTTCTTCACTGAGAATGCTACAGAAAACAACTCAAGATCTGGACAGTCGGCCACTGCCCAGTTGCTGAAAACACAGGGGTGTTGGACACGGTACGATCACTACGGTATCGACCGTGCCACTTTTCAACCCAATTACTCCGCGAATCAATATAATACACTGATATGGGCTCTAAATTTCCAAAATTTTCGGCTCAGCCACCCTCTCCCACGAGTAAATTGTAGTCGACATGGCTGACCGTACCACACTATAAAATACCTTCCGACGCCCCTTATTTATATTCATAAGCTCCCCAGCCCACACTCTTTATGGTGCATACCGCCTTCTCTTCCCTTCCTTTGACATTGCCGTAATTGGCTATGTGGCAACATGTGGGTGAACTGGAGGTGGTGCGGTTAGGACGTGAGAATTTGAAGAGAGGTGCACACAGGCACAGACACACACGCATGCGTGCACATGCTCACACACACATACACATGCACACACGCACACATACGTACTTGCTCACTGCCATGACAGGTCAAGTGAGTCTTCCCCAAAGAAGGGAGAGAGATTCAAAAGGAATCTTAGAAAGATGACTCAATTGGCTATTGAACCGCCCAACGGCCGACACCCCCTGATATCCCCAAACTCTGGGTGGAAAAGGGACTGATGGCATCAAGGTATCCGTCCCGGGATCCAACTGCATTCACCCCTACACACGCACACACACACACACACACACACACACACACACACACACACACACACGCACACACCATGTACCATGTATACGCCCGTCGCAAGAGAAGCACGCAAATCTGCAAATGCACTGGATGTGCACCCACAGATTTTCTCTTATAGCAACGATAGCGAACAAGATCTGAATGAGACAGATCAAGACTTGCGCCAGATAACTGTCTAATCCACACAACTGGCGAAGCCATATGAATTGACCACCAATGCACACCGGGTCTACACCACACGGAGTACACACGCACACACACACGCACACACAGGCCCATGTTCTAACATGGGAACCAGGCACCAAACCTATCGGAAACAGAAATGATTTGTACACAATACAGTTACTAACCGGGCACATTCATCGGCCTTCGTGAGCAATGTTTCGCAGTAGCCAAATGCAAACGCCCGGAAGAAGCAGTTTCCGTCCGGCCTGGTTCTTCTCATCTTCTTGTAATCCTTTACCACGCTCTGTGGACATGTACATAACCGACATCCACACCCGCATCCACACACAAGCAGACCTGCATAGCTGATGCACTGCTGGGCATCGTGGTTTGCAATTCTCTTCTACTTTGAAAGTCTTTCGGGGATATATTCAAATCAAAGTTCACGGCCCAAAAAAGTATGCATACCAGTAAGTAAACATTTCAGTCAAAACCGACCAATTCGACACCCATGGAAGACAATTGCTAGCGCCAAAGGCCAATGCCAACGGGGGTTACCGGGACACCCATGCTACATATCGACTCACACAGTCACCAGGTAATCTGCAAAATTTAATAAACATCTCTTACAGGCAATTTACAGCCAGACCTAAGGAAATCGTGTATCCGGTTACCAGAAGTAAGTAATATGCATCTCTGCAACACGACACATGGGAACAAAATGTGTTGCACTGCACCCAAACTCAAAGTGTTCTACCACAAATCTGAAATCTGCTCTAGCCAATTTCCACCAGATGACAATGGAGCTGGAAAAACAAGGACCAGACGAGCAACTTCAGAGCAAGGTCTGTCTGCATCAGTATCCATGGTCACCTCAGTTGACAGGAGGCACTGGCACAGCGACAACAGAGCTGAGGACTCACGGTGATCTTTCCCTGGTAGACCTGGTCATCGGCACTGTAGTCAGCTCTCAGCTGCTCGACGTCCTCACACTCTCCAACCAAACTGACGCCATCAGTCGCCTAACACACCAACGGCACAGAGCAAAGCAACACACATGGCTTGGTCCACGTAGAGCAGAAATCCTGAACAGCACTGTTCTGGACGCGTCAAGACCTACATGCTTAAAACAATCTATGTACTTCGAAGTAGGTCTTTTTCAGGGTGATGCTGATGATGGCCAGGGCTGAAATAAGAAAATACTTCAACAAATTCCGTCTCTGGATTGCAAGATAAAGGTAAATAGAAATTCTCAATCGTTATTTCAGCCCTGGCCTGGGCCATCACCATCATCACCCTGAAAAAGACATACATGGATTTTTTTAAATGCCATACATCCTTGATTCATTTCCCACAAGAATGTTGTTCACATGGTGTACAAACCAACTAAGCCCTCTCCACACCAATCTACAGTGAGAGTCAACCATGTTGGCTGTTTGCGGAAACAGCTAAATTTGTTTGGGTTTCAGTCACTATCAGCCATCAAAGTGGCTTGTGCTGAATGCACGCGGCCAGTTTCAGTTGTCGTCAAAGGCTGTAAGTGCCATACTGCGCTATGCTCGACCTTATTGGCAAAATTTGAAAATTATGACTCTCTCTCTCTCTCTCTCTCTCTCTCTCTCTCTCTCTCTCTCTCTCTCTCTTGTTCTAGTTCAAGGTGTACGCATACAAAGTTCACGTTGCGATCTACATCGAACCTTATGATCCCTTTCCTCATCGTGACTGCGGCCTCACCAGCTCTGGGACTCTGAGGTTATGGTCCGAATAGACTGCTACCAGTGCACATACATACCTCTTTTCTGACGCTCTGGAGATGGTCCGAAATATCTATGTCTGATGCTGGTTCAGAAGTTGCCACTGTACAGGGATAGGTGAAGACACAAGAGTACATACTGTAATACACCAGACATTGGTCATGCACCAATAATACGGCTAACAGAAGCTGCAAGTAACTAGAAAAGAGGCACAGTACCGTAGTAAGAATACTGTAAAAGCCATATTTGTAACGAAGTGCTAATTCTAACGAGTTAACGAGGAGAAATCTGTCGTTAAAATAGAAATCGTTATCCGGAAATCGATACAATTCTGTTGCTATTGAGCGTTGAGAAGGAGTGAGAATCGTTACCTTTGGTACACGTAAACCAGTCAATTTCAGGAAATCGTTTATATGTGCCCCGTTAGAATAATGGTTTTTTCAGTAGTCAATACAACACGCACTAGCAGCACTGAACACACAGTTCACAAAGGTAGAATTCAATAACTACAGAAATGCGTCCACCATGATACCAAGCACCTGTGGCATAAGATAGTTGCGCATACCAAGTTTTGGATTTTTTTCAGATGCAGGGAATGAGGTCCGGATGTGCGACTAGCTGTTGTTGCGTTGTGAATAGCTACCGGCTCTCAACGTCTGTTTAGCACAGCTCCATGAGCGACTCTGACTCACGCTGCTACCCGGGGCCTCACGAGGTGTTTGTCGCGCTGGAAACAAAGTGTCTCTGTAAGTTTGTATCCCTGGTGATGGTTTTGCCTGGAGAGCACTACATTTGTATTATAAGTGGTGCTTTTCAGGCACAATCTTCCACAGCAAACTCAAGCTCAACTGATGAGGGGCGAATTCCCCGAAACACTGTATTGAGCAGGGAGTGGTGCTTTCTTGCAGGTTTGCTGAGTGGAAGGTGCGAAGTGCTCCTCATGTGCTCTGGATGGCAGCCGTGAGTCAGTCAAGTGTCAAGTTCGGCAGGAAGCGTGTGTTCCTCGTTGGAACAACCAACTTCATCACTAATACCGCCGAAGTCGGAACTTCTAAGCAATACTAATGTTGTTCGCAAAACGCGATTTCTGGACTTTGGGCTTTTGTGTGTCAGCGATTCATTCCTAAACTTTATGTCTGGCGCAGTGGTCATACCGATTTCTGGGAGCTCTACTACTTTTATGTTGCATGGACATGTTTCATACCAAATTTCAGAAATAATACACTTCGGTCATAACGAAATTAGCCGAAATAAGACAAGATAGCTGTGGAAATTAGATTCACAGTGAAGACTTAGTACTGAATCCCTGTGGAGTGAGCGCACTTATGATGCTTCGCTTTTTCGCTTCATGCAATATGTTGAGACTATAATAGACTACAGCACGCACAGCAACCTCTCAAGTCTCAACACGAAGAGTCAGTGCATGAACATACTTTCTTTTGGGGAACAGTTTAATTGGAACACCAAACTGCAAACATGTACAAACATTTCAGTACAAGAACTAGGTGAACTCACTGTTGAGGCGTTTGGAGAGAGTACCGAACCACTTTCTGTTGAAAATACACTTGAATGTGAATGCTCTTCCGATTCGAGTGACCGCGTTTCAGCTGTCGAGCTAGAGAGAAAGGCGAACCAATTCCCAGCGTTCAGTTGACAGGAATCAATGACTTCAAGTTAGTTCAAGTGCCTGCAGTGCAGTGCTGAACTTTGGTGTTGAGTCTTGGGGCTTTCGTCTAGACTAGAGTTTCCTAGGCATTTTAGCTTTAGCTAACAAATAGTGGGCATGTATCTTCGACGTGCTTTGCTCCAGCTATAAATGATAAAAACAAACAGTGCGTGGGCAATGAACGAGGTAACACAACTCACTTTCTCTCTCTACTACAATCAAGAGTACTCTTATGTATTCTGGCTACAATTTGTAGCTCACCTCAGCTCAGCTCATGGACATATGCCTTTGATATGGTGAAACTACGAAAGTGAAAAGACCAAAAGTCAAAAACATCAAAACTGACAAAAGTAGTAATACTGTACATGATTGTACAATGTAGTTTCGTCTTTCGAATCGATCACATGCACAAGAACGCAGCTTCCACGTGAAAGGTCCTCACCAAGGAGTAGTAAAATACTGGTATCTTACTACTCCCTAGGGCCGGTGCACATGTTTGCCTTTTTATTTTGGTCAATCCGGATTCAGAATTTCAGACCTACGCGTAGATCTACTTGCCTCATCTCCGGCACACATTTCCTACACAGGAAGTGGTATTTTGAAACTACCTGATTAGACTTTTTCTTCTACCTCGAATGGTTCTTTACAATCTGTATCGCAATTAAAAATTATAAAATTTGTGGGTTCAGCAATAAAGGATATGACCAAAATGAAGAGTGCATATGGACTCTTGATATGACACATGTATAATGGGAATACTAGCTCATAATTTTACCATGGCTGATTATTGCAGGGCCGTAGCACCGGGATTTCTCCGACTGGACTGGGTGCTACGGCCCTGTACGGTGCTACGGCCCTGTACGGTGCTACGGCCCTGTACGGTGCTATTGCCAGTATACCTCTACTGGTATCATCAGGGAGAGAGAGAGAGCGAGAGAGAGAGAGAGAGAGAGAGAGAGAGAGAGAGAGAGAGAGAGAGAGAGAGAGAGAGAGAGAGAGAGAGAGAGAGAGAGAGAGAGAGAGAGAGAGAGCGAGAGAAAGAGAGAGAGAGAGCGAGAGAAACTGGTGTGGGCGAGAAAGGCTGTACTGATGAGGCCTTTATGGCCGAAACAGCTTGCTGTCTACAGCATTGGGTAACTACACAATCATGTACACGCATGCACTCGCCCACACCAGTTGTTACCCAGCTAATTCCCATTGGATGTAGACTAGTCACTTGACAGTGTACACCTGCACAGCTCCACCCGCTTTCCACACACACGCACACAAAGCCACCTTTCAAGTTATGTTTTAGATGTTATATACACCATTGCAGTGCTATAGTATAAAAAATATGTAAAACACAGTCATAGAGATAAGAGACACACCGTGAGAGACAAGGATAGGCAGAGAGATAGATAGACAGAGAGACAGGCAGACAGACAGACAGACAGACAGACAGACACACACACACCTAGGCAAGAAAGAGTACTAAAGATAATAAAGATGTACACCCACACACACACACACACACACACACACACACACACACACACACACACACACACACACACACACATGCGCACGCACAGATACACGCACGCACACACTTGCAATCAAAGAATGCTAAAGCACAAAGAAAATGGGGAGAGTGAGGAACTTTAGTCTCTCTCACTCCTCAAACGATAATCAAGACCATATGGAAGTGAGCATAAACCAGACGGATAGGAGAAGACGGGCCAAACTGAAGGAGAGTCAAAAATCACATACTGTTCCTGTAGTTTCTGCATGCCGCAGAAGAATAAGACTGAACAGAATGAATGCAAAACCTATGGTCAGAAAATATCTCACTAATCAGCATAGCACTGCTCAACAGCGCGACACAGCTACCTAACTTAACGCAACGAAGCAGATTTCAAAAAAGAGAACGTGAAGCCAAACGAGCAGTGTATGTGCACGCATGCATGCCTAGCCGTTTCATGGTCTCGTGATTGCATGGGCATTTGAGTTGATCCTTCAAATAGACGTGTACTTATATTAATATCATGTCAGGCACAAGACAGCACGCAAGTAGCCTGCGAGTCAATGATTAGTATAGCATGGCATCAGTTTGTGCTAGCTACAACAGCAGCCACCAAGATCTATTCGTCTTTCTGTGTAAAATTCTATGAGGCTATGGGGGTATTAGTGGACGTAGCAGTGAGAGAGCACATTCTCTGAAGTCCGGTGAGTTAAGGCGGGGGCACAGTCACAATCGTCAACATCGGATGTACTTCTCCTTGAAGCGTTTCATGTAAGAGTGCACAAAGTCTTGGGTCTTCGCACGTACCGACGGGCTATACTCTAGCTGGTAGCAGGACTTGCCCTTCAGCTCCTTCTCGACGACGATGAACGTCAGCTTGCGTGCGAGATGCTTGAAGTCGCCGTCATTCTCAATACGAGCACGCTTGCAGTCCGGCTTGCGGTATGGGTTGAGAAGCTGCACGATGAGCTTCGACAGGTCGGACCTGAAGCTTTCCTTCAGCTGGCGCAGCTGCAGCCATGGCACACATTCACAAGCACACAGGCAGAGTCAGATGACTGATAGTGAAAAAGAAGAAAAAAAGAAGAAGAAGAAAGAATGGTGATTTTGGGATAGAAAAGGATTCAGCAGGATAACTACTATTATACTATTACGCAGAGCTCACTGACTTGTCAGTTTGAGCACTCTGGCAAGGTACGTTCGGGCCTGATTGGAATTTTTTTATTTCCATTGCTATCAGGTTCGGCCTCATTTCCTCTGTGCTGCGCTGATGAGTTCACAAAGAACGAAACAGCATGCTGTCCGCAGATTGAGTACTATTATACTACTATATATTACCAAACAAATCCGGCCAGTGCCGGTAGTCGACTAGCATGTGCAGCACTGGCCGGATATATTTTGGCAAATATAGTATCACACCAGATTACTGAGTATGTGGTAAGGTAGAAAACACTGCAATGGATAGTGTCACAATCATACACGGTGGCAGGGCCTTACACCTGGAGCGGCCATATGCCAGCGGTGGACTTGTCAGCTCTGCACAAACATCACACACTACCATGACTGTACAGTCTTGCTCAATGAAATCCAGTCGCGACACTCAAGCTTGCGCCTTGCATCATTTCGTTTGCAGGTCTAGGGCTGCGCAACGCCCAGCATGTACTCGAGTGACATGACTGGACCTCATTGAACAGCTTTAGGCGCATATGCGCAACTGCAGGTCCAAGGGAACCTGCCCGCTTAACGGGGGCGGTGTTTAAGAGATGAAATCATTTACATGGCGGAAGTTCACATGGCTGCCGACAACGCCAATTCTCACTGGTGCCAATTCTCACCAAGCCCCAATGACCAGACTAGCATTTTGCCTGTATTCTCCTCTGCCCCGCAACCCGGTAGCGCCTTGGTCGGTGTCATACATGTATATCCCCACTCCACCCGCATAGCACTATAATTATACTGATCACTTACACAGCCTTCGCGCTGAAACACTAGCATTGCATACCTGCCATGGGACAACACCTATAGTGACTAAGACCACACAACCCCGAGTATAGCCCCAGTCTTCCGATGAGTGCTTTTCAGCATGAAACTCGTGAGTAGAGAGACATTTAATCACTTTTTTTTCCACCGGATTTTCGTTTGTACTAAGCTCTGCATGCCGTGTATTCAGCACTGTGACTGGTAGTGAAGGTTCTTCTGTAAGCTGTCTTGTATGATACTAGTGCCTGTGGGTGTAAATCTGCAGTGAGACTACGTAGTGACAGCACATGTACATGCACAACAGACATAGAGCTTAGGAATGGAAGCAATACCTCAACTGGTGTTAGATCCATTCCCCGACTCGAGCTGCTAGAGGAATTCCGCTTGGGAGTTGAGCTACTTGAGGTAGGTTGGGGCGGCTTGGACTGCGACTGTAATGTACTGGAAAGTTTTCTTACTGGTGGTGAGAAAGTAGCAATGGTGCTCGTCAACGAGCAGTCCATTGGAGTACCACAATCACTAGCTGGAGGTGTTTCATCTGGCGTGTGGCACTCATCGTCGGTGGGTGGCTCCGTTGGCAATGGAGGAGTTTCATCACCATCAGCACCGTCGCTGATAGGGAAATCCCACTGCGACACACGGCGCTCCACATGGTAGTAATACGTCTTGCCCTCGCTGTCCTGTGCCGATCGCCAGTATTGTGGCAGTCTTCTGGGCGGTGGAGACGACTGCCAGTTTACTACAGGAGTGCCAGTTTGTACGGGTTGCTGACCCTGCTGCTGCTGTTGGATAGCAGAGGACGGTATAGTTGCTGCTGCGGCGGCGGATGCAGCTGCCGCTGCCGCCATCACTGCGGGTATCGGCACTTGCTGCTGCGGCTGTTGATTAGGTGAGATAGCATGCGACAGGAGACCTGACTGCAAGAGTGTTGTCACAGCTGCTGGATTAGTGAACAGAATCGGTGGAGGCGGAATACCTGCGGCCAGCGCGGCAGCTCCAAGGACCGGAGGTATCACCGACCGTACACCCGGAGCGGGACCCAGGACACCGGCACCGGTGGGTAATGCTCCACCTGCTGCTGCTGCTGCTGCTACTGCAGACGCTTGTGACGCAACAGCAGCAGCCTGGGTTACAGCAGCTACTTGGGATAGCTTCACAGCAGCAGCTAGGCCGAGGACTGATGCGGCTACTTGCTGGAGACCCTCTGGGGTTGGGGCAGGGCGAGGTACAGCTCGCTGTACCAATTTCTGAGCTTCTTTTATCTTGCAACGTAAACGCTCTCTTTCATACGAACTGAGAGTATCCAGATGCGGACTGTCTCTTGGTGGGGCGATACTCGGTGGCTGCGATGATGCTGTAGGAGTACCAGGAGCAGGCGGAGGAGCAGCAGGCCCTTTAGCACCTTTCTTGGGAATCCGATATACTTCCTTCAGTGAGCTCCATTTCTCCAAGAGCTGTTCAGCTTTCTGCTTAATGACGTCCATCTCGGCACTCCCTCCAACAATGCTAGGGTTGGCATGCTCTATGCTGCTGCTGGGCGACTCAACACCAGAGTCACTGCAGGATGACGGGGTGATCGTTGCCTGAAGTGAATCGGAGTCAACATTCATAGCACTATCAGGTTGCCTATTTCCATTCTCCACACATGATTCAGATGAGAATGTAGTCTCCCCGACTGTTTTCGCAGCGGCCACATTCGCAGAAGACGACACAGCATCAGCAACAGTGCCATTGACCGGGACTGGCTTCATCTGCGCCTCCGACCACCGAGTCACCTGAGAAAGCACTTTGCTGTCTTTTAGCACATTTCGATTCATGACAGGCAGATGCTCTAGGGCCTCTAAGACACGCATTGCCATCGGCCCATTGCTGCCATCCTCCAGATCCACCATCCAGCTCCAGAGAAGGGAGAGTCCTTGCAGTTTGACAAACATTCGCAGGCATTTGTCGTTGTGCGTATTGAGCAGGGCTTCCAGCACCAGCATGCGGTGTTCCGTGCTGTCAGCCGTCACCATGACTCGCGACAACACCAGTACGTCCTCCTCTCGCACCAGGCCCTGGCCATCGCCGCGGCAGCACTGGCGCACCGTACGCGTTAGCTCGTCTTCCATTACGGCCCCCGCGGCCTCATCGTCATCACCGTCACCGCTGGCATCACGCGACTTCTTGCTCTGTCGACCACCCGGGATGACGACAACGTTACCGCGTTCCGACTTCTGCTGCTTACCGCCGATATAACCACTACACGATGGCGTACCACAGTGGCATTCTTGAGCACCCTCGCCAATGCGCTCAAACTGATAGTCAAACGTCAACTCTTCATCCGCAGCGATGTCACGTTTCGTGAAGAAACCAACTTTCAAGCGCCCGTTGACCGTCCACTTCTGTGTTTCGCAGTTCGGCTCACAGCTGTGGTTCATGAAGCGCGATACGCTGCCGCGTAGAGTAGCATCGATGATTTGGTCACTGCGCAGTGTCATAAAATAGTGGTGGCGGCGGCCCTGCTCATGGTACTCTTCCGTTCGACGTTGAAATTCAACAAACGAGCAGACCTCACCAACATACTCACGCACAAATACACCATCAGCAATGTCACTCTGGGCACGTAAACCCCAGCCCTTGGCAGAGTGTGTGTGATAGACTTCCACTGGTGCATTCTGCTTCTTTTGGAAGCGCTGGTTTGAGCAGAATTCTCCACACGGGCAAGACTTGGGATTGCACTCTATCATCAGCAGCCTATTGATACAGTCCTCTCCACAGCCTTCAAGGGGCTTTCCTTCGTCATCGTACTCCAAATCACAGTCACAGCGCATTTTTCTGTCCAGCCGTCCATTTTTCGTCCTTCCATTGTCCACAAGATATATGCTGTCTGATATCTTCTGCCACTCAGCAGGCCGCTTTCCATCATCCGGTCCTAAAGGACTGGGCGCATTTTCCTCTGGGTCTGAACTCATCACTCACAACGATACTAACAAAGCATATTTTACTGAGGTGAGAAATTCGAAACTGACAACGAATTCAGATCTTGACAACACAGATACGAAACATAGCAAGGAATAAGACGTTGAATACGACACACAGCTGCTTCTATCAAGGATAGAAGATGTGGTCAGAAAATTGGATCAGGAGAGGAATCCTCGACTTTATTGCAGTTTGCTGAATTATTTACGTCGGAGATCTTGGTCTGACTCTGCTTAGCTGTAGCTGGTGCTGTGGTAGGTCTACTGTCTAGATTTTAGTGGTTTGTATGAAAAACAGACTTACAACATACAAGTCACAACAGAACACATGCACAGACATAATGCTGAGATGTGAAAAAGGGTGTGCAGAGATCATGATGTAGTATGAAGATGTGACAAGGCAGGCACTGACATCATGGCGTGGGTGCCACATGCCCGCAACAGCACCATGCAAGCATGCAGACTGCAGTGCATGCAGTGGCTAGTGGTGGGTAGGTCTACCAGGTCGACTGGGTTGGCCTACACTACGTACATGGCGACTACTACAAGACTCCAGCCATAATAGTCAGTTTCGATTTCGACAGCATGTTACTTATTACTTTGTTTACAAAATACAAGGCGAGGACACACAGTCAGTGCTCCTGGCTTCAACCATAATCCGGTTGGCAGAGTCCCAGTCTTGCGTTGACTTTGGAATTTTTTTGTTTTTTTGCTGATGTAGTGTTGTTGTCGTTGGTGGTCAACAACAACGTTGTGTTAGCAAAAACAAAAAATTCCAAAGTCACTGACCACCCCCTAGAATAAAGAGGGTCCGAACCGGGGTTTTTTCCCATACGGTTCAAAGGGTCGCAAGACCGGGACTCTGCCAACCGAATTCAATGATGGTTGTAGTCAGGAGCACTGTATATTATAAACCATAAACCGGTTGGTAGAGTCTCGGTCTTGCGACCATTTGAACCGTACAGGGCAATGCCCTGGTATGCGGCGCTCGGACCTTCATTATTCTAGGCGGGGCGTAGGAAAATTCCCTGATCTAGTACTTGGGAGTTGAAATCCGGCCGTAACTAGGTACAATCCTCTGACTGTGGTTGCCTGTCGTTGCTCTTTTTTGGGGTCTGTAATTTCGTTGCGTCTGTGCATTTCCTGCCAACTTCTGCATATGGCGTCCTTCTCTCAGTTCGTCAGCCGCTCAACAGTAAAAATCGGTCACCACCAATGACTACTATTGTGAGAAGGTGCTCACTGCAGACCGGAGGTTGGTGAAGTTCCGGTGCGGCCATGGGTAAGCCTTCACCATACCCGGCAGAAACCTTGCCTGCACGTTGGTAATGCAGAGTCGGTTGTGTGCCGTACTATCGCATGTATTCACGTCGATGATTCCACTTCTTCACTGTTTCCCAACAGTGCGCCCTCGCCTTGTTCACACTGTCAGTGCCTGTCACCGTGAAAACATGTTACCTATCAGGCAAATGCTAGCATATTATACCAGTCTACAGTCAGTAGTACGGTTTGCGTCAGGATATTATCAAGACAATGACAAGTCTCACCTCGACCTCATCGTCAAGCATCACTGTGACAAGTATCAGGTCCATCGTTGATCTTATGGCTGTTATGCCCTTGCCAGCTTGCTGTCTCAGTCATGCATGTGCATTGTCATTAGTCTAATGACAATGCACACGTCGGCGAAGCTTAATGGGCCCCACCACCACACTCCATCATTCACCCCAGTGTCTGGAGATATGTGGATTTTGTAGAAAAAAAAACAAAAACATGCATGATGCAGCAAGCCTGCAAGGGCTTAGACTAGAGGTACTGTAGTCTACTAGCAATAGTACTCTTGGCCTTGGCAATCGTGCTACCCGTGACTCCAGCCTACTACCATATCCAGTAGAGAGCTAAATCTCTTGTAAAAGTAAGACATGTTAGCCTCCTGTCTAGGAGATGACTGAATCAGCGACGTTCCCACCAAGGGCCCCAGCTGGGCACTATGCTCCAGTACAGAGGTTATGCGAATGATCTCAGTCATAGGGGGGGGGGGGGGGGGGTCAGCGGAACCGCAGTCACGGTTCATGGTATTGGCGCTAAGTATACATGTACGGGGTGCGCCAGCGGATTCGCTTATGGGCCGCGGCCATGCGTGCAGAGTGGGTCGCTAGTGCAAGCGCAGCCGAGCGGTGTGCCGTGAGTCCACGACTTCGCCAAAGCATCTCAACTGATGGCATAATTGGATAACCTCTATAGCTATGACAGTACTGTGGCAAGAGAGGAACACTACACTGGCACATGATGTGAGTTTTCACTGTCGGCAAACCTCATACCGTAAAAGCCCCTGTATACGCCCACCCTCCGTGTACACGCCCAGTCAGGGGAAGTCAACACTTGTGTTTCAAAATAGCGCCCATGCCCATGTATACGCCCAGGTATGCCGGCAACACCAGTACATGTACAGGTACCGATACCCAATACTTACTGATATCCCTATTCCAAGTATACGCCCGGTTCCAAAATAACGCCCGTGCCCTTGTATACGCCCAGGAAATCGAGGCTGCTATTCTATACGCCCGGGGGCCTATACACGGGCTTTTTACAGTACCGTGGCTCGGAAAATGTATCAGGAGTTGCACACACACTCTCTCTCTCTCTCCGGGAAGCTTACAATCTTGCTACTGCTAAGTTTGAAGTCCCTGATGCCCCTTGAAGCATGCACCCTGCACAGATTCCTAATATTTGCATTTCCCTCACCTGCCTGAGAGCCTTGGCCCTAACTTATGAGTGTGACTGATTGTACTCAGTACTACTACTAGGAGGATTTGTGGGTGATCCAGATGTCTGCAGCGGGGCCCAGCTAGGGTCCAACAGTTATTTTGCATTTTCACTCAGTGGGCCATTGTACAGCTCAGGTAGTCCTTCAGTCAGCCATTGTATGTTCAGGAGTGCTTCAGCCCTAACTAGCTTGGCCTAAGTAACTTAGTTCAGATAGCACCAGGGGGTCTGGGTAGGACTCCTGAGCTCCCTGGGTAGCACTCAACATGAGGCATGACCATGATGCCCCCCCCCCCCCCCCCCCCCCCCTGGTGCTGATGGTGTGCTACCCCTAGGCCCTGTGTGACTAGCTGCACTTCTAGAATTAGAGGCACAACACCTTGAACCTTGCCGGAACACCGCTAATGCTGTGATACTGCCATCCTATCCTAGATCCTATGCCTATGGATTCTACCAATCCAGGCTAAAACTGTAAAAGTAAAAGTAAAAGCTCTCACAGTAGCTCCACTGGAACAAGGCAACACGGGAATATTTTGTACGTTGAAACTAAGACTGTAGTGTAGATCTACATCATTGTAAACCAGTTACGAGAGTACTGTAGCATGTGCAAAATCTACATGACTAGATCTGACAGATTATGAGCTTCTTGCGAACTCCTGCCATGCTGTTATGCCTCAGAACACAACTGTTACTCGAGTTGTGATTATTAATTTTGATCATCAGCTCAGCTCACTCACTAGCGCGTAATTGCACAGTCTAGTCTGTCTAGTCTGGGCATGTGACAAGTCAAGGACTTGAAAGATCAGGGACTAAAAAATTTTCTGACACGAGTTTGAGTTTCGCGAATGGGTATGTGCGCTATGGTTACATATTTTTAGCCGACGTTTCCCCCCTCATTTGCTCTTTCCTCTTAGTCTTACAAGTAGTTACACTGTACATTTTTTGGTAGTCTTACCTCTACTTGGCTCTAGCTCTTATACATAGGCTCTCTGACCTGCCTGCTGAGTGCTGTGTGAACGACGTGGTGGATGTAAGGTCGGAAACGGGGCTCCAGCGAAGGTCAGCAGGTCGACCACCTGGTCTGCTCCACCACAGCGTCAGCTACACATTGCTGCGCCAGTGCTGGCGTTGGGGTGAACTAACTTGGGGATAGGTGACTGTAAACGGCAGCTGGTTGTGAATGCTCCCAGCTTGGCCATTCTTACTTTCTTGTTCCTAGCGATTGCTACAGATTTGAGCCAAGCCGAATAGCGGGACAGAAAAGCCTAGAAGCCGGCCGTGGAGAACAAAATGACGCAAATTTAGGAGCCAACAGAGCCTTGGCTGGATCCCTGGCTCGACTACGTACCCAACCTCTCCGACAAACCATCGCGTGGTCACTTGCTGACTAACATCCGAGGCAAGTCAGTCCGGCGCAGCACGACCCCAGAAGCTACTCTTGACTTGTGCTCGGAGTCGTAGGCGGTTGCTTGAGCCCCGAAGCGCGGGGACGGCCCGTGTTTGTCGTCCGCGATCCGTTGGATAAGCGCCAGGCCGATCAGGGATTGTGCTCGTCTGTTGGAGGTTCTCGGTCGGTGTGCACGTGTAGTGTGCAAGAAGCAGGGGACATGGCGTATCGTCGCTACACAGCCGAGCACAACTTTGCGAATCGGAATGACTCTGAAATCAGCATGTCCAAAGGCGACTCACTGGTCGTGCGCCCATTGGACACCGGTGACTGGCCAAACGAGCAAGACTGGATGATTGGTCGTAACGAGACCACGGGCGCGATGGGCAAGTTTCCTGGGAACTACACGAGCCTTCAGGGCGAGTTCAAGGATCAACCGCCGCGTCCCGCCAAGGAGCTGCCGAACCTGCCGCCGAAGCCCACGCCACCGCCGCCCGCACAGCCCTTACAGCCGCGTCCGCCCAGGCCGGCGCCCGGGGACCGCTCCGTGTCCGACTCCACGGAGCACGGCAGCGGTGGCGGCAGCGCTCCCCCGCCGGTCGTGCCGCGCAACCAGCAGCGCATATCTCGCCCTAGCGACCCGGCACCCGTGCCGTACAGACCGCCGCCGCAGCCGACCAGTCCCGGCGGCCATCAGCTTGTCAACGTCAACATCAACAAACCGTGCCAGTGTGTCCACTGTAAGTGTGGCATACATGTGTAGTCCTGCTCAATGAAATCCAGTCGCGTCGCGCAAGCTTGCGCTGCGCAGTGTTCGCAGGTCTAGGGCTGCACAACACCCGGCGCGTACTTGAGTGACGCGACTGGATTTCAATGAGCAACACTGACACTGTACATGTGGTTAGTGTGGTCACTGGGCCTCTCAATGACTGACTGCCATGTCACACTGGCTGTAACGGTATTGCAGACCACCCAACACTGATTATGCCAAAAGCGGGATACCGACAACTAATTTTAATGAGTGCGGGCATAACTTCCGCCCATATTAGAATGAGAACGTAGCCACCTTTGTCCACGCTATAATGGCCAGCTCACAGCATTACACCTTGACAGGGTATTCTGGCTACGGGTCTGGGCTGGGAGACGAACACACCAGACCAATTTTTTTCGGGGTGGGGGGGGGGGGGGGTAGATGGCGTACGTTCCCGGGCTGCTCGTAGGGTGATGTGCAGTTTCATTTTCGCAACACCGTAGCCCTTAGCGGATAATGCTCGAAAAGCAGTGAAGTTGGCAGAGCCATAAAAAGCTTATGGCGGTCAATTCCTCAAATTTTGCTCCTCTTCGTCATCCATATAGCAAACATGCATAAAACATACCAGAACAAGTCACTCGGACCAAATTCTGCACATCTTAGGTGGCCCTGACTCTTGCGTATGGCGTAACCTAACCTGGTCAGGCACGCAGTATGTATGTATGTATAACCCATATCCATTCTGGTCGTAGGGACGTCGTGTGTGTCATAAGGCAGCAGCATAAAAAGTAAAAAATAAAAACCTAACTACACTGATATTAGCTGCCTATACCTATCACGATCAGCCGCAACGAGAGAGAGAGAGAATTGCAAGATTCTTTGGTCCAGTCTTTGATATTGGTGAACCAATTGTGGCGGGGCGACCACGGGGCCGCGATCCAGGCACCATTCCATCCAAGAAATAGTGGAAGTAGCTATCCTGCTGCCTTGCTACATGTAGCAAGGTACGCAGTAAGCAGGTGTTATTTCAGGATTCATTATTTGACATTGCCAAAGCTGTTCTTTGAACTTCTTTCTCATGCTAAGAGTGCATTATCGGTGGTATCTGTGCTTCTGTCCTTTCACTGCTTGCCTGCACTGGCTGCAGGTGAAGGATACATCTGGTCTAAGCTACCGGACAACCAGCCCAACGCGACGGTCTGCAGACGTAAGCATACTGGGCCCTCACCTTTTCCTTACACACCGGCACATACACACACACACACACACACACACACACACACACACACACACACACACATACACACTACTACTACTACTACTACTACTACTACTACTACTACTACTACTACTACTACTACTACTACTACTACTACTACTACTACTACTACTACTACTACTACTACTACTACTACTACTATCAATCAGCTACCCCTTGGGGTCACCCCTCACACACACACACACACACACACACACACACACACACACACACACACACACACACACACACACACACACACACACACACACACACACACACACACACACACACACACACACACACACACACACACACACACACACACACACACACACACACACACACACACACACACACACACACACACACACACACACACACACACACACACACACACACACACACACACACACACACACACCTCACCTCACCTCAGACTGCCCCCCCCCCCCCACACACACACCACACACACACACATCACCCCTCCCCTCCCCGCACACACATGCATATACAGACACACATACTAGTACAAATACACGCACTCCACTCCCCCCCCCCCCCCCCCCCCCCCCCTCCGTGCCTCGCTCTTTACTGTTGGGGGAGCTTTCAGTGAGATCAGTGTATTCATTGTCACTGTGCATGGTACTTGTACCAACATATAAACCGCTTTACAAACGGTTATACATCACAGTTCAACTTTGCCGGTGCTCGACGGCAATACTCCTACCGTATGTGACTGTTTTTGCTCATTCTCTGGGTATATTTGCCAACCCAACCCAGCGCCTCTTCCTTCGTCTTCTCTCTTCTTCTTCTTCCTCCTCCTCAACCTCCTCCTCCTCCTCCTCCTCCTCCTCCCCCACCGGCCCCTCTACTAGCCAAACATCAGTGCTAGCACTTGGTATAACCATGATTAACTTGATAACAAGTATGTGGTTGTTGCAGAGCAAAAACCCCGTCGTATCTGCCAGGCAATGTACACATACACACGCATGCACACAATTTTAAAAGTACTTACATGTTATGCTTCCAATGACATGTATCTTGCTGGGTGCTTGGAGCATGCATGTACTCAAGTAATGTTAACTGCGCGTTGCCGTGTGTTGCCTCTGAACATGCACAGGATGCGGTGTCATCGCCCACAGTGATACCTGCAGCAACGTGTTTCAGGCCGACTGCGCCGGTGCACGCCGGGCAGACTCTGGTCCAGTCAGAGTTGGCAGTCGGGTGAGTCACGGGCACTGTCTCATCATGGCATCAATACACCGCGTACTAATCCGTTATGTCCAACTGGCCTGATTAAGCCACATACATTTTTTTTTTTTTACAAAATAGCCACAAACCATCGTGAGAACACCAGCAAAACGCACAGGGATACACATAGGGATGGCAGCCGAAGCAGTGGAGGTGGCATGTATGCAATATAGCCATATCGGTATTACATACTCCGCTGTGGGACGCGTGAGTAGCTGTTACTGGGCAGTGCCATATGAAATATCAGGGGGGGGGGGGGGGGCGTCGGAAGGTATTTCAGGATGATACGGTCAACCATTATGTGTGTGTGTGTGTGTGTGTATGTGCGCACGTGTGTGTATGCGTGTTTGTGCACATGTACGTATCTACTCAATCCTGCAGTGGCTTGAAGATGTTCTTGCGGATGAGCGCATGGTACGTATCATAATTGTCTATACCGTAAAAAAAAAACTGTAAAAATGTGCCAGCCTACGGTATGTGCTAACTTTCAGTGCAAGTACAGTAAAATCTGTCAAGGCAGCGACCACTCGGATAAGGTGGCCACCTGTCCTAGAAGACCACTGACACCAGGACGAAGGGATGCTATTTCCAGTCAAAGGACCCTGGATAAGGAGACCACCTGGTAACAGAGACCACGTTTCGAAGGTCCCCTGAGCGGTCGTCTTAGACAGGCTTCACTGTACATGTACCTCTCCCGTACTTATTCTTGGGTATTGTACTAACTTTCGGGGTGAGCACTCCTTCAGCTACGTTTTGTCGGTGGTCAGGACAAGTGTGCACTGCGGTGCTTACCCGGCACACAGTCATCCATGCTCCGGGCATGTGCTGGACTACATCGCAGCATACTGCTACGTTGTATTGCATGGGAGTTCCCATTCGGGAGGTGTCTATATGTATATAATGCAACCCAACAGTACGCTTGTACGTGAAATATAAACCGACATACAAACCGAGGCGAAGCCGAGGTTTGTATGATGGTTTATATTTCACGTACAAGCGTACTAGTGGGATGTATTATACTTATGCTGACCTTCATACAAACTGACAGTCAACTTCTTCCTGTTTCTATGGTGGCAGTCTATATGGGGTTTGTATGAGGTATGAGGTTTATATGCCCAGTATAAGCCGCCAGCATGATGGGCAAGTTGACTGGAAGTTTGTATGAAAGGTCAGCATAAATTCGGGCACAAACTGGGAGTGTAGGCTCAAGAATTTGGAAAAAAGGTTATTATTTTCTGGCATGTACTTGTCAGGTTCGATTTTTTTGGGGGAGGGATCTTCTTCAGAGAACTGTTGCGTGATCGCTCTTGTCCCTTGACGCCAAAGATGAAGTGTATGTGCTTATAACCAAAAGCTATTTGTGCAGTCACTGGGGTGGGTGTGTATTGTGGGCCTTCTGACATACATCTATTTAATCATAAACGGGTTGCCAGAGTGCCGTAAAGGTAGCGCTAACAGTGTTTCATTGAAGGTGCTTACTAGCCCCATGAAAGCCGCTCAGTTCGAGATTGTAGGCCTGAAGTAAACTGAAGCTGCCAGTTTCAGTCTTTACGTACGTGTACCAGCTCGTGCATACACACATGCAGTACACTGTGAGCGTTGGCATTTGTATGTTTTCTACGTTGCTATATGCGTTACATTGTGGCATGTCTGTTCTCGGTGTTTGGTGCCCGTTTCCAGTCGCCAAACCTCTGGAATGTCCAGGATGTGCTGGTCTGGCTGTTTGCATGCAACCTGGACCAGTATGCGCCCATGTTTGACAGCAATCTCATCGATGGCGCTAAACTGCTTCGACTGGTGGATGCTGATCTGCAGGTACAGGGACACACTGTTGGAAGCCTGGAGCGCTTGTCGGGCTAGTTTTAACTGTGCGCATTTGGCATTTTGTAGATGCTACCTTGAACCTGTTTTTGCAATGAGGTGACATCCCTGAATACTACATTGGCTGTCCTGTATCCATTCATACTCACACAGTGTGCCATACACAGAACACTTTGGGTCTTGCGCTTGAACTGTTCATAGGCAACACACTAGCTTCTTCATGACATTGTGTCATCCCCGGCTCAGACTAATCAGCACCACAGCACTCTTGGCTGAATAGGTACTGTGTGCGATCGTTGTCATTTCGAATGCTGTGCTAATGTTTGCTGTTGTTTCCTGCCATGCTACCACTACCACCACTACCGCAGGGCTTGGGAGTGCCGACACGCGATCACCGTGACGCCATTCTGGAGTGCATACGAGAGCTGTTCTACCAGCAATCCACACCGGTTAGGTCATGTGCACGTGCATTGCCCCACTATTCCATGGACCCGACTGACCTGTGGGAGCTTTCAAACAATTCCATGCAAACACACTGTCATGCCAGATGCAGCATGTTACCCTGTTCATATCCACCTTGTCATGGTTCTTTCATTGTGCCTGCCCACTGTATAACACGTTATTCTCGGTGTGACTTTACTTTTAGTAGTTTTGTTAGAGAAATCAGGCACTTATACTTAGATCACACCCACTGTAACTAAAAGGCACTCACGTATGCAATCTATGTGAACGGAACGCTAGTCACCTAATGCTAAGTTACACACGTGAAGCTCGCCAGGTCCCTGACACCGAGATCTTATCACGTTGTTGTCCTCTGTGTGCCATGCGGTGTTCAGAGTCCAGAGCCGCTGATGCCAACCAGCGGTGCGAGAAACGTCCCGGACGGTCGCTTCAGGCGAACACACAAGAAAGGTGAAGTGATGTGACACTGTGTTGTGTTGTCAAACCAAAGTGCAGAGAAAGGAGTCAAGGTCATAATATTTCGACACAGACATGGTAGTTTACCAAAATTGAGCTGTGAAAGAAAAACTACTTCAAGAAGTAT